GGGGGGGAAAGAGGGGCCGCCCACCGTTCGTTGATCGATCTCAGATCCAAACCTCGAACTCACACCAAGAGGGGAAAAAAAATTAAAATACTCTACCTCCGATTCGCCACTTTGCTCGAAACGCATGCAGAAATTATTGCAGGGAAAAGCCAAGTGCATATATTATTCCTCTCCCAACCCCGAGATCGGGGCCCGATTGGAATGCATCGCATACACAGCACGAGCGGGGGGCCATGCGCACACACTACTGCAATACGGAGCGGACCGGCGCACACCACGGGCCCCACTCCCCACACAGCCCCATCTTCCCCCCAGATTCTTCCATTATTGGAGTAAATGGAAGAACCCCTGCAAAACGACAAGCTTGTGATTGCAATGGCATTGGCTGTTGTATTTTCGTTTGATATTGATTCCGGGGAAAGGAATCAAACGATTCTTTCTCGCCTCTAAACGTAAAGGAAGAGAGAAGACGATACATGGCCTCTTGACGTAAAGACTTGTGGCATGGCTTGGCTTGCGCGCTGTTGTCGCAAAGGCACAATCTCGAATGTAGCTGACTACGAGCATAGCGAGTCAAAGGGAAGAGAAGGGAAGGAATTCGATAGTATAATAGTGTATGTGGCAATGGCCAGCCTGCCGCACATCTAGCCACTTGTAGAAAGTAAGAAAAAGGTATCTTCAACATTGAACGAAATAACCTCCTGCTATGCGCAAACCATAGAGAGAACCAATGGCAGAGATTTACTTGCGGCGGAGCAAAACCGATCAAGCCCCGGTTGCGCTGTCGGTTATGGACCTTCCGACAAGATGTTTCTTTCCCGTTCAAATCCCTCAATCCTGAGTGCCTTCACAACCTCCCTGGTCTGGAGGAACCACTCGGCAATCAATCTAATTTCGACGCGTAATAAAAGTGACCGTCCAAGTATGTTGTCAAGTGTGCGTACGTCAAATTCCAGCCTGTAAGCCAGACAGGCCACGAAAGGTTGATGTTCGTTGTGCACCGCTCGTATCCGCTGTGATCTCGTCGAGACCAACACTTTATGTTTTTCTCTTTCCTCAAAGCCGGCTATCCCAACGAGCCTGACTTGAGACCTCCGTTCTTGTCTGTGCTTGGCCTTCCGCGATGTGAACTCAACTGGGTATCAGAAAAGAAATAGAAAAAATGGTAACAACACTCGTGATGGCGCGATGATTCGTGACGCGCTTGCATTGCGTTGCATTCTGCAGGGCGATGACGGCCGTGACTCTGGAACTCTTTCCTCATTCTTGGCACTTGATAATACACGCGCAAAGGAATCCCTCGTATTATGGAGAAGATTCAGAGAAGTAGCGTTTCGACCGGTTCCTTACGGCCACAGCCTTGGGGTCTTGTGGCAGGTTTGTATGGTGGACGACGTGTGGTCTGTAAACGGCGTCCACGGGTGGCATCCAATCGTCCAGACCAAGCGGGAAGTATTCGTATAGTAGATCGGCGCTCTCGTCCGGACTACTGATCAAGTTGATCGAGAAGGATGGCGCACGGGGAGGAGGCTGTGTTAGCTTCGGGAGCTTTTTGCTAGTCTCAGATGGTGACTCCGGTCTCTTGGATTCGTCGTCGGTCAAAGACAGGCTGATGGGCTGCGACAACGCCGGTCGTGGCTGCGAGTTGTGGCGCGCCAAGTCGGGGCTTGATTGAGGATAGGCCGGGACAGGGGGTACGTTGTAAGAAGCCGGCGCTGGAGGAATGGCGGTCATAGCTCCCGCCTGGCTAGTGGGAATCTTCCACTCGAAGAAGTCAGGTGAGACAAGCGTGTCGTTGGGATCAAATTGGAACGGCATTTGCGGGATTTCGACGGTTGTGGCTGTCGAGTGCTCACGCTTGTGGCCATGCTGGTTCTGGCCGGATTCTGTTCCGGTTGGCGTCCGAGCTGGCGGGGCAGGTGTTGTGTGCGATTTGCGAGCAGCGGTGCTGTTACCAATTGGAAAGTCTTTCCGCGACTGAAAGTTTCGAGGACTCCGTCCGCGGACAATGATGGCACCCGACTGGACTTCGCAGATGGAGACTCTCATCCCGTTGGAGAGAGTGACCATGACCTTTAATCTGACTACGAAGTGCTGCTGGAGTTCCTTCCGCCGTCCGTTATTCGCCGTAGCGATCCTGAACTGCAATCGCTTCCAGGCAATGGGGAAGCTCACAAACTCCGAGTCCAGCTCTTGTCCGTTTGACAGGTCGAGCGGGATTGATGGCGGTTCTTTCTCCGTCTTGTCCTCGACAACCTGCGCACTGCTGGCCGGGGTCTTCCACGGGACTGATATGATCTTCACCGGGTTCCCCTCCACTGACTCGGTGGCGGAGATGGTCAATTCCTGGGCTATCACTGGGATCTGGTCGCCTTGGTCGGTCATGATATACTGCAGGGTGCGAGGCAGGGTGATGGTGCCGGTGATCTGGAAGAGGTTCCGACGGTAGCAGGTCAGCTCGGTGGGCGGCGCGGTATTGTCCGCAGCCGAGGCCCAGGGCGATTCGGCGAGGAAGAACATGCCGCGCAGCTGTGCGGACAGCGAGATGGAGGTGCGACGGTAGGCAAAGTCGAGGATGGTGTACGGGAAGGCGGGCGGGGAGAAGCTCAGCAGCTTGTTGTCGCGCTCGACCGTGTCGCCGTCGGGCAGAGCGGTGTCAGCCTGGGTCTGCTGGTCGTAGGCGCTCAGAGCGTCGGAGAAAGGGTCTTCGTAGGCGCTGTTGTAGCGCTTGAGCGCGGGCTGCTGGGCCGGGTGCATGGGGTGGTGCTGGAAGGCGGCATCTTCGCTGCTGCTGGGCGGTTAGCATGCTGCGGCGTCGGCGCGCACTGGCGGGCGTACCCGGCGAAGGTTTCCTGGTCGAAGTTGGAATGGCCGTCGAGCGTGTCCAGCGGGAGCAGCGGGCCATGGAGCGCATCGGGGGCGGTTACGCCCGACAGTTGCATCGAGGGCGCCAAGTAATTCATGGTGATGGTGTCGAAGCCCTCCATCGCTGAGGTTGGCAGGCGCCCGGTGGGAAGCGGAGGGGGTGGTGTTCGGCTGCATGCGCTCGCAGCTGGAAGTGCGCTGGTCTGCGGGCGGGCGGCCCGTGGAGAAGTGCTCGGTATGGGGCTGAACAGCTGGGGTTGTCGAGGGAGGCGCGAGGGCAGGTTGTTGGTCAGGGCTGAGAGGCTAGCGGCGGCACTAGCTGGCAGCCCGCTGCTGAGCTCACATAATTATTGGAAGCCCGCTGTGTCCGCCTCTGCGTGCGTCTGGTGCGACCGGCCTCCCTCATGCGGTGCCTCTTGCATCTGCCTGCCGAGCCTGGCCCCGAGTCGCGCGCTGACCCGTCTGCTCACGCCGCACGCCGCACGCCGCACGCCGCACGCCCGCCGGAGCCGCCTTGTCGCGCTTCGGGAAGGCTTCGAGAGAGTTCGCCCGAGGCCTTAGGCGCGCCGCGTCCAAACTGTCATCATCCCGCCCGGCCAGCCCGGCCAGCCCGGCCAGCCCGGCCAGCCCGGCCCATGCAGCCGCCGTGCCACCCCCACGCAAGGTCCCGCCACCGCCACCACCACCACACATGCCATACGGATTGGAATACTGCTTGTACACGTCTGTGCCTTCAATTACAAGAACTGCGCGACCGCTGCCAGTCGAGTGTTCCCAAACGCCAATTTGTCCGTCCGTCTCCGCACGCCCGCCTCTGCCGAACGGGCACATTACGACGGTGGCACCATCGTCCACGTCGCTGCGTCACAGCTGACTTCTTCAAAATTATGCAACACGTCGAAGCCCATCGCCGATAGCCCGTCAAAGCTGCCGTCCCCGTCCATCTGCCCCATGCGTTAGCGAGTCCGCGTGCCCTGGGTGCCGGGGGGTTACCTACGTAGTCCAGAATGCACGCATTGCACTGCTGCTGTTTTATCTGCCGCATCCCCAGCAGAATGAGCCCCTGCAGCAGCGTCGAGTATTCGCCCACCCCGGGCGAAATCACCGGCGACGAAATGCCCCCAGTCAGCTCTCCGACGTCCTTCATTGCCGGCACGAACTCCGAGAGCCGCGAGTGCATGTTGTAGAGCACCACTGTCCCCACCAACGCGCCATCCTCCGGCCGCTTGGCGCGAATGATCCCGCATGCTGCCGGGTCTGTGAGCGCAAGCTTGTACACTTCGGCCAAGCCTTGGCGATTACTTGTCTTGATGTGGTCAAGCACCGAACCAGCATACTCCCAACCGTACACCAAGTCGAACTCGACGCCTGCGCTTGCCAGACTCTTCGCCATCCCTTCGGGCGGCGTCCAAGCGGACAAATTGCGCGCGATCATGCTGCACACTGGTCGCGAAAGGGCCGTGTTCCAGCCCATGTTCGCAAACCATGAGCGAAGTCTCTTGCGCTCTGCGCCGTGCCCTGTCGGGATGCCCAAGAAGATACTCGGCAGTCGCGTGCCGAGCTGGAAGCGCTTGATACCGTCGCGCTGGAGAAGTGTGCGAATGGCTCGGTTGTGCAACGAGTGGCCGATCGAGAGCTTCCGTCGCGAAGGGTCTACGAAGAGCGCGCCAATCGCACCGGTGCCTGTGGCTTTGAAGAAATACGTCGAGCAGAAGCCATACAGTGCATGCGTGCTGCTGTTTCGAACCACAAAGTGAGACTCTACGACTTCTGGATGGTGTAAGAGGAACGAGTTCGATGTCGCGCTCGCCACCTCTGACCGTTGCCCTGGAGGCATTCCCTCGTTCGCAGTCTTGATGAGAGTGTCAAGAGCATTGGCATCTCTTTCCTCGTTGAAGATCTCCACAAGCCAGTGCTGTTTGGACTGATGCAGCTTTTGGCTATGGCTGATGGTGCCTGGCAGAGACCCCGCTGGAGAGTGCTCGCCGTAAAGAACCCTGACCAGCGAGTTCAGAGCGGTCTCCGTGAAATCGTAGGTGCAGACATAGGTGCCGATAGTCGAGTCTAGAGCAAAGTCGTAGGGCGAGCTAACGGCAATGACAATGAGGGGCTTTTCTCTTCTTTCCCCGCCCGCCGTGAACTGCATGTTGCAGATCATGGAAACGTGCTTCGTAAAGCCGGATTGATACAGATTGCGGTTAGCATCCGCCGTGAGGATTATCACAGCGCCAGCTCGACTGATGAGATTCTCGTGCACTGGTCGGACACCGTTCGCGGTGTAAGATGTGTGCAATACCCGTCCATTGCGCTGCCGTGCAAGGCATCTTCCAAGCTCGCGGAAGACCCTCTCGCCGCTCATAACGGAGGCACTTCGCTCCCATACGGCCGGTTCGGGCGAGCCTGCCGATACAGACTCCGACAACGCAACAGAGGCTGCAGAAGCTGGTAGAGGCTTCACAAGAGGAGTGAGGAGAAGAAGTTCTTCATCGGGTTCCAGGATGTTTGACAAGGGCAGATAGCGGTTCTTATCTCTGACAACTGTGATGGAGTGATTGTACGCCTTTGTCGAAAGGGCTGTATGTGATGGTTGAAGAGTTGAGAGAAGCTTTATTCCTGGAGGATTCAATGCTTTGTCCCAACTGCTGCATTTTGCTTTCATCGAAATAACCCTGCGTAAGGAATCTCTGACCCTTTGCTTGGTGATCATAGAGTTCTCGATGCCGAGCTTTAGACCGTTGATGGCTTCTTGTTGTGCAGAGAAAGACCGGCAAAGAAGCACCAAGTCACAGCCTGCGTTGACAGCCATGACGGTTCCGCCGCCCACGCCGATATTGTGGCTTAGCGCTTCCATTTCAAGACACTCCGAGATCACAACGCCGTCGAACTTCAGCTCTGAACGCAGGAGGCCATCGACTACCTGATCTGACAGACAGGCGTGCATGACGTTGAGCCCGGCGGAGGACATGGCGCAGCCTCCGACCATCATTGCGTCGAGTCCTTGAGCGATCGCATTTCGGAATGGAACAAGGGCGCTCAGACTGAGCTGTTCGAGGGAGTCGGTGATGATGGGGACATCAAGAGCTGAGCCCAAGAATTCCAAGTTGCCGTACGATGGGAAATGCTTTCCCATGGTGGCCACTCCGGCCTCCTTATAGCCTTTCACGAAAGCAACCCCATAAGCAGAGACTTCCTGAGGGTCGTCGCCCGTGGTTCGGACACCCAGCGGCTGGTTCCTGGCGTTGGTTAATACATCCAGGCAAGGACCCATGATGACGTTGATACCGCAGGCGGCCACCTCCTGTGCTGTTGCCCTTGCAACCTCGAATGCAAGTTCGGTAGAGCCCGTGGCGGCAATGCCCATGGCGCTTGGGTACTGGCGGATGTAGATTTCATCGAAGAGGCTGTTGACGCCGCCATTTTCCTGGTCGAGGCCGATGAGCAGCGGCACGGGATGGCCGGCGTCGTGAGCACACTTCTGCAGCTCGTAGCATAGTTTTGTAGTTTCTTCAGCGGCTACATGCATTCAGCACAGCACCTGGAGCCGTTCTGCAGGGAGCTTACATACACTTTAAATTCTTCGCCGTCAGCAGGATGGCGCCGATGTGGTGCTCCTCGATCAGTTGGCGGATCTGTGGGGTCATCGAGGTTCCATCAAACCCCATCATAAACAGTTGGCCCTGTCACCGGCACGTCAGCACCCAGCCGGCAGCAGCAGAAATGCAACCGTTCAGGCATACCAAGGTCCTGCGAGTCAACGTTAGCCAGGGTCACATGCTGTCGCGAGGCCGTGAGGCAGGGCGGGACACGTACCAATCCAGGTCATCCCAAAAGGGATCGAGGTGGGATTGTTTGGCGACCATGATGCTCAGGCCGGCCCGCTGCAGAGCGGAGAATGCGCAAGCGGTTGCTGGGCTGACGAATCGTCGCTTCAGACGCGGAGCTCGCTGCGACGTGGAGTGGTATTGAGCATGTCTGCAACGTCCGAGGCGGCGCGGTCGGATTAGGGCGTAGCGCCCTTGGCGGCACTGGCTGAGCGGCTATGTTACACCTGCGCCAGAGCTGCAAGTCATCCCTTGCGCGGCACAGCGGCGATTACTGACGCGCGGGCGGGTGAGACGGAAGCGCGACGCGACGGTAGCGGAGGCTTGGTGATGATGGGGACGAGGTTACATCCAGCGGGCCAGCGCCGGGAGGGCCCAGCGATGGCCACTCGCCGGCTGCCAGCTGCCAGCTGCCACAGTCTCGCTCGCTTCGGCTGGCGCTTCCGCCGACTCGCTCCTTCCCCACCTCCGCCCACGCCTTCCGCTGCCCGCCACAACGCCGACATGGCCGCCCGCTCCCTGGCGCCGCCTACTAGATGCTGAGCTGCCGTCCACTTGCGCGACCACGTTGCGCTAGACCGCCGAAGTCGCCCTATCACCACCTGCCGAACGGCTGCCCGCTGCGACCATGACGTCTCTTCCGCGAGTTTCGCCCGGCACTGCATTAACGCTGCCGGCGCCCAGCCCGTCCATATCATGGAATGATTTCCTTGCCACACGCTCTTGTTTCTTGTCTTTTGCTCAGACAGCCCCGACTGCCGCCCCTGGTCCCCTAGCTTCTCCAGTGCCGCTCTGCTTTCGAGGCGCGCATCCATTGTCAATATAAATCATCCGCTGCCCCTGTCACCATGCCGATAGCCACCTCGCCGGTCCGTCAGCCCAGCGGTATCACAAAATTCACAAACTGCCGTCTCGTCAAGGGGGATGAGATCATCTACGAGGACCTGTGGTTCAGCTCCGTCACCGGCAAGGTCCTTCACAGCCAAGAAATCTTCTACGAGCACCAGCTCGTCCCCGACCATGTCATCGACCTGGGTGGCCGCATAGTGTCGCCAGGCTTTCTCGACGTGCAGCTCAACGGCGGCTTCGGTTTCGACTTCTCGGTCGTGCCTGACGATGTTTCGCTGTACGCAAAGGGCGTCCTGCGCGTCAACAAGAGCCTCATCACCACCGGCGTGACCTCGTACCTGCCGACGTTGACCAGCCAGAAGGCCGAGGTCTACCAGAAGGTCTGGTGGCTCAGCCCAAGTGTTCCCCAAGTATCAAGCTGACATTAGGCCACCAGGCATTGCCGTATCTCGGCCCCTCCGGCCTCCGCAGAAATGCTGGGGACGGTGCGGAGTCCCTGGGCGCTCACTGCGAAGGACCCTTCATGAGCCCCACCAAGAACGGAATCCACAACGTTGCGGTTCTCCGCACGGCGCCCAACGGGATGGCCGACCTTGAAGACTGCTACGGAGCCGAGAACATGGAACCCGAGTACAGTCCCATCAGGATGATCACTCTCGCCCCCGAGCTTCCAGGAACGCTGTCTTGCATCCCGGAGCTGAAGGCCCGTGGCATCGGTGTCTCTATTGGTCACTCAGAAGCCACCTTCGAGGAAGCCACTGCCGCCATGGACGCCGGTGCGAAGATGATCACTCACTTGTTCAACGCGATGAGGCCGCTGCACCACCGCAACCCCGGCATCTTTGGCCTGCTCGGCACCGCTGCGCCGTCGTCGCAGAAGCCCTTCTTTGGCCTCATTGCTGACGGCATTCACCTGCATTCGACCACTGTCAAGATCGCATGGCACGCCCATCCTGACGGAATGGTTCTCGTCACGGATGCGATGGCACTTGCAGGTCTTGCGGATGGGATATACGAATGGACCAACGGCTCACGCATTGTGAAGCGCGGCGCCGTTCTCACGCAGGAGGAGACGGGTAGGATTGCCGGTAGCGCTGTGTCACTCATCGAGTGCGTCAACAACTTCCTAAACTGGACCGGTGCCACCGTTCCACAGGCTCTCAAGGCTGTTACCGACACACCAGCCCGCATGGTCGGCCTCCAAGGCTTGAAGGGCTCGCTTCAACCTGGTGCTGATGCAGATCTTGTCGTGTTGGACGAAGAATTCGATGGTAACGGCGGCCGTAAGCTGCGCGTTGACCAAGTCTGGAAGTTTGGTGAGCCTGTCTTCAATGCTTTGAAGATGGCACAGTTTTAAAATTGGCCCTGCTCATGGTGTTTGGAGATTTTCGGTTCAGCGGCGTTCATGTTATTAGGAGATTTCCCTTTAGAAGGCTTCATGACGTTAGATTGCTTACAAGAGAGTGAACATGATAAAAGATTGATATAGATGGTAAACTTGGACGTTATAGATCGTAGATACCCTTAATCATAACGTAGAACTTGTTACATATATTGTGTATTTGATACATGCATTATCGTCTTGTTGCTTTCTTCTTAGGGTGTTTACAAGTTTTACATACTAGCATTTTATCTGGTTATTATGATTTAAATCTTAAAGGCCCGTCTCCTCGATATTGCAATCGGCGCAAGGGAATGGATCATTCGGTTGAAAATGGTAGTGTACAGTTCTATCTTATGGAAGTGCCAATGCAATCCATCTGTTTCAATATCAAATCAAGTCGTTAGATAAGAAGCCATCATGACGCACGTGCACGGACCCAAGACGCGTCTCCCGCAACGCGCCCTCACCACGTTTTGTCGAATAATCTTTCCCACTAAAGCCCCGCACCTCACAACCATTCGCTGTGCCTACAGCCTACAGACAGAATGGAATCCGGATACAACCACAGCCACCGGGCTTTCCTGCAAGCCTTCCTGGCCCGATCCGTCATGACCTTCGAGGAAGCCCAACCCATCCTCGCCGCCATCCTTTCCGCACGCGACGGTAAAACCCCCATTGAGACCTCCCCAAACCAAGCCCCACAGCAGCCCCTCCTCCATCCCCCATCACCGCCCAAGCCCCAGACGCAACCGAACTGACCCGGGCGCGCCTCTCCCCGCCACAACTTTTACAGCCACCCGCCCCGTCGCCCCGGCCGACGTGACCGAAGCCGACTTCCACGGCTACGTCTCGGCCTGCAACGCGATGCTCTCGCCGCTCGACCTGGAGATCCGGTCGGCGCGGCCGCAGACGGCCTCGCCGCACCGGCAGGCGCCCGTCTACGCCGTCGTCAACGTCACGTCGGACGCGCTGACGCAGCTGGCGACGACGCACTCGGCCGACGAGATCGCCTTCGTCAAGCGCCTGCTCGACGCCGTCTTCGAGACGCACAACACGCGCCGCGCCGAGGTGCTCGCCCTCACCTCCATGCAGGCCCTCAACCTGCACAAGGCGCCCGCGCGCGGCGGCGGCGGCGGCGAGTCCGGCGCCGGCGCTGCTGCTGCTGCTACCGCCGCCGAGTCGCAGGGGTCCAGCGGGGCGAGTCTGACCATGGCGCAGGCGCAGAAGGTGCTGAATGACTTGGTTGAGGAGGGCTGGTTCGAGAAGAGCGCTGGCGGGTTCTATTCGCTGAGTCCCCGCGCGCTGATGGAGCTGCGGGGGTGGCTGGTCGAGACGTACAACGAACCGGCGGGCGCCGACGACAGCGACGAGGAGGGGGCGGAGAGGGTGAAGATGTGCGAGGCGTGCAGGGAGATCGTGACGGTTGTGAGTAGTGCTGCGGACTCAAAAACGAAGCGTTTTTCCCCGTTTTGGTTGCGCGAGAAAGTTGCTAATGTGGTTGCTATCGCTCTAGGGTCAGCGCTGCTCGAATCGCGACTGCCGTTGCAGGCTGCACGATCCTTGCGTCCGCCAGTTCTTCCGCACGCTGCCCGATCGGAAATGCCCCATCTGCAAAGCTGCGTGGACGGAGGAAGACTTCGTTGGAGAGCGTGCAGCTAAGCCGCCGAACCGTAACCGCACCAGTGCCGCAACGGCTGCTTCCTCGTCAAGAAGGACGACGATGAATACCATGGATGATGAAGATGAATCTGAGTAACCAAAAAAAAAAGAAATGAAAGTGTTTCCTTCGAATAATTGAGATAGTTGGAATGGCGCTTGGGAGGTTAAAGTCAGCCAATTTCTGATTCAATAATGATACCCACTAGGTTGAAGAAGCAAGGCGTCAATAGTCAGAACGAAAAGAAGGCCCTGAAAAGCGAACGACATATATTGGAATCTTTACCAGAACCATAAGTTTTTCTTCCCTCTTACAGGCGTGCAAAGTGCAATCCACAACCCCGGAATTTGGTATCAACATTGAGCGTCAGAATCGTTACAGGCAGACCAAAAAAATAAAAAAGAGGAAAAGGGTCTCCAATCCAAAAAGATAAAGCATTCTGTCCGTAGACAAAACCATCGCTTCGATCCAAACCCCCAAGAAGTCCATGAAGTTCGCCAGTCCGAAACGCCACCTTCCATGAGACCTCTGGCCTTCCCAGGAAACCGAATGAAACAGCCCAACACCTTTTCCTGGAACTGACCATGCTATATGCATGACATACGGCTGTGCCTGTGTAACGAGTCCATATGCATACACCTACTCCTGCCCCCTGCCACTCATTCCCATCCGCTCGATGTTTGACATCATTCTGCTCTTCGGCACACCTCCACTCCTGTTCACGCCCGATGCACCAACTCCCCTGCCGATCCTACTCTCGCCAGCAGCACCGCCGCCGAAACCGAAGCCAGGGCCGCGAAGACCGGACGGCTTGCCGATGCCGCTGCTGCGGAAGTCTGAGGGGCCGCTGTTGTCGGGCCTGCCTCTTGGCGTGGAACTGGCACCACTTACACTGCGGCGGAAGTCCTCAACCACCGCCTGTTGTCGGGGCGTGGCAGCTTCCGTGGCTTGCAATGAGAGCATCTCATCCACAGCAGCCACCAGCTCGCCCTTCTCGCGGCGCTCGTTCTCGAGCTCCTGCAGTAGCTGAGTACGCTCGGCACGGGCAGCCTCGATCTCACCCGCCAAGCCTGCGAGACGAGTCTTCTGCTCCTCAAGTTCGGACTTCTGTTCCTCGAGGCGCTTTTGGTCTGCCTCGCGGTTGGCGGCAGCGCGAGGGTCGAAGCCTTCAGGCAGGGATCCTGAGAGAGTGTCGTTTCTGCGGGATTGAAGATGCTCGATCTGCTTGCTGAGTTCTTCGACCTTGTGTGTAAGTTCAACGTGCTTTTTCTCAGCCTTCGACTCGTAGGACTTCTTTAGCGCTGCGACCTTCGTCTCGTGCTTCTTCTTGTACACGACGTGTAGCTCACGGCACAGTGTCGCGACCTTTTCGTCGATCTGCCGCTGGACCTCCTCAGCAGTGTAGCGCGGGCTGTTATCGCCACTATCAGCAGTTGTCATGATGCTCTGATCAACAACCTTGCTCTCGGCTTCGAGAGCCCGCGTCTCGGTCTCTGCAGCGCGTGCTTCCGCCTCTTCGGCCCTGCGATCACTCTCTTCGAGCTTGCGAAGAAGCTCTTCGCGCTCTTTGTCGCTCTTGAAAACTTCTTCACGGATGCTGCGAAGGACATCCTCGACCTCTACGCCACGTCTCTCCCATTCGGACTTTTCCCTCTCGGCGTGTTCGCGGGCAGCCGTCTCTTCGCGAACTTGCTCCTGCGCCTCACCAACCCTGCGCTCAGCGTCGGCGACAGCCTTCTTCAGACTCTCGACTTCGGCAGCACGGCCGCTGAGCGTAGCCGTGAGGGAGGATATTTGCGACTGATAATTGGACTTCATAGACTCCATCTCGCGCACGGTGATGGTAGGGATGGACCTCGGGGTCGGCATCGGGGGAAGTTCAAAGTCGAGGAGGTTCATAAGGTTGCTCTGTCTCCGGGGAGTGGATGGCTCGGCAGCATTCTTTGCGGGCGAGCGCTGGTTGTTCAAAAAGTTTCGTAAGCTCGCTTCGCCGCCAGTGGATTTCGAGGGCGAGTGGCGCTTGGTAGGAGACCTGCGACTTGAGCCGGAAAAAGCGTGAAATTGCTCAGTGAAGTCCAAGAGCAAGTTCGTTGTGTCGCCATCCCTCTCCTGTACAGTCGGACTCTTGTGGCGACGTGGGGTCGGGGAAGGAGACCTGTCGTAACCGTGGTACTCGCGCTTGCGAGCAGTGCCCGGAGTACCCGGGGTCTTTCGAGGGGTCTTTACCTAAAAGCAGGTTGTCAGCGGAAACTGTACAATTGATTGTTGGCTCAAATAGGAATTCGCCTACGTTTGCGAAAAGTTGCTTCGTCGGACTCTTGTGTCCAAGCTGGGCGAAGGCAGTCATGTCTGCGTTCGGAATCTCGGAAAATGTACTGAAGCAGGTGTTGTCGATATCGTCTGCATCGGACTGGTCATCAATGGACTCGGTCGGATTGTGGTAGTAGGAAATGTCGCTGAAGGTTGCATTCGCCTTCTCTGTTTCCATGGCGTCAATGGCCATAGTGAGCCCTTCGTTGTCGCGCAAGGTAGGCTCGGCTTCAATTGGCGTAGCGGCCTGAGGAGACCTAACAGTATCGAATTGCGGCTCAGCGACAGAAAAACGCTTGCTTGGCGAACGGCTGTTGATGCGCGATGTCTTGATGGGCGAAAGAACGTCGGCGGACACTTTCCGCACAGACTGGGTTGTTTTTTCGTCATCGAAGATTTTCAAATCCCCGGTCTTGTCCATCTGAGAGTCTGCGCGGGGCGGCAGATTCTCCTGGTCGACAAGAGATATGAAGGGCGAGCTGGGCGAATCGACGGCGGAGTCCTCCATGGTGACGAGAGGCGACTTCGGGGAAATTTGCGACAGGTTGCTGACGGCACGATGACGGGCAGACGAGGGCGTTCTGGCGTTGAAGGAGAAGGGAGCCGAAGAGGGCGACAATGGCGTCGACATGTTGCTTGAAGTTGGCCGTCGAGGTTTGTTTGCATGGCAACGGCAGACGGCAACGCCACTGCCGAAAGTAAACATGAACGCCAGCACCGGCGACTAGTTTCCCCGACGGAGCTTGGGCCACCCAAGCGCGCGCTTTGACTCTTACCTACACAGCAGGTGCTCCGCTGCTCCGCTGCTCCACGGCTCCACGGCTCCACTGCTCGTGCGACGACGAGCTCTGCGATTCATCACCTGCTGCAGAAAACCGAGTACACCCACCTGCATCCATCTCACCACGACACTGCACCCGACTGACGTGACAGTGGAATCCTCTGTCCGGCGTTTGTGCAAAGCCACGTCCAGATGCTTGCTTCAATTGCCCATGTAGGCGCCGGGTGGCCCGTGTCGCTGCACAGCCATTGCGGGGCGGATAACATCAAGGGTTCGGCATCCTCGTTCGCTCTTGTCCCGCCCAGTATCCTGCTGTCCGTCTTCATCTTGTTCTGGCTCTCCGAAGAATGCTCTGCGACGCTTGTAAGAGTGTGTTTGCTGGCACTAGCCCGAGGACCGCTTCGCCGCTGGAGATCCGAGTCCATCATCACACCCTGCAATCGTTCCAAGCCTCTGTCTTGGCCGGTTGCCATCTATGCAACCTGATCAACACGTGCGATGGATTCCTCCCAGATCTCGCATCTGACGACTCCAATGGCCGCCAGAAACACTCCCGAATCGAGTGGCTGTTCCTTGACGATGAACTTCTTTTCATCCGGCGCGATTATTCGGCTTCCGGGATGCCTTTCTCGTCCCTTTCGGCCCAGGCCGTTGTCAAGTTGATCGAAGCCGAGAGTATGGGCCTTCGCCTTCTCCCATAGATGGTTGCCTAATCTGGGAACAGAAGCTGAGCACTCAGCGTCCGCCTTTCGGCACACTTCTATGACCCTTTCGGAGCCCTCATTGGCCACAGCACGGGCATGGCTCGAGGAGTGTCTCCAAAAACATTGCCATGCGTGTGCCGAAGCTTCTTCAGAGAGTCGATCGTTCTTCCCAAGCAGAATTGTCGACGTCGGGGCTCTGGATGATCCTTCTGTCGTCAAAGTGTTTGTGCCAACATGTCCCATTTCCGAACCATACGCGACCCTCAGCCACTGCTGGGGCGATACACAACCTGTACGCCTGGTGAAAGCTAACCTTGATGCCTTTCGAACAGGCATTGATGTACAATGTCTCCCAAAAACCTTTCAGGATGCAATCTTCGTAACCCGGAAGCTGGGCTTGCGCTATGTTTGGATAGACTCTTTATGTAAGTGTTGTTTCTCCCTTCTTCCTCTTAATTACTAACTATCTAAGGTATCCTTCAAGACTGCGCGGACGACTGGCGCGCCGAGTCGTCCATGATGCGCTACATATACCTATATGGCGCACTGAACATAGCCGCATCGGCTGCCTCGTCCGACCATGAAGGGCTCTCTTTCCCACGCAACCCGCACATCACCCGCCACATTCCCATCTCCGTCACCTGGGACTCCCCGGACCTCCTTGCGCAGAAACCACGCGGCGCCTACTACCTCTTCAACGGCGACATCTGGGACCGTGAAGTCGAGTTCGCCCCGCTCAACGCCCGCGGCTGGGTGCTGCAGGAGCGCTTGCTCGCACCACGCATCCTCCACTTCGGTCGCAACCAGCTCTACTGGCAGTGCAACACCATCTTCCACTCGGAGATGTTCCCGCGCGACCTGCGGACCAAAAATCTGGGCCCGTATGTCCCGCGAGTGTCTTCCAACTTCATGCGCTGTTTCAGCGGCCTGAAGAAGCGGCAGAGGAAGAGCAACATGCCAAAGAAGGAGGACGACGGGCCATATGCCCGCTGGAGCGAGCTCGCCAACGCGTACAGCGCGACGGCGCTCACGCGCGGCCAGGACAAGCTGATCGCCGTGCAGGCGCTCGCCGAGACGATGCGCGACGCCACCGGGGACGCCTACGTCGCCGGCCTGTGGAGGAGTCGTATCGTCGACGACGTGCTGTGGCGGACCGAGGTCGACGCGCTCCTGCCGTCTCCGCCGCCGCGCAGTGCTGCCGCCTCGTGCCAAAATGCAGCGATCACCGGGCGATCGCAGCCGTGGCGCGCGCCGACGTGGAGTTGGGCAAGTCTGGACTGCCAGATCGAAGCCAGGAGCACGTGGCACTACTCGGCGGCGCGGGGAGGCGATGGCGACGACGATGGGAAGAGGCTCGTGAGGAAGATGGTGCCGGAGGTTGCGGGTTTCAATGACGTGGGGACCGGACAGTTGAGAGATGCGCGGCTGAGGGTGGAGGGGCTGCTGTACCGGAACACCCAGCCGTTGTCGTTTAGGGTCCTGGAGAGCCCGCTCAGTCTCTACCGGGCAGCAGAGGACACCACACCGTGGAGCATGAAGGTGGTGCTCGACGAGTGGGATGCCGCGTTCGCTGGCGAGAACAAATACGTGATCCCTACGGGCGCTTTGTTCTTCCCGGTTGGCTCGCCCATAGCTGGTACCGTTGAAGGGCTGCTTTTGGAGCCGGTACCGAGGGCGAGCGGCCACTTCAAGCGAACGGCTTACTTTGAAGTGGATCTTCTGCTGTACGGTAGCGACGACATCCTGGAAGAGATAAATGTCTTGGAGGATGCACATGACCTGGGACTGGCCGGATGTGTTGACGGAAAAGGTAGAACGCTCTATCCATTCACTCTTCTATGAATTTGACGTCTTGGAATGCAATACAACCCAGTCCAGCAAGTGCTGCAACAGGAACGGCGGGTAGTTGAATTTTCTATCTGGAGAGGAATGCACCGAATATGTGTCTACGGGTGTTTCTGTAATGCTGATTTCTCACCGGGCGCTGGGGAATCCGCATCAGTGGCGTTGTGACGCGGCGGTAGTTTGGTGGGTGAGGCGACGTAGATGGCGCAGCCATGAGTGATATCCCGAGGATGATAACATTGGGGAGAAAGCCTGATTCGGACAGCTCCGGGATGGTCACTACAGCTTCACGTCACGTTTGGTGAGGGGCGTCAAGGAGAACCCATGCGATTCAACTTCAACGCAAGAGACAAAAGCTACCACGACGTTTAGCTGAGGCTACAGACAACCTCGGTCGACACGCGCTCTATGCAGACTTCAGACTCATTCAGCCCAAGGGTGATCCTATCTAGGCCAGAGCTCTTCCAGATCAACCCGCTTAGCGGCGGCCGCTCGACAGAGCCCCCCTCGTTATCAGGCAACAACTCCCAGCGGAACCCACTTTTTCCCTGACAAGACCTCTTGATACCAGTCACTAGAGTTGCGTTAATAATTAACACTGCTCGCTTTGTTCCAAACGTTGAGCGGTTGTGAGTATCCGGGTGTAGACAGCTCGTCCCTGCTGACCTCAGTGACGTTGTAGCCCAGACCGAGCATTTTTTGGTAGCCAAAACGGTAATCGCTTGGCGCCTTTTGTACAAAACGGGAGTTTCTTTGTGGCTCTTTTCGCCATTTCGGAATTTGACCACGGTGCTGGTTGTGCTCTGGTAGGTTGAGTCACGGCTTAGCCTCTGCCACTTTATTGGGGTTACCGCCGGATGGAGCGGTTGAACGGTCTGGAATAGACGAAGGAGGTGCGATGGCAGGATTGTTGCTGTGGTGGCCACGGTGACTATTCTCCGTCTGCGTGCGCGCTACGCTGGCGAGAAACGGCTCCAGGTCGTTGTTCTTCCACCCAGAACAGATAGCGGGTGTTGGCTTAGGAAGAGGCACGTATCCTCCCTGAGGCTTTGGTGGAGGTAGTGAGGGTCTGTAGTAAAGATGGGCAGCCGTCGACTGTGAGCCACCTGGACTTGCTTGGGAGGAAGACGGGCCATTCTTGGGAAAGTCCCTGGCTGGATAATGAGTGTTGCTTTGGGCTGATGTGTGAGACATGTCAGTCCCGCTAGATGACAACGGGGATAATTCGTTGAGTGACGTAGGAGGGAAGTGCTTGGCAGGAGAAGAAGGATGCTGAACGGGGACGGGCCGCGGCGCGTATGGAACATTTGAGGGGCTCAGAGTTGGGCGTTCTTCAACAAGTGGTTGCCCAACCGGCATGGCTTGGATAGGACCCTGTCTACTCTGTGCGTGTTGGTAAGCAAGATTGTAGGGAGGGCCGAGAGTCGGATCGAAAATTGGTGTTTGCCCCCCATAGGCAACCCCGGCAGGCCAGTAACTTGGCGTATAGTGACTAGTAGACGGGTAGATTACTTCCAGTGCACGTTGGTAAGCAAGATCGTAGGGAGTCGGATTGGAAATAGGTGTTTGCCCCCCATAGACGACCCCGGCGGGCCAGTATCTTGGCGTATAGTGACGAGTAGACGAGCAGATCATGGGCCCATTCTGCTTCTCTGGGGTGGTATTTGACCGTCGAATCTCAAATGCGAAGGGCGGAACCAATGGCGGCGGCGTGTGTGGCCTAGTCGAGGCCGATATGAATCCTAATGGGCTATGGTGACGACCTTCTTGCGAGGCCTGAGATTGCATGCCACGCGTTTGGCCTTGGCCTTCGCAGCGCCACGCCTCGACGAGAGGCCCTGGCGCGATCCGAAGCGCTTGATCGCATGTTGAAAGCGGGCTCGGGCGGAGTGGTGCGAAGGAACGACGATCGACGCCTTTGCTTTGCGCCTGACCATTGCTGTTGTTTGATGGGTTGTACGGGTTCACTGCTTGAGCCTCAACAGGACTGTTCCCCTGACAATGCGCAGGATTCAGCCTCCCAGCGTTGGCTATCTCCATCTCATGCGCATTCACCCGAGTCTCACTGCTGCTCTTCCTCCTAGATATAGGCGCCATACCTCGAGATGGAATAAAAAATGTCCTGAGGTAGTGTACTGACGTGAACAGGCTCTGGAGGCTTCAAAAGAATGGCAAAAGGATTGTAAGTTGGCCGTGCTTCGGTATGGTGAAGCAGAATGGATAGAGGCATAGAGGCAGACCCGGGCGCTGGCGGGACGCATACTGCAAGAGCATTGGCGCCATGTCGAAATAAGCAGGCACAGGCAGCTGTGGTAGTCACTGGAGAGCGCCTTCGGTACGCGGATGCTGAGGTCACGCCAGGTCGTGCTCCGGCTTCATTCAAACAATCCATCATGGTTCGGAGAAAACCCAAGCCGCAGTGTCGCTGGTGGCGGCCAGGAAATGCCCGACGCAGATGCAGGAAGTGAGGCGCAGTGAGCTGCCGCATCCCTGGGGCTGATGACCGAAACAGTTAGCATTGCAGATGCGCGTGTTCGCCATTGGGCTGCAGGCACACACGAGCGTCGTCGGCGCAGTGCAGTGGCAGTACTGGCAGTACTGGCAGTGGCACAGAGGGCGCGTCGGCCTGGTGTCGTGTTGGCGCCTTGGCTGGCGGTGAGCGGCGGCCCAGTATGACGAAGCTGCCAGCTCCCCACCGCGCGCGAAACCTTCATCCGACAATTTACCTGCCCGTCACCCAACCCTCACCATCCGCCTCACCCCGACAGCCTTTCCGCAGGCGCTCCAGGATAATTGGCCTGCTCCGCTGTCTCGCAATTACTCCTGGAGGCGCTGACGCCGCAGCTCCGTCCTCGCCAGCCGCTCGCCCTCCCGCCGCGCCTGCTGCTTGCTTGCTTGCTTGCTTGCTTGCTCCACGCCCGCCATGGCTCCGTCCACCGCTGAGCGAGCCCGCTCCACGCGCGCGAACCCGCAAACCCCTGCGCCCGTTGTTCCTCGCATCATCCCCGCCGTCCCGTTGTCGTTTGAGCGCAAGTCGAAGAAGCCGCAGCCCGAGAGTCGCGCTGCTGCGTCCGCCGACCAGCTCGCATCAACCATCGCTGCCGCTCCCAACCCCCAGCCTGAGCGCGTGCCCGACCGTGCTGCAGCCACCGACAACCCACCTCCACTTGCAAATGGAAACCAGCCTCACGCCGAGACGGACATCATTATGAACACAAGCGCTGTTGGGCCGTCTCCAGCTGACGCAGCGGGTACCACGTCCGACGCCGCCGCTGTGCATGCTCCTCCAGCGGCTAAAATTGGTGTGCTCTCCTCTTTCACGTTGAGTGCTAGTTTTTCGAGGTCGCTAATAAATTCCAAAGCCGATAAAACTGCTGCCCCGGTACCTGAATCCCACCACGAGCAGTCTCAAGAGCCTGGTCAGGCCGGCTCGCGTGAGCCGCAACACCATCAACAATCCGGACCCCAACCCCGCCAACAACGCCAACCCTTCGAGCTTCCTCCGCCCTTCTACCCGTCCACCGATCGCTCTACCCCTACGTCGACTACCTCGTCCACCTTCACCCGCCCGCAACCTCCCGCCAACCCTCCGATCATGCACAATCCGAGGCCCAGTGCCAACGGTATCGTGTTCGGCGGATATCCCGATTCTTCCAGTGTGTCCCCGGCACCTCCAGTCACAAACGGGAACTTCCCATACCCTCCACCGCCTGGAGCCTACCCAGCTTCCACAATGGTGGCGCCGCCCTACCCGTTCCCGGCTCATGCCCACCATTTCTCGGAACCCCACACGGCTATGATGCCTGCTGCCGTAGCGCCAAACGGAGTCGGCAACTTCGGCTGGAGGAGAGTGGACCAGCCTTTGCCGCTTCATCTTCGACAGGGTCATTCCACGCCAAACCCAAGTGTGACCAATTCTGGCTTCTCTCCCATCCACCCTAGCGCGGGTTACGGCCAGTCCTTCTCTCCGGTCCACATTAACGGCTTTCATCCTCTCTCTAGGTCAGACTCACAGGCTTCGTCACCGCGGATCCCGGTAACGGACGATACGCCGAGTGAGGTGCCTGTGGAGGACGCTAGCCGGAAGCGTTTCGTTCATCCCATTCAAAATGGCGTGCATTCTCGCAAAGCGCCAGCGCCGGCGCCGGCGCCAGTCTTCCCGCCGACCTACCCCCAAGGTGCGGCCGAGTTTGGCTTGCGGGCGTATATGCGCTCTCAGTTCAGCTCGCGTGTGTATGCGGATTCGGTCCTCAAGCTCTACCCCGGTGGCGGTCGCGAGGTGATTCTCTGCTTGCCCGTGCACAGCGTCATACTCGGCCGCAACCGCAAATTTGCTGATATCATATCGAAGTCTCCGCCCTTCCATTCGGAGTCTGGCTTGCGCGTTCTTAACGTGTTGGCTGAAGATCGCTTCCTCGACGGGCCCATATTCGCGGAGGCATTGAAGTATTTGTACAGTGAGGACATGCTCAGCCCTATGGATTTCCTTCAAGGCCTGGCGCCCTTCACTGGCAATGTGACTGAAGCCCACGGATATGGGTCTCCGGCGCAACGGATGAGCCATGCCTTGGCTTATGCGGCAGCGGGGTTCTGGCTTGAACTTCGTTGCATTGTGAGTCGTGGACTTGAAATTGCGAGGGAGCTTCTACGCTGGGATACTGTCGAAACCGCACTGGGGTTTGCGCTTGACGGTGGCCTCGATGCCAGCTGGCGTGTGGACGATGCGGCAGAAGACTCATCCAGTGACGACGCATCTTCGAAGTTTGATACGGATTTCGCGCCCAGCTATGGGTCGTACAGCACGCAGTTCCTGCAGACGATCAATGGGTTCCTGGTTCACAACTTTCCGGACGACTTCGAGCTCGACACGTCTGCATCGCATCTCCACGAGCTTCCGCGCATGCCGTCAACGGAGGATGGCAGGCCAGTCAGCCGCAACCCCCGGCTGAGCCAGATTCGGTTCGGAGAGGTGCCGGTCGACTCGAGGGGCCCGTCGCAGCACACGACCAGTATCCTGTCCAGCATCCTCCTTTCGCTGCCCTTCCCGGTGCTCAAGGCATTGCTGGAGGACTTTGCGCTCTGCAGCCGTCTCGGCAAGGGCAGGGTCGGTCGGCTGATGCAGGTGGTGGTTGCAGAGCGCGAAGGGCGTCGCAGGAAGATGGGCGGACAGGCCGACGATGGCGCGAAAGCGAGCACGGTGTGGTGCGAGCGGGTGGAGCCATGGCCACAGCACGGATGCGGACAACGGCTCGCACGATCGCGTCAAGACATTGATACCCCCGCGTCATCGGACAACAGTCACGGGCAGATGCACTAGTTTGCCGGTGTTTTGATTTTATTTCTAGTCTCAGTTTCGCTGCGGATGTGTAAGGCCTTTCGGAAAAAGAAAAAAGCATAATGGCATTTGCATAGCGGGCGGCAGGCGTTTCGGGAAGGGGGACCAAAATCTTATATTGCGATTTCACAGGATGCGAATAATCTGGCGGATTTCTTTTCCACTTGGACAGTGGTGGACTGGGCAGGACAGCTTTTTGGGCGAGCGAAAATCAAGGATGGATGAAGATTTCAAATTTCGAGTCGCTTTCTTACGTTGGATGGACGGGGGCAGCCATGGCAGGTCTAGACCAACAGGCAAGACGGGATACCAGGTTGCGAGATGGGACAAGACGGGGAAGTGAGGACAGAATGATGACATGACGACTTGTATACCACAGCACTAGCTTTTCTCGTCTCGCGGCTGTGTCTGTTTCTTTCCCTTTTCCTTCCTGTTTCCTTCTGGGGTAGGGTAGGGTCAGGCTGGTCTGAGCAAGCATATACTAACACGGTATAGTTGTACGGGCACGCAACGCCAAGTGCACTGGTGAGGAGTGACTGCTGGGGCCGGGGCCGTGATCGGAGTGCATTGCTCAGCATGCGGAAGATGCGGAAGATGCGGAAGCCCATGTTTGTGAAGGCGGCGTGGTGAGAAAGCCGGTGGACGATTACTCAGCAGGTGAGACTAAGACGGCCCAGAGGGGAAGGAGGAGCGGGCCGGCAAATCGGCAATTGCATACAGCAACGCAGCAACGCTCGCTCGCCAAACCGCGCGAGACGCCGGCCGGTCATGGGGGCACGGGGGCATGATGTGCATGATGTGCTCGATGATGAATAACAGAAAACCGCGGGGCCCGGCCTGTCTGCCGCACGGTAAAAGGGACTGAACGTCCGCGCTTGGCACCTGCCGTGCTCTTATCACCTCACCTTTTTTTTTCCTTTCGTATTCGCCGCTCGTCTGACAGGTCTTGGCTCTCTGCTGGCCTCCCCTTGTTCCCGTCGGCTCTCCCGTTTGCTTCTCCCGACTCTTGCACGGCGGGTGGTGTGCGAGAAGGATTTCCCCCACACTCGGCGCCACAGACGCACTACCGCCCCGCAAGCTTCTGCCGGGCAGTCCTTTTAAGCCAGCACCAGCTCGCCGGTTCCTGAAACTGCCCGCAGCCCGCAGCCCGCAGCCCGCAGCCCGCAGCCCCGAAGATGCGCGACGACATTGAGCGCGCCGAGTCGCTGTCGTCTGCCGCCTCGGGCCCCGACACGGAGCTGGAAAAGAAGGACCACGACCACTACCCGCCCCAGGACCTGTCCGAGACCGACATCGAAGCCGTGCCGCCTGCACCCCACGCCCCGCTGGAGAAGACGACGTCGAGGAAGTCGAAGCATTCGATAAACAATGTTTCGTCGGTGCCCAACGGCGGCCTGCTCGCCTGGCTGCAGGTTCTGGGTGCCTTCTTCCTGTTCTTCAACTCTTGGTAGCCCTCTATCATCTACCGTGGCCGTGGACATGCAGTGCTGACTCGATGCCCAGGGGAATCGTGAACTCGTTCGGCAGCTATCAGACCTACTACGAAAGCGACCTCTTGACGAGCTCAACCCCTTCGTCCATTTCATGGATTGGCTCTGTCCAGGCCTATCTCCTCATGCTCGTCGGCGCCCTGACCGGCCCCATCTACGATGCCGGCTACTTCCGCCACCTTCTCGTCTTCGGCTCCTTCCTCGTCGTCTTCGGCCAGATGATGCTCAGCCTCTGCACCGAGTACTGGCAGGTCCTGCTGGCCCAGGCCTTTTGCGTCGGCATCGGCACCGGCTGCCTCTTCGTCCCCAGCGTGGCCATTCTCAGCACCTACTTCACCACCCGCCTCGCCACCGCAACCGGCATCGCCGCCGCCGGCAGCAGCATCGGCGGCGTCATCTACCCCATCATGCTGCATCGCCTGATCGGCCCCATCGGCTTCCCCTGGACCGCCCGCATCATCGGCTTCATCGCCCTCGCCACCCTGCTCGTGCCCAACCTCTGCATGAAGGTGCGCGTGCTGCCGGCCTCACGCCGCAAGATGCTCGACCTGCCCGCCTTCAAGGAGCCGCCCTACGTGCTCTTCATCTTCGGCGCCATGGTCGTCTTCATGGGCCTGTACACGCCCTTCTTCTACATCCAGCTCTACGCCCTCGACCGCACCATCACGTCGTCGAACCTGGCCTTCTACATGCTGTCCATCATGAACGCCTCGTCGACCTTCGGCCGCATCTTCCCCAACATGCTGGCCGACCGCATCGGCCGCTTCAACACCATCGCGCCCTGCGCCCTCCTCTCCGGCGTGCTGATCCTGTGCCTCATCGCCGTGCACGACCTCGCCGGCCTCGTCGTCTTCTGCGTGCTGTACGGCTTCTTCTCCGGCACCTTTGTCAGCCTGCCGCCGCCCATCCTCGTCGCCCTCAGCCCCGACCGCAGCAAGATCGGCACCCGCATGGGCCAGGCCTTTTCGTGCATCGCCATGGGCATCCTGGTCGGCACGCCCATCGGCGGCGCCATCCAGAGCAAGCACGGTTTCACCGCCCTGTGGCTCTTTGGCGGCATCGTGACCATCGGGGGCAGCTTGAGCGTCGTGGCGGCTAGGGTGTGCAAGTTTGGGTTTTCGTTGACGCAAAAGGCGTAGATGTGGTGCGGGAAATTGGATCGTGCGGAGCTTGTAAATAGAGCAAAACCGGGTACGGGCATAATATGTGTACATGTAAATATTCAATGCCGTGCACATGAAACACTGAATAACTAATAATGCAGTAAAGAATGTCTTGTTGCTTCGTTTCACGTGCTTCAGCCAAAAAAGGAAAGATGGGATGGGGAAGAGGAACAGCCTGTACAATTAGTCTCCTTTGCCTCGACAGCAGCTTCCACGTCGCAATCTACGGCTCGCAGGAATTTTGAGGAAAACGTTCCCTATTCTGGCCGCTCAACCGGCCATCCGGAAGGTCTCTGTGCACCCAAGTATACGGCCAAGCCCATCGCAATGGAACCTATCGTGTTTCACCACCGCTAGGCTCTTCTCACCCCGATCATCATGTCTTGGGGGGAAAGAAGGAGCGAGGTTTCTCGGAGCGCTACTGTGAGCAACCATCAAGCAGCATCAAGGCAAGCGTTACGCCGCTCGCTGGACCCGTTGCAGGTTTTGAAGCAGTGCGGCCGATACAGCAGCCGAGCCATGGCCGACACGATGCGTGCCGTCTCAGAAAAGCATAGGGTGAAGACGGTGAAGAAACTCCCGAGTTAGCTACGAACTCTCCATAGAGAAACAATCCGGAGACGCCTGGAAGACGCGCCACAATCAGGTGATCTTCATGTGGGAAACCTTCAACCCCACCCCACCCCTTCTCGTGGGGCATTGCCCGATCGGTCACTAGCTTTGGGCCATGCAATTACCGTCCGGGCCCTTGACGTCACGAGGAAAGATCCAAACACCACAAGGGTATCGTGATGATGCCCGAAAGGGCTGGCCGAGCACTTGCATTAGTGAATAAGGTTCACAAGGAGTCCGTATTACTTCAGTATGTATGTACATGACGATTGCTCCTAAAGGGGTGCAGCGACATTCTCCTTTCCCTCTTTTTTTGGTTTCCTTTTTTGTTTGTGCACCTCGCAGAATTACTGGGAGGAGCTCGTATATGGAAAGGTCGCACGGCTCATATATGACAGTTGCATAGCAGCTGTGCCCGTGACAGTGACATGTCTCCAGCGATGGTCCTTGCTGCTGTGATCCGCTGGGACCCATCAACTTAGACAGCACGGAGTCGAGGAGTAGCCAAAAAGAATCGATTGTGACAATGCGGGGATTAGGCTACCGGAACATCGGCTGTCATGGGATTTCGCGGCGAGAGCATATCAAGGAGACGATGTCCCCGCAAATGCCGCTTTTCCTGCAATCTCGCTGCTCATTCATCTCGCCGACGCAGACTCGTAACCATGGTGTAAGTCGTCCAAACATCTGTAGCCCGAGGGCTGGAGAAGCGTTTGCTGAACGTGCTTGTCGGCAGGTGCTCCCACGTCGTGCACGCGACAGCCGCCATGTTTGGCGCCTGTTCCGGGAACACGGCCATGAACAAAGTCCAGCACGTGAAGCTGAAGAGAGAGATCGAAAGTAAGGAGCACAAGAGCAGCAAAGCCGCGAGTGGCGATAACTGACGTCGGGCCTGCCCAGCCATGTGCAACCTCATGCAGCCGGGAGGGGTCATCTCCTTCGTCTGGGACGGCCACGCCGCGGGGAACGGCAGCCAGAAGCTGACGAGATACACATGCACCGTCGGCTGGAGCAGGCGGGTCAGTCTCCTCGACCGCTCGCCCAGCTCCTACTTCGGCCCCAAGAAAGTGGAATACATCAGTCTCGTGGAATCGCACACGTACGCCCCGGTGAAGCACTTCTGGGAGCCCTTCCAGCGCGAGCCGCGCTTCGCCATCCAGGTCCTGGTGCTGCAGAACCTGGTCAAGATTTGCTGCGACACCATGGCGCGCCGCTACGGCCCCAACTGGAGGGAGAAGACGCTGCTCAAGGCGCAGGGCGCCGACATCGCCCTCGACGAGAAGCGTGCCTACGGCGTCCTGCACACCATGGGCGGTCCCGCCGGCGGCGGCGAGTGGATCCACGTCCCTGCCGGCTGCGAGGCGCCCGAGCCGCACATGCGCTTCCCTCCCTACTCCGGCCCTGCCGCCGTCGAGGCGCCCGTCGATCGCTGCCAGTACGAGATTGATGAACCCGAGACGGGCTACGGGCGCACCGACGAGATGGACGATATGGAGCATTTCATGATGCTGAAGCGACGCGTGACGAACAACGGCAGGCTGCTGCCCGACGCCGACGGGTGCTATAGACGAAGTAGCTCGAGCCGGGGTGCTTACCGAACCTCCTCAGTTCTCTCGGATCCTCGCCGCTCCCATTCACAACACAGTCGTGCCAACCGGACTGCACGCACTGAGTCTTCGTATTCGAGTTCCCTGGCCAACGGTGAAGGGCCGCGCCCCAAGAAAACGAGACATGATCGTGGCCCGAAACATAGCGCCGCGGAGAAACAGAAGTCCAGGAGAGACGACAACTATAGCATAAAGGAGGACAGTCCCAAGAACGCCGCCATTGAGCGGGAGTAGGTCGGAGGTCGTTGGCGTCGGCGAGCAATGCTTTTTCCATATATGTTGGGAGGATGAAGTTAAGAGTGGCAAGACCGCATCAATGTATCGTAGGCAGACTGGGTATCTTCTAATAACGTATAAATCAGCGGTGCAAAGGCACCATTATTCGGCGAAAAGCAACCCGACCATAGTCTTCGTTGCCTCGAAGACACCCATTTCGCCTACAAGCTTGTCAAACGTTGCAGGGATTTTGCGCAGCGAGCCTCGATCATCTGCTTCGCGCCCTGGGTACGTTGTTAGCACAAGATCATCGTCGGCCGGCTTGGGTATACTTACAGACGCCAGGTAGAGCCACGTCTGCACCAACCACCGACTCCGCCTCGCCAGTCCAGTCGAACCGAATCTTCCAAGAGACCTTAAACAACACCTGCCTACTCCGCAGATTGATTCTTTCGCGGCCAAGTCCGTACATCAATTCCAATCTCTTAATCCGCCTGTCTTCTTGATCGCCAACTGCGACATCATTGCCGATGCCTGAAACCTCTTCGGTCTCCTCTTCTAGGAGATTCGAGCTCGTGGGAACCTCTTGATGCGTTCCAACACGCTGAACAGTTCTCTTGCCGCTGCCTCGCCCATCTTGCACCGGCGGGCCATGGTCCAAGAGGTGACCGAACTTCCTGTAGCACTTCGCCCAGCACTTCGCACGCTTGACGGCAACGTCATAATAGGATTCGGTAGCCCAGCAAACTGCACCAATGTCATTCTCCGCCGCTCGCAGCTTGATCCACGCGCCCAGATCGTGAGAAGCCCAAGGCGAGAGCGAAGCAATCTCTAGCTTCGTGACACTTTGGGTGGCTGGGTTTGCGGATAGCTTCAACTCGAGATGAAGGAGAGAATCCGGCGAGCGTATGCTAATCGAGTGAATCTGGTGCCCTATCTCTTCCCCTACATCTATCCTCGAGTCGTACTCAAACGTAGTGATAAATCGCAAATATGGAAGCGGATTCTCTAATTCGATGGGCGCGTGCGAAGGCAAAGCTTCTTCTGGTTCCTCGAGCGGAGGCGTGGGAGGACGGATGGGTTTTGCTAGAGGCAAGAAGGCCGATAGTAGAGAGGACAGTGATGGGGCTTCTGGTTTTAATGACGATGGGGGCGGATTGGCCTTGGTAATGAGGGAGACCAAGGCAGACATGTCCTCGGCACTATCTTCTCCAGAAGCTGTGCGGTTGCGCTCAATCTCCTGCTCGTACTGTCTAATTTCTTCCTGCATCTCTTGCAATTGCTTTTGAAGGCGATCCTTCTGCTTCTGCTTCTCTTTCGAATCATCCTCCACCTTTGGCACATCGGGCGGTGGCCTACTTTCGAAAGCGGTGGAATCCACTCCCTGTGTGGACTCTTCTACTTGTCGTCTCTCCGCCAGTCTCATGTTGCCTGCGCCAGCATCCAGGTCTTGCTCTGCAGGTTCCGGCCTCAAAGGCAGCTCCCGCGGTTTGAACGGCGACGACAAGCGCTGGCCAAGGGACTTGTTCCTCCTCGCCTTCTTACTCGGCGAGGAGAAAAGCGCCTGCTCCGGCGGTAAGTCCGGCCTCGCAGCAGGTGACCCTGTCGGATATGTGGGCAAGTCATCCTCCGCTTGTGCCACACTTTCCTGCGCCAATTGGTCCGCGGCGGCGGCCTGAAGCACGTCTCTGGTCGGCAGCAGACGCCCACCTATCGAGCGTCTGCGCTGATCGCCACCGTCCTGCTGTGGTGCGGCAGCAGCATTGTTTCCTTCTGACGGCAGGCCTGGGTTCTGCTGGCTCTCCCCCAGCACGTACGATAGGGCCCGCTGTCCACGGCTGGGCGGCTGCGACGGCTCGTCGGGCTCAGGAGCTGCGGAGGCGGCGGAGGCGCGTCTGGACAGGACCTCGGGGTTGAAACGGGCAAGGCTGGCTCTGGTTGGAGACAGAAATGACGCACGGCGCGGAGGCGTCCTTCGTAGGGCATTGCGCGGGCGGAAATCACCATTCTCGGTGACGACAGGGGGTTCGGCGGAGGTCCTGCGGCGCTTAGGCGACGGTTCGGCCATTTTCTCTGGCGTTCACAGACGGCGGTGGTGGTTGTCGCGTTGTTTGGCGAATAGTTGCTGCGGGCACGCGTCGCGCGTCGCACGGGCGGGCGGCAACGGAGACGCAGGCCCTCGGACGGAGGAGAGCTCCGAGGCCGGAATTGCCGGTCCCTGCCTGCCGCAGGCCGGGATGACTTCATCGATCTTTTTCACTCCTGCCACCCGGCCACACCTCTCTTTCAGCATGGATACCTCGCCTCGCTGACAGGCAGCCTGACTCGAGACCCGACGAACCATTTTCACAGCGCAGGCATCGCGCACGAGGCACCACATCTTCACAAGTCTCACAATGCCATCTCCCACCCCCCGCTTTCCACTATGCGCCAGCTGCCTACGGCAGCTCCGATCCTCGATCCACCCCCGCCCTCTCAGGCCCGCCAACAACAATGCGACGACAACAACAGCGGCGGCGGCAACAACAGTAACAACGATGCAACAGCGCACGATCAAATACCACATTTCGAAGCCGGGCGAGCAAGCGACGCCGCTGCAGGGCTTCTACGCCGACATGCTCGCGCACCCGCTGCACCAGACACCCGCCGCCACGCGCACGGCGCCCGCGCCGCCGCCGGCCGACGAGCTGCCCAAGACCACCAAGGAAGAAACGCTGGCCAAGGGCCGCATCGTGTTCGGGTCGCGCCTGGCGGGGCCGACGGAGCGCAAGGAGAAGCGCAACGCCGGCAGCAAGATGATCGCGGGCGTGCGGGTGCCGCCGAAGCCCGAGGAGCCCGACAACTGCTGCATGTCGGGCTGCGTCAACTGCGTGTGGGACGTCTACGGCGAGGACCTGGACGAGTGGGCCCAGGCCACGACCGAGGCCAAGGCGCGCATCAGGGCGCAGGAGACGGAAAAGCGGCTGAAGGGCCAGGGCACGGGCGCCATGTTGGCGTCCAAGGGCACGCCGACGCACGTTGCGAGCTCCATGGATGATGATGGCGGCGGAAGCGAGACGAACTGGAGCATTGATTTGGGAGAGCTGGGCGAGCTGGGCGACGCGCAGCCCGAGAAGCCGATCGAGGAGGAGCTGTGGAAGAACATTCCCGTCGGTATCAGGGAGTTTATGAAGACGGAGAAGCGGTTGAAGGAGCAGCACGCTGAAGAGGAAGCGCGTGCTTGAGCCGAGCCCTGACGTCTGTAAATATTGGATGTCTCGCATTTTGCGATTGGGAGGCATGTTGCGCCATTCTGATAGATTATACCCAGCCAAGTAGGCCCCTTTGCGGCATAAGCGTCCTTATAGAGAGTACAATAGATCATCGACCTGATTAATCTTCTGAAGACTCCACGCCCCCGTCCCCCGGGGAGATGCGAGCGGCAGCCCCTCCACCTTCCTAGAACGCCAGCTGAAGCATCCCTCCGCAATCTCGCTGTCTAGTCGACGTCGACGCCCTGGGCCGACAGCTCATTCCTGGCCTGCTCGATTTCCAGCATCAACTCCTTGTGCGCCTCCGGTACATCGTTGAAGGTGAAGACACCCAGGCCCAGCTTGAACAGGAGGTACGCGCCGAACGAGACAAGGACCCAGAAAGGAAGCTGTTGCAACGCGAGCAAAGGAATCGTCAGCAATTGATGCAGCTGTGTGTGGACGCGGGCGAGGGGGACACGGCTGGGCTACGTACGACAGGGATGAGTTCTTCCTGGATCCTGGGAGCGAGCGGGACGAGGCCAAGGTACAGGGCCAGGTAGAGCTGCCAATTGCGTTAGCGGGACCAGCGGCGCGGCTTGACAGCGGAGGGGTGGCGGCGCACGGAGGAGAGCAGGAGGCCAAGGGAGATGGTTTGCTGAGCGCGGGTCATGGTGGAAAATCCGCGGGGGGATCGGAAGCGTAACGACAGTGGTGCAAGCGAGAGGCTGAAGGAGCGGCGGGTTGGGCGGCAGGTCGAGGTGGTGAGGTGAGCTTCCTGGCGGTGCAGACGGTGCAGCAGCTCAGAGGGCGGAGAGCCAAGGTGGCCCCGTCGACACGTGACGGCGATCAGTGCAGGGTGGTGCAGGGACCCCCGGTCCCCTATCGAAGGCCCCAGAAGGCTGCGAGCCGAGCAAATCACTCTCTTAAACTGCGCTCCCAAGTCCCTTGGCCTGACGTAGCCACCCGCTTCCCGTTCGAGACACCCCTTCACCATGGAGTGGCCCGCCGCAGACAATGCGCCTGCTCTCGCGAAAGCGGTCAAGGCATTCTTTGATTCGCCCGGCCAGGAGCCAAGCGCGCAGTCGCTCGAGCGCCTGCTTCCTCGGCTCCAAGCCGTCCGGAGAGGCGATCAGCCCGAACTGTGGGACAAGCTAATCGAGTCGTTGGCCGACGCCTGCCGCGACCGTAAGCATCCAACGCTCCCACGTCCGCCGTGCCCCCCTGCTCACGCGAGACGCAGCAACATGGCGCGAGCCCATCGAGCGCGCCGGCCTTCTGAAGTACTGTCTGGAAAGCCTCGACGCCGCCGAGCTCCCGGTCGATTCGTCCAAGCAGCTGCTGCGCGCAATCGGCAACGGCGTTGCGGACCGCGATGAGTCGAGGGCGGTCGTGCTTCCCTTTCTGGACAAGATCATGAGCTGCCTGCAGAACCCAGCCCTTCTGCCCGTTGCTATCAGCGTCCTCTACAACACATGCCTCGGATACGGTACGCCCATGTCGGCGCCCTTGGCCATCCGCCGCAACTGCTGACCAGACGACCAGACCCTGCTCAAAAGGAGGCGGCAGGCCTGCGGCTCGACCGCCAGCTGTGCCGTCACCTGTCCGACGACCCGCCAAACGTTTCCCAGCTCATAGAGCTTCTCGCCTGGGTCTCCGACAAGCTCTCAGACGACGTCCTTGGCGAGTCTGAAGACTGCCTGAACGCCACCATCCAGTATCTCTCCTCCTGCGAGGAATGGGAAGACTTCAAGCACCTCATCGCCGCAGCCTCCGTCTACCTGCAAGACAGCAGCGTCCAAGCCAAGGTCCTGCACTCCGACGGCATGTCCCAAATCACCACGCTCCTCAAGCAAAAGACCGACCAGCTCGACCAGCTGCAGGCATCCATGCGCGACGACGAGAAGAAAGGCTTCCTCGAAGACCTGCGCATCGCCACCGGCCTCGTCATGAACGCCATTGCCGCCATCACCGCCTCGGACGACTTCACCCGCCTCTACACCCTCTCCTCGCCGCTGATCCGCGAGCAAGGCGCCTGGCTCTCCTCGCCCAGCCCCATCCTGCGCACCTGCGCCTGCATCACGCTCGGCAACATCGCCGTCTCGGACGCCGTCAACATCGACATGGTCCACGAGCACTCGCACCACCTGCCCACGCTGCGCATCCTCGCCACCTCCACTGACCGCACCGAGCTCTACCTCGCCGCCGGCTTCCTGCGCCACCTCGCCCAGCCCGCCGCCAACGTCGAGCCCGTCACGGCGGCCCAACCGCTGCCGACGCTCGCCGCGCTGCTCGACCGCAAGGAACCCGAGCTGGACTTCGAGGCGGCCGCCGTGCTGCGGCGCCTCGTCAACAACTCGCGCGCCACCGCCGTCGCCCTCGCCCAGGACACCCCCACCCTCGACAAGCTGCTGACCGCCGCCAAGCAGACCAAGACGGGCTTCGAGGTCGGCCGCCTGCTCATCGCCATCTGCCGCAGGCTGAGCGAGCGCCAGTCAGACGAGCAAGCGGCGGCGGCGGCGGCGGCGGCGGCAGACTCGACGGACCGGTGCTGGACGAGCCTCCTGGCCCACGACGAGCTGCTGCGCCCGCTCGTGCTGATGGTCCGCCAGGAACAGGTCCCCGCGCTCGCCTCGGAGGCGTGGTTCGGGCTCGGACTCGTCGTCGCGTCGTCGCCGGCGGGCGCGCGCAAGGTGGTGGACGCGTTCGAGGACGAGGACAACTGGAATGCCCTCAGGGCCGCGGTGACGACGGGGGACGCGGGGGGCGCCGACCGCAAGAACGTCGTGACGACGGTGAACGTGGTGGCGCAGTCGTTGGAGGAGGGCGCGGAGAAGCAGCGGTGGGTGGAATTGGCCAAGGAGTGTTGGCAGGACGCGTCGTCGGCGCCGGCTATCACGCAGTGATCAGATGATTGGTGTGGCCAGCGATAATGTAGAAGCGAGACGTGGTGGAGGAAGATCGGGTGTATACCAAAGCAGTTCGCACATGCTTTGGGAAGTGGATATTCGTCCACATATTGATCCCTACAGACGGGAGATGGACTCGTTCGAGGCCCGTCTACAGGCCCCCTCGATGGCCGAAGAAGGCTCTGGTGCCCCATAAAGGACGCGCGAACGTTCCTTTGTGGGGGGCTGAAGTAGATTTCCGGACGTAGATGTAAGTGTATATAGTATCTCAGTGCATTCGCTTATGTAGAAAGCTTTATTTTTTTTTCCCTTCAGCAGAGATGATTTCGAAAGCTGTGGGGGAGTCTGACGGCCCGGGCCGCGCTGACTGTACTACGTAGTGATCGACAGGGACCATCGACGATCGGACGTCGTCTGTGGAACATCGATTCTTCACCCACCTCATGAAAGGGGTCCTCATCAGCATCTCCCGTCCGCCATCCTTCTCCGTACTTGATCAACCGAGCCATCCGCAACGAAGGCGACGTCATTCGAAAAGAATATAGGTAGATGATAGTCGTGCGCTCGGCACGGCATCTATCCCATGCTCACCGCTGAAAAGGCCGGAGAGAGTGAATCAGCTCTATCAATTTATATATATATCCCCGCATCGTGCCCCACCAACAACAGTCGACGCACATGACTCTGTGTGGCACGGACAACCACCTACCCACGCCGCGACGCTACCGATCCGATGGCGCACGAGGGCGGACGTTGGCCACGCCACTAGTTTCAACACCATGGCTCCAGCCACAACAAGCCACGGGGGAGGGGGCGTTTGCGCCTCTGCGGCGCTACTGACGCGTCTGAGGCGTTTTTGCCGCGCGGCACATCCGCAACGCCTCTCAACCACCACCACCACCGCCGTTCCACACCGCCTTCACACACTACTGTAGAATCTCCGACGTTCATTCCTGGCCGCCATCGAAACCCGGCGCCCCCGCTATAGCTGCGCAAAAAAAGAAGGGGGCTTGAAGCTCTCTGCCTCTGGCTTCCCTCTGTCCGCTCGCCGTAGAGCAACGCCCATGGTGGTTGGTGGTGGTGGTGGTGAGGGGGAGACGGTTCGTGGAGCAAGCAGTAAAGGCGTTTCTGCGTGGTGTTTTCGTCACAAGCCACAAGCCAAGCATTATTTTGTTTTTATAAGAATCCTCATCATTGCATTTTATGTTAAGAAAGCATAAGAACAACAGCTATACAAAAGAAAGACTCATTAAATCATTCCCTCCAAGATCCCATCCATCCAGCCCCTTTAGCCCACACTCCCAAGCTACCGCGCAATCGACGCTTAGTTGGCAGAAGTGTAGACGAAGTCATCGATGGCGGCGTTGTTGCCGAAGTCGAGGTCGCTGCTGACGGTGTAGGCGAGCGAGTTGTAGATGGTGTAGGTGTCGGAGCCCCAGGAGTAGCCGGTGTTGACGGCGTAGGTGGCGTTCCAGGGGAGCGAGTATAGGGCGCAGAACAGGCCCTGGGGCTCCTCGTTCTTGGCCATGACGTACGAGACGAAGTAGTTGCAGGCCTTGTACTCGCCGTCGCTGTTGGGGTGCTCCTTGTCGTACTGGGTCTGAGCGTCGCAGGCCTCGGCGCAGACGCGGGGGTCGTAGGCGTCGGTGTAGGTGGTGTAGGTGATGTAGCTGTCGAAGTCGTTGTAGAAGGGGGCGTTGATGCAGGCAGTCTCGAAGTCCTGAGGAGCCGAGTAGCCGTCGATGGAGGTGAACGACTCCTTGCTGCTGTCCTTGTTGTAGCCGTTGGAGCCGGTGATGACGACCTCGAAGTTGTCGCGGTACTGGCCGGTGTTGGTGGCCTTGGAGGCAGCAACGTGGTAGGCGTACAGAGTGCAGGCAATGGTGGTGATGCTCTCAGGGTTGCCCTCAGAGTCGCAAGAAGTGTCCTCGGACGGGTCACGCTCGAAGTAGACGTTGAAGCCCATGCAGAGGGGCTCGTCGTCGCAGTAGCTGGCGCACTGGGCCGGGTCGTACGAGTCCAGGGTCTTGACAGTCAGGTAGCCCATTTGCTGAACGGCGCCGGCAAGGTTGGTGAAGCTAGGGGCGGCAGCGTAGCCAGTCGGGGCGGCGGCGGCGAGGGCCTGGCTGGTCAGAGTCGCAGCGTTGACCCAGTCGCTGGGGGCAGAGGTGACGACGGGGCCGGCACTGGAGCCAGTCAGAGCGTGTACGAGGCAAGAGGCAGGAAGTGTTGTCAACTCACCCAGAGTAGGTCTGGCAGGCGTCGCGCTTCTCGACGACGGCGGTGACGGCGCTGGTGGCAGCGGCAATGGCAGAGGTAGCATCGTAGGCAGCGGTAGCCTCGGAGACGGTGGTGGCCAGGACGACGGGGTCGACGGGACCAAGGTTGTCGGCGGAGATGGCGGCGATTTCATCGGCACGGTCAGCGGCAATGGCTGCGAAGTTGAAGTCCTGGCGCTTCTGAACAGGGCCGGCGGCGACGAGGCCAATGGCCAGGGGGATGAGAGCAGCGGTGCGCATTTTTGGTGATTGAAGCGTCAGAGAGCTGATTGAGTGGTAGATGGGATGAGGCGGAGAGAAAGCTGGCTGCGGTGGAGAAGTGGTTGATGCCGGGAGACGGGGGCCTTATATACAGCAGTGCATACACGAGGCAATGCCGCGATGGAGGAGTGCTGAATGCCGAAGTGTCGACACGGCGCCCAAGCTGAAGCGCGAGTTGACGATGTCGGCCATGCCGGGCGAAGGAGCAGCAGAGACGCAGTGCTGGCGGCGGCGCCAAGGAGTGATTCGGTGTTTTCCATGGCGTCGTGGGGCGGGTAGCAGAGTTGTGGCTGATTTGTGGCGTGCGCGGTGAAGAAGAGTGAGGTGATGTCTGGTCTGGCGAGCAGACTGGCTGGCGGGCAGCGCTCAGGGCGGGAGATGGGCGTTAAGCGGGCGTTAAGCGAGCTGGCGGGGCGGTGCGTGGCCGGCAGGGATGCGGCCCACAGCCGGGCGCCCTCAGCTCGACGGCGGCGCCCACGGCCAGCGACGGCCAGCGCAGGGCCCAGAGCGAGCCAGGAAGGAGCTTGGGCGGGCCGGCCAGCAACGCGTCCCTCTGCCACCGGCTTGCGCTCCTGCCACAAACGGGCGCCGTGGCCAGCGTCGCCGCCGAAAAGGGCAACCGGCGCCCCGGCTCGCTGCGGCGTCCGCCGCGGCTAGCGCCTGCTGGGTGCTCGTGTCCAGCAAGCCAGCCCGTCTTGGGACGCTGTGCAGCCTTGATCCGGGCCAGATGCCGCTGTCCTCCGAGAGCCGCTCACCAGCACCGCTGCCCTTCTCCGCACATCCCTCCCCGGAGCCCCACTGCTTCACGGCCGCAGCACCTCAGCCCTTCAGCCCCAGAGCGCTTCTTCGGCCTCGCCGGCGCCTTGTGGCCCGACTGTAGACCCTTCGTTGGGCTTCCATTGCCCGACTCGGACATCTGCAACCCACGTGTTGGTGGCCCCGGCTCTTTCCCGCCGCTCCGTCTTTTCGTTGAACAACGGCAGTCTTGTCTGTTGCGTGACGCGGCCCGGCTGTCGCCGAAGGATCATACTTTGAGTCCACCGTGCGTTCTGCTCTGTCTACTCCACGGGCCCTGCCGACACTGGCCCATCGTAGCCACCTGGCGGTCAGACGAGGAAAAGAAAATCTTGTCAGCCACACTCAGTGCGCTGCACGCTCTTGGTGTCCCCCCAAAGGCACTCGACTCGGTCTGGGCTCCAGCTCTGCATGGATCCCATCGTGAACGGAGTAGGTAGAGGGACTTACCGACTCTAAATTTGTCCATGTGCGTGCCCTGGGCGGCGCCTATTTCTAAGCAAACACCAGAGCGGAGCTACCATCCGGGAATCGTATCTCTCAGCCAGCACTGGACTCATCTTTCCTGGACTTAGTCTCTGTTCTATTCTCTTCTCTTATTTTTCTTTTGGACGCGAAATCAAGATAATGGAAACGAACTTGGCAAAGAAAAAAGATATACAAAAGACAATAACGCCATCGCTATGCCACCCAAGTGTGCTCTGGCCTTGCGACCAACATGTATACACATGGGAGAGAGGGGGGAAATACGTGTGAAGGAGGATCACGGAAACCTTGTCTCGGTAACAAGGCTCTTCCGCAGACCCATACATTCAACCCCATCGCACTTTTTCACTTCACCTAGTATTCAGCACAAGCCCCCATCTCACCACTCGCCACACCGGTCGTCTGCTTAACTAGTAAGCCCGTCCTCTTCGCCCACTTCCAACCGTCTTGAAAGTCTGCGAAAACTGAGGGTTGCCGCCCAGTGCCAGCGTATCGAACCGGTTGATCTCCATGGTGTCCTCGTCCGTGAACCCGGAAAAGTAAAAGCCAACGATGACGACCAGGTAGGACAGGATAAGGATTGAGCCCTTGAAATAGTTGCTCTTGCCCTCTCCGTACATGTAAGACAGCAGGAAAACGCATAGAATCACCGTGACCATGTCCCACTGGGGGAAGATAAGAGCTAGCGTGCCCGTCAGTATCTGCCTGCCTCTCCATCACACAATTAGACTTACTGAATGTATGGCCAAGGACGTTTTCCGGATCGATGAAACGGCCCTCAATCGCGCTGTAAAGAACGAGAGCCGGAATCTGGAGCAAGCAGACCTGAAGCGCGTACGCAGATCCAATTTCCATCGAAAGAGCAATATTGCCATTCATGGCAAAGGAAATGGCATTCTGTCACAAAGTCGTTAGCGGAGAAACAGTCGTTCTGGGGGGTAAGCCATACCAGGAACTCGGTAGTGTTCGGGACGAGAGCGAACAGGGTGATGCCGAGGAACTTTTCATCGATGTCCACGTTCTGCAGAACCGCGTCCACTGTGTTGACAAGGATCTCTGCAATGATGGCGTATGCAAGCGTGGCCGTTAGGAGAATGACTGCCGACTTCGTCCGACTCCAGTTGGGCGCATCGTGTCCGCCGCCGTGGCCGGTAGCCGTTTGTCCGTCATCAATTTCCTCGCCGGCCGTGCCTGTTCTGTGCAGATTGGGACGTTCAGAGTGAGTAGATGCGGCAAGATTAGCCGCCGAGACCCGCCGAGGATTCTGCTTGGCCGTGGCGTCTCGAGCAGCGACAGCTGCTGCAGTTGCTGCCATTTCAGCGACTTGGCGGACCAGCTGGTTATTCTCATCTTCCGACATGCCGTGGAGGTTAAGGCTGTGCTGGCTGCGGCCATCCTGGTGATGGTCCTCTCCACCTGCCGGCGGTATGATGTGCGGTGTGTGGGAATCAATACTGTGTGAAGACTTTGCTCTCTCCACACTCTCCCCGCTAGGAGTGAGACCGGCTTGCTTGAGAGACTGACCCAGGATGCGCTTGTACAAAGCTGACTCGCGAATGTTCTGGTCCGACTTGCTGAGCGTGCCATAAGAAGGTACATGGTCACTAGCAGCCACCCCACTAGAGACTTGTTGAGAGTGTAATTGGCCGGAAGCAGCAAGCTGAGTGGCTGCCATGTCCATCTTCTCCACCTTCTTCTCATCCATCTCAGAGTTCCAGATCACGGCGGCGTGCGTCCGGAGCGTGAAGAGAAGCCCGACGGCATAAGAAAGGAAGAGGGTTACCGAGGCAAACCAGACAAAGGGACGGACAGCTTCCAGGTAGAAGCGGTCATGAATAGCAGGAGATTGATCGAAGTAGCATCGGCGACAGTCGCGTTCATTGTCCAGTTTAGTACTTCCGTGACTGCAATCGCGGCAGTTGAGCTCGTGCTACGTCTGGTCAGTCTTAGTTGCACGCAAGGTGGGACGGAAAACTTACACTTCCGTAGATCTGGTAGAACAGTGTCGGGCCGAACGCGGCGATGACAGCAAACAGAAGCATGGTTGATGTCACGCCTGCAGACCTGACATTGAAACGCTGTGTCTTCCTCTTCAAGGCACCAAAGCACATGGAAAGACCCGGGAGGAACAGAACACCTGCGAAGATGCTGCCGATGATACTGCCTTCCACCAGCTGTGCCTTTCCTTGCTTAAGTGCAACGCAATAGAGAAAGACTTCCACAACCGTCGAGAAGAAGGCATTGATGGTTGCACCGACCCCCATAGATGACTGAGCTGAAATGGATGCCACAGCCTGGCCGATGAAATAGGCCAATGGAATGATCGAGAAGAGAGCAAGGGTGAAAAGCAAGAACTGGTTCGTCAGGGCGATCTCCAGACCAAGATACTCGTCCAGGACGAAGTAGTCGAAGATGACGAAGGCGACGACGCCAAGAAGATTGATGAGGAAAATGTTGGTCCCGTCAATGGTGTACTTCCAGTACTTGATACCCACTGCTCTGTACGTGCAAAGCAGGATGGCAGAGGACGGCTCGTCGGTCCGACGGGTGTCATTGATGTCAGAGTGGAATGACAAAGCCAATGGGTGTCGGCGGAGATGGTCGAACAAGAGATACGTCACTCTGCCCATGGGAATGGTGAAGACCAAGAGCCAGCAAATGCCGGAGACCAGGAAAAGGAAAGGGGTCAGGAGGCCGTAGAAGACAATGAAGAAGGCGACTCTACCCACAGACCATTTGCCGCGACCAAAGAGTCTCCGTTTAGTATTCGCACCATGGTCGGAATCCGCATTGCTTCCCCGACTGGGGCGGCCTAGGAGACTTTGGGTCTCGTCGGCAGAGTCGATGCTGTTGCGGTGCCGTCCAACCAAGCCCCGATTGGACGATGGACCAAAGAAAAGGCGGCCCTCTTCGATGTCTCCGCTCTGCCACTGCTCATACTCGCTGATACTGCGGCCTTCTCCCTCGTCCTCTTCCAGGTATGCCTCCTCTTGTATCAACTTGACAAATTTGCCGAACGGGTAGAACAGGTACTTGGCAAGACCCCAAAGGGTCCTGCCATATGCCATGGATCCATCAGCGCAGCCGAGAAAGAAGCAAGCCAACGCACCCGCGGCAGCAATTGCGGCAAGCCACCAGCCGAAGATCAAGGTCCAGAGGAAGTTGAAGAGAACAAGCCACGGGCTCACAAAGCCGCCAGGGGCAGAGTGGATGTCTCCTTCTGCTGTCTTTTGAACCGAGCGATTCTTCTTGTACAGAGCAGGCTTCCAGATCCTGATACCAAACGGGTGAGTCTCGTTGATAGCCTCCTGCCTGTCTTTCAAAGTGAAGCTCTCGGCATCGCTGAGATCAGCATCGTCGTCGTCGCCCGCGTCAAGCTGGACCTCCTCTTCTTCCTCATCGGCACGTATTGTGTCGTCGCCGGAGGAGCCGGCCGGCTGGAGGTCTCCGGAAGTTCGTAGATCGGGATTGCTTTCTTGCCCGACGTCCTCATCGTCAGTGGAGTCCACCTTGCTCAGGTTAGGCGTCTGAGCGGTAGGACGACGGCGTAGGGTAGAAGGCACGCGGCGTAGCGACCCGGAGGCTCGCGCTTGCTTCGGCTGGAACAGCTCGTCGACCTCGTCCTCGGCGTCGTCGACGGAAAATTCTTGCCCACGGTGGAGACGGTTGTAAGATGTCGTCCGGCGACCCATGGTCTTTCGCTGGGGCGGCTTGAGGGTCGATTGTGCTTGTTGTGGTTGCTGCTGTTGTTGTTGCTGCTGCGAGTCCAGCGAAGGCCGCGCGCTGCTGGAGGATGCCTGAGCACCTGCAGTTGACGGGGTGTCAGCCTGCGCGTCTTTCACGGGGGTGGACATTTTTCTGCTCCGGGGGAATTTTGTAACATACCGGCAGTGGGCTGCGGCGGGGGTTGGGCTCCTCTTGACCTCTGGCCATCTCGGTCCTGGCCTCGCGCGCTGCTGGGCCGACTCGCACTGTTGCCCTCCCGGTTAGTCATGTCGGACGGCGCAGCGTCGCTAGAGGCGTCGTCTTGCCTTGCTTGACCGTAATCGTCCGCCATTTCGAGGCTCGGCGGGTGGAATGGGGCCGTCAGGCGCTGAGGAATGAGGCGAGTAGCCGCCTTTGAGCCTGTTTGCTGTCTGGCCGGGGGGCCGTGCGGAAGCTGGTGCTGGAGATCGCGGGCGGTGGCAGGAAAGGCGGTAAGCTGGTACGGCGTAGAGGGAGAACTATTATAGCTGGGAGCAGACGGGAGTTGGCGACATGGGGGCCGGCAGATGACCGTCTATCATCCTGCACACGCCGCGCTAGCAGCGCTACGGGTGATACGGGGTGCGCGATCGCAACCGGCGCGGTGATTGCAAGCTCGCAGCCCTGCAGCCGTGCAGCGCACGTGAGGAGCGGCCGGCGGTGGATGCGCGCCTGATGGATGAGCCGGGCTGTCTGCGTCACAGCGAGATAGGCTGCTGCGGCCCAAGCGCCGCGCCCGCCGCGTGAAGCTGCTGCTGCGTCCGGGACTCCGGGTTGGCACTGGCACCTGTGACCCGGCGTGGGACTGGGGCCACGGCGCCCGGTCGCCGAGAACGCCGACGCCGCTGAGTGGCCGCAAGCTCCCATGGGTGAGCTTCAACACCATCGCCGCGCCAGCTGCCATCACCACCATCCACCCCCGCCGCCCGTCATCCGCCCCACTCTGCATCGCTGCCGCGCCGCCGCTGCCCGTTTCGCTGCCGCCATCTGCATCCCAGGACCCTGCGCTCCCCGCCGCCCGTGCCCCGCCCCCGGCCGCCACCGCCATGGCGCTCGACACCTTCTTCCACAACAAGATCGAGAGCATGAAGCTCGAGATCATCCAGGGTCAGGCGAAGCTGCGCCGTCTAGAAGCGCAGCGCAATGACTACAACTCGCGCGTGCGGTTACTGCGCGAGGAGCTGGGCCTGCTCCAACAGCCCGGCTCCTACGTCGGCGAGGTCGTCAAGGTGATGGGCACGAAGAAGGTCTTGGTCAAAGTGCATCCGGAAGGCAAATACGGTGAGCTGCCATGAAGCTTCAGCTGCCGGATTGCCACCACCGCTAACGAACATGGCCAGTCGTCGACGTCTCGGACCAGGTTGACATATCCAAGCTGACCGCGGGCAAGCGCGTCACCCTCCTCAGCGACTCGTACAAGTTGGAGAAGATGCTGCCATCGTCCGTTGACCCTCTCGTCTCGCTCATGATGGTTGAGAAGGTGCCCGACAGCACATACGACATGATTGGTGGTCTTGACCAGCAGATCAAGGAAATCAAGGAGGTCATCGAGCTGGGTCTCAAGCACCCCGAGCTGTTCGAATCTCTTGGTATCGCACAACCGAAGGGTGTCCTGCTGTACGGGCCGCCAGGAACGGGGAAAACATTGCTTGCCCGTGCGGTGGCGCACCATACCGACTGCAAGTTCATCCGCGTGTCTGGCAGCGAGCTGGTGCAGAAGTACATCGGTGAAGGCTCGCGCATGGTGCGTGAGCTGTTCGTGATGGCACGTGAGCATGCGCCGTCGATCATCTTCATGGACGAAATCGACAGCATCGGTAGCAGCCGTGTAGAGGGCTCGTCTGGCGGTGACTCGGAGGTGCAACGTACCATGCTGGAGCTGCTTAACCAGCTCGATGGTTTCGAGCCAACCAAGAACATCAAGATCATCATGGCCACCAACCGTCTCGACATTCTGGACCCCGCTCTGCTCCGTCCCGGCCGTATTGACCGCAAGATCGAGTTCCCTCCGCCAACCATCGAGGCCCGCGCCGACATCCTGCGCATCCACTCCCGCTCCATGAACCTCACTCGCGGCATCAATCTGACCAAGATCGCCGAGAAGATGAACGGCTGCTCGGGCGCCGAGCTGAAGGGTGTCTGCACAGAGGCTGGCATGTACGCGCTGCGCGAGAGACGTGTGCACGTTACGCAGGAGGATTTCGATCTGGCGACGGCCAAGATCCTCAACAAGCACGACGACAAGCAAATGAGTTTGTCGAAACTCTGGAAGTAAGCAACTGGAACAACTGGCTGCATTCATTGGTGGGCAAGGGAGGACGATGCAGTATGACGACCGGTCAAGTCTGCTTATCGTTGCACGCGGCACAAAGCCGCCCTGTAGTTGCATGTTGTCGGAATGTCTGGAAGGCACACGCTGGCGTCAGGGGAGCAATCGAGTCGTAGAAAACATGACTTTTCGAGTAATACCATCTATCGTGAAACGTTCCGCGGGAAGCACGCACAAGGCGAACGATGACGAAGCAAAATATAATCAAGGATCGACGACTGGGCACACGCATTGGCACACCCGTAACTGTGCCCACTTTTTAGCTCCCGGCAATGATGCGCCAAGTTGCATTTCACGATGCACGACCGTTGGATGGGAACGCAGCGGGTTGCGGAAGAACAATTGAGTTCGGAGTCGGACGTGTTCATTTGCGGGTATTTGCTTCACTTGGCCACGAAGCGGCAAAGTGACGCCTCCGGCGGAGCTCAGAGAGCTCAAGTCAGTATCCTGCTGATATTGCTTTTCTGAGCTCGTCCTCCCATTGCCTCTGCATGGTGTAGGCCGCGGCCTTGGTCGTCTCCAACGTGTCGTGCGTGAGCAACAACACTCGGAACAATGACGACACACCGCTCCAAGCTCCAGTGGATTCCATCCGTGCATGCCCTTGTCTCTATTGTCCACGCCCCTACCTTGATCCAGACCCACATTTCTTCGCTCCACTCCCGACCACCTCGCTACGACGTGTTTCTCAGCGCTTCCACGCACGCAGTCCTGGGCTGATCTTATATTCGATCTTTTTTTCTTCTCGTTTACCTCCACTTACCATGTGTACGTAGCCCCACAATGCGAAACGGAAGTTTGATCATCCGCGGACCCCCCACTGTTCTACGGCCAGGACTATTGCACCCTACCTAGGTCGGTAGCTGAACATTGCATCCGCACGATGATCTCGCGTAATATTGAAGCCTGCATTCACGATCTAGATGTTTGCCTCACTTTGGTGGAATGGCATGACAGAACCTCCTCTACCCCACCCCACTGACTCGATGCAACGCACAGATACGGAAAGACGAAGCGCAGCAAGCCTACACAGCACTATAGCCTATCGGCCCTACCTACATGCCTACGTCGGTAGCACTCATGTGCTATTGTTTAAGCCAAGAAAGAGGAGCATGGCCGGACTGTGTCGATTGCGCGCCAGAGCCGAAGTTTGGTTTATTTTCTTTTCCTCGGTAGTCAAAGCTTACCCTCCCTTTACCCTATCCTTGATGCCATGACACAAAGTAGGGAAACTGTTGCTCCCGAGCTATACGAGCAGATCTCCTGGTTCCATGACGTAGGATTCTAGCTTGAATGGAACGCACCCAGGATACGATGTAAACTTTGCAAAATCATATTTGAAATTCCCACAATGCATACATATCGTTATAACTTGGTTGTTTCCGTGGACATATCCATCACCGTGCAATCGTCGAACGAACCACCATCAGACCCTTTCATGTAGACCAGGGGTTCCCAAGATAACTCACTGCCCTTCGCCTGCCCATGCCCTAGAATGGTATGCAAGATCCGAAAAAAAACACACGAGAGAGAGAAGCCAACACCAAGGGGCCTTAGACACTCTCAATGCTGAATACCTCGAGGGGAAAAAAAAAGAACTAGCTCGAAACTAGCAGATGATGGCAACTCCTTTGATGACTTGGCAGAGCTTTGCTTTTAAGCCCACGCCTGGGCCACTTTGTTCCAAGCTTCAGAACAGGCATAGGCCGATGAAGTTGTCCGTTTTCAATGTTGGACCTCCCATGCCTAGTTTCCTTCGAAGAGTATGCCGTCTTACATCCTGACGTTCATCTCCCTCACTTCCCAGTGTGCCTTGTGTGTCTCTCTCTTGGAGTCGCAGTCCCCACCAAAATTCCACCTTAGTGGGCCGCGATCTGTCCATGCCCATAGATTATCCTCACCGTTGAACGCCAAAGCCAAGACCACGCCCTGGGACGGCAATTCGACGGGCTGAAGACTCACAACTTGGCACTCTTCCGGAAGATTTTGGCCCTTATCAGAAAAGGCTTTCAATCCGCCGAGCTCACGGCGCGGATAGCATGAGTAATAGTCCCAACCACACCGGTCAACCCACGGCCATTCATCCAGGTCCAAGCCGTCATCGTTGGAGAAATTTGAGGCTGATGTGTCCGCGGAAGAGGTGGTGATTGTGCTTGAAACGGATGAGGTGCTGTGATGTGTTGCGATTGGGGTGCTTGCGTCCGAGTCCGAGTTATCACTCGACAAGTATGGATCTTCTAGCTGGGCACGGTCGACTGGAGCGATGGTCAAATCATCGAGGGTGGCCTCAGTATTGCCACTAGAGCTTGCACCGCCGCTTACGGTCGTCAAACATCCGTTAGAGTGCGTTTGGCGTTCGAAAAAGGCATCGGGATGAACGACCCATATTTGGACGCGGTTCCAAGTAGCAATGGCAATGCGCCGTTTGCGGGGCGAGACTGCCATTATCAGACCCAGCGATGAGCTCCTACTCGCATCGATGTCAAGGCCGCCAAGTTCAGCTACCGCAAAGTGGTCCAGGCTAGAGTACCGCTGAAGTGGGTTGTAGTATTGACAACCGTCGGGAAAATGTACGCCTTTGATGATGTAAGCGCCACATGAGCGCGCATCGTTCTGTATGTGTAGTTGGAGTACGCTGTTGAGGCAGTATTCTTCGCCTGTAGGATCCTTGAGTCCGTGCTTGTGATGGACGGCAAGTGGAAAACCGAAAGACGCGCTGGTAACCGGTCTTGGTATGAAAGAGAAATGCGGTTGCGACACCTGAATCGAGATCACGGTGCCATAGTCGTCAATCTCATACTGTGGAGTCGGAATTCCGGGATAAAAGAACCACACCCTACGTTTGATGATGGAGATTTCACTTGGCGCACGAGTGCCGTTGGCATTACAGCTTGTATCATAAGCTCTGGTGGGTGGAAATGGATCTGCAGTATGTCAAAATTTGCAGGCTACATGGGAGTAGTCAGGTCTCGGCAGTAGGTGGTAAGAGACATACCATAGTACCTGTCCGAGCGTCGTTGAACCAGTTCAATGCGGTAAGGGTCTCGATACTCATGTGTATAGGCCGAATTGATGTCATAAGAGATGATTGCAGAGCCATCGTCCGCCATTGCCAGGGCTCTTGGCACAAGGCTTCCTCCTGTATTGATGTCTCGCACTTCTTCAATGGTTGCGTCAAATGAGTCGGTGAAAATCCAGGTCACGAGTTTCAGAATCTCCTTGGACCGTTTCGCAGCCGCCTCCACAAATGGTCCGCGCCCATCCCCTATCAGGCGGTAACGATAAAGCACAGCAAGCCGGTCCACACATTGACATCTTGTTGAGCGGTCATGTGAATCGTAGAAAGCCATCTTGACAACCTCGTATTGAATATCTTCTTGGGGCCCAAGGTCCAGAGCTGTGGGTGACAGGATACATTTGAGGATGGGAAATTGAGACTTGATGCTGTGAATGCCGACCGAAGCGTCTTTGGTGTGCACTGTTGCCATCAGCAAGTGGTCTGTTTTGCAGCTACAATTCATGAACAGGCCATGTTTCAGGGACTCTGAAGCAGGCAGAGCAAAACGAGAGACGTCGGCAAGAGCTTCGACCCCGTGCATGAGGTTCTTCACGGTGCGGCGTTTGAAGATTTTATGGAGTTTCTTCGCGCCGCTGCCGCAGAGTCTGTCGGTGATGCCAGGGACCTTTTCTAACTGATGCTTGAGTGGCAGGGTGCCGAGAGCAGCAGATCGAAGAGCCTTGCAGACGCGCATTATCTGCGAAAAGCTGCCTGGATCAAGACCGTAGATGACCTCGAGCAGGAGCTCGTTTGGCAGGTCAAGCAACATGCTGGGCTCGGGAAGTGATTGTGTATCATGAACATTCTCAGACGACCTAATCAAGCCTGACATGTCAGCTGCGCGGTCGCAGATAGAGCCAAGCATGCCAATAGCGGTGCAAAAAGTAGGAGCGAAGCACTTATTCAGAGGCGCTCGTCCGCCGCAGCCGATGGTCCATCAGAAGCAGAGTAATAACGTGCAAGCAGATGGGGGTTGACAATGAGTTGATCGGTCAGGCGCTTGAGAGGAAGCCACAAAGCTATAGGGCCGAAAGTCCACAGCAAGAGAAGCGTCTTCGTCCTTGACCGGACTAGCTGGCGGCCGTTGCTTGGCTGCACGTAAGCGGATCCGGTGAACGCCAGCGGATCCGGTGAACGCCTAGCTCTCATGGCCCGCACACTTTGGCATATCGAAAGACGTGCGCTGGCTCGAACCTGACGTGTCCGCCAGGCTCTGTAGGGCTGGAGGGCAGCCCATCGGCTGCATGCAAACGAGGACGGCTCGGCGCGGCGCAATACGAGGGGGGGAGGGATACTCACGACTGCATGCAGACGTCAACACCGGGGCGAGACGCGTTTCCTGCGCGGAAATGCTCAACGGGCAGATTTGAACGTCCGCGGCTCGGCGCAGCGCCGGCCAGAGTGCGGCCGACAGTCGCGCGTGTGTGTGTGTGTGTGTGTGTGTGTGTGTGTGTGTGTGTGTGTGTGTGTGTGTGTGCGGGCGAGGCGGGCGCGTCACGGGTGGGCGGGCGCGACGTGCTGGCCAGGCGAGGAAGAAGGCTAGGTCTGGCAGACACGCAGACACGCAGAGCCGGCGACCGAAGGAGCGGCTGCGGCTGAGCGCGCTTCGAGGCGGGCGGAGCAGCGCTTGGGGCTGGGGCGTGGGCAGCAGCGCGGTGTGGTCGACAAAGAGTGCCCAGGTGCTGCAGAGCACAGGCGAGGCGACGTCAGAGCGCGTGACTCGCGTTGAGGCCGGGCGCGCGCCGCACGCGATCGACGAGTGTTTTCGCGGAGAGAGGCACAGAGGGGTGGCGCAGGCGTGGCTCCGTGGCTCCGTGGCTTTGCGATCTGGTCGGGATGGGAGCGGTGGGCGGGCGGGCGGGCAATTGGCAGCCCTGCCACCCTGCGCAGCACAAGCGAGCGAAAAAGGGTCCAGAGTTGAGCCCCAGGGGTGCACACCACCAGCGGCGCGGCGATCAGCAGGCCACCGCACCCTCGTGCCGCCGCCCACAGGGCCTCAGGGTCGCGGAGCCACGAGCGCTTTTCTGGCAGCGTGGCAGTTGCGCCATCGCCGGCCTGTTGGGGCAGGACGCGGGCAGGACGCGGGCAGGACGCGGGCAGGACGCGGGCGCGGACCCTGACCCTGGGCGGCGCGCATGGCATTCGCAGCGGTGGCATGGCGAAAGAGCAGAAATCAGGTTTGCTTATGGCCGTCCACACCGGTGGACCGGGCGCGCGCGGGCCCAATTGCCGGTGCAGACGGTCGAGAACGCGGCACGACTCGCTCGTGGGCGGAGACCGGCGGCGCTGATTTGCGGCCGCAGGCAGCTGGCAGGCCCACCGCTCCAGCACGATACGGTAGTCGCATCTGCTGCTGCGGCGGGCGCGCGAGCGCTTCCGCGCGAGGGACAAAGGCGGCGGCGGTTTGAGGATGGAGGCTAGAACGCAGCAGGCCGGCCGCCGTTCGCGGAGATAGGGCAGCAGCGTTTGGGAGTATATTGGGGCGGCGGCGGCGCCGGCGAGAGTGTGACCGATCTGCCTCTCTGTGCGCTGATCCGACAGGGCCAGGGGCGCCTAAGGATTTCTCACGTTGTTTGGCGCCTTTCACTACCCTGCGTCAAGCTCGCGGCCTCCTCGCCCTCCTCTCCCACCAGCACACGCAGCCCGACGCGCTCCACTTCCAGCGCATCACCGCGCCTGTCTGCCCCCGCTGTCCTGAGCGCTGCGAGAAATTTCCAGCCCGCCGCTCCGTGCAGCGCCATTGTGTGTTTCAAAGTGGCCTGCTCCGCCGCCCGAGTCAGCGAGGCGTTTGCCGCGATGATGTAATGCGTGGCTCGTCCTCCATCCTCGCCGTCCTCCCTTCCACGCCCGCAACCTCACGCGCGCAACCCTCGTCTTAAGATCGCTATGACCGCTGTGCCCGCCCTCCACCCGATCGCCCGCGTTTGATGCCCACCACCAAGCGCCATCTCCTGTCGCGGCTGTGAGCGCGTCGCATTCTCGCCCACCATGACCACCAGCGCCGCCACCCCGTCGCACACTCCCTGTGCCTGGGAGCACCATCCGCATTCCCAGCAGAGGCCCGCTTCCTCACGAGCCACCACTGCCAGGACGCCCGCCTCCGTCGGCCAGCCGCTGCCGCCCGCCCTCCGCCCTAATGACACCCGCTCGCCCATTGCCCAGGACGCCCGCACCCCCAGTCCCAATTACTTTGGCCTTGCTTTCGACTCGACCGCCGACATCTTCTCCTCCAGTGGCGCCCGCCACGCCAAGGCCAACTGGAGCCCCCCGAATTCCAATGTGCGCTCTGCCGCCGCCGCCTCGCCCCGCGTAATACCTGTCGACCAGAATCCTGAGTTCGAAGCATTCCGCCGCCAGTCCGAAGAGGGCAGGAAGTTTAGCCTCGGCGGCGGCCTGTCGCAGTTCACATTTGCAAAGTCTCCCATGAGCCTTTCAAACCCGCCCTCGGCCCGCTCGACCAGCCATGTCGACTCTCCCACCACCCATCAAAACGTCACCCCCGTCTCTCCCCGGAGCAGCGACTCCAGCGGCTCGTTTTTAATCCCAGAGAAGCCACGGTCCCCCAAGCGCATGCTTTCGTCTGATGCATCCGGCTTTCCAGCCCGCCCACGCCGGCTGTCTCCAGGCGCCTACCCCGACTCTTCGGACAGCGATCAGCCTCCAAAATTCGCCGACCCGGCCATCGACAGGCTCTCAATGCTGCCTTCCAAAATGTCAGCGAATGCGTCAACACACACGCGCGCCGAGACCTTACCAGCAAACCTCGACATTGAATCCGCAGTGCCCAAACAGGGCCCGGTCATGGTGACCCCGCAGCATGTCGTCACTCTCCTGGAGTCTTCGGAAGAAGAGATCCTCCTGCTCGACCTCCGCGTTTCCACGCAGTATGCGCTTTTCAGGATACGCGATGCTCTGAATCTCTGCATCCCCACAACCCTTTTGAAGAGAGTGTCGTTCAACGTGGAAAAATTAGCAGAAACGTTTAGCCTCGAGAGCCAACGCAAGAAGTTCGAGAATTGGAGGAGTTGTAGATACATCGTCGTCTATGATGCAGACTCATCTCAGCTAAAGGATGCCACAAGTTGTGTCAACACGCTCAAGAAGTTTGCCAATGAGGGCTGGAACGGCCCCTCATACATAATACGCGGCGGCATCAAAGAGTTTGCAACCAAATTCCCAACTTTCGTAACGAAGGGTGCCGGGCCGTCAGCAAGCAGTGCCAGCCAGAAGCCGAGCCTGAAGCTGGATGATATGCCAGGACCGGCCCCCGTCGTGGGTGGTTGCCCTATGCCTGCAACCCAGAACGCAGCAAATCCCTTCTTTGGCAATATCCGGCAAAACATGGACCTGATCGGCGGTGTTGGACAGATGCCTGTAAAGCGACCGCAAAGAATCAACACCAACACCGAGCGTCAGCTGCCCGGATGGCTGAAACACGCAGCCGACGAAAAAGACAAAGGGGCTTCAGTCTCCGACAAGTTTTTGCAAATCGAGAAGCGTGAGCAGAAACGGATGCAGGAAGCCTTGTCAGGCAAAGTTGTCTATGGTGAACCTGGGCCTGAGGCACCGAAAAGCGTCAAGATCGCAGGTATCGAGAAGGGAACCAAAAACCGGTACAACAACATCTGGCCCTTCGAGCATAGCCGGGTCAAGTTGGAGGGCGTTCCATCCGAAGGCTGCGATTATTTCAACGCCAATTATGTCCAGCCACCATGGTCGAACAAGCGGTATATTGCGACTCAGGGACCGATTCCAGTAACATTCGCAGACTTTTGGAGTGTTGTCTGGCAACAGGATGTTCGTGTAATCGTCATGTTGACAGCCGAGAAAGAGGGCGGTCAAATCAAAGCGCACAACTACTGGGATGGCCAACAGTACGGAGCTTACAGATTGAACTTCCACACCGAGCATCGCGCATCCTTGGAGCCAGGAGCCATCAGGCGTCACCATGCGAGAGGCACAGACGACCGCTCTTCAGAAGTATTAGGAGGCTCTTCGCGAGGATCAGGGGCGTCTTCGCAGTCTATGGACTACTTCCCATCGCCTGACCCCCAAACCTCGTCCAGCTCTGACCAGCCCTATGTCATAGTCCGCAAGTTCACCTTGTCGAACACGGAGCTTCCCTTCGCAAGGATGCGGGAGATCACCCAACTTCAATATTCCAACTGGCCTGATTTTGGAGCGCCAGCACACCCAGCCCATCTTCTTGGCCTCGTGGAGCAGTGCGACGCTGTTGTCCGGCAGACGCAGAGCGGTTCTGCTGATGAACCCGACCCGTTGAGCAGCCATCCGGTGCTTGTTCACTGCAGTGCTGGCTGTGGTCGCACCGGTACGTTCTGCACGGTTGATAGTGTTATCGACATGCTCAAACGGCAGAGGAGCTCGCGATCGCGGCGCCAGGCGTCCCCTATGGATGTCGACAAGAGCTCGACGACGAAGGGCAAGGACAATCCGTTCTTCAAGTCCGGAGACGCAACCACAGATGAGGGGCTCGATGGTGCATGGCTTGGCCGAGACGACATCGATCTGATCGAGAAGACGGTTGAGACCTTCAGGCACCAGAGACTGAGCATGGTGCAAAGCCTACGCCAGTTTGTCCTTTGTTACGAAAGTGTCTTGGAGTGGCTGGTCGAACAGCACCAGGACTTGAGGTAGACCAAGCCAAGTGTGCACAAGCTGGTTTTATTTCTCTTCTAGGCAAAGAGACCTGGAAAACAGCCAATGCTGCGACAATCCATCCGGGCCGACCGGAGCTATCTGCCGCCAACCGGGAGCTGACGCTTAGGGGCAGGGAGGCAGGCCGTGACCTCGACAAGATTTTGACAGGCGCGTTACCAGGACTCGACTACATGACTGCATGGACGAGTTTGGGCATATCAGCATCCATGGTGCACTGGCGTTCGTTCTGGACTTGATTATGCTTTGTATTGCAAGAAACAGTTCTCTCTTCTCTGGCGTCAGTACTATTCTTCTCAACGCCTCGATTTCGATTAAGACAACAGCGTGGCTGCATGGACGAGGGGGCGTCGGACGGGCTGTACATAGGGAATTGGACGTAGAGGCACGGCCCCTTGGGACATGCAGGCACAGTGGAGCTTGATTCTTTGGTTGTTGATATCATTGGGAGAAAAGACGGGGTTTTTGGCTTCGGGACTTTGGGAGCGAGCGGGCGCAGGGATCGGCAAAGACGGCGGCAACATGAGAGAGGTTGGAGCCCACATAGCAATGGATCCGTTGTTTTGAGCAGAAATTTGGAGGGGTGCTGCAGGTGTCGTGCCAGTGTGACGTTGACGGTGCGGGCTGGGCCGTGTGATGGTCAGCGGGCCTGCCGGCCTGTGCCTTCCTGTGCCTGCCCCTGACGCGGCCAAGGCTGCCGTGCCGCCCAGCTGCGGCTTCGCGGCTTCCCCTCTCGCGGCACCGGCTACTCCTTGACTGGTGACTGTGCCGCCCTGGCACATGATTGCGCGTGATACCGCGTCCCCCGGCGCGCGTTGGCGTCGGCCTCCCTTGCAGCCACGAACCCAAACCGCCCAAATCGCCGCCCAGGCAGCACATGCTACCGCGTCCGGCCGACGCGTGCCGCCGGACGCGTCTCGCGCTGACTCTCATGAGTCGTCGCTTTCCTCTCTCGCCCGCCTTCGCATGCCGTCTTATCGCGAGGCTGGGGGCTGTACGTCATCCCTGCCAATGGCAGCAACTTGATCCTCGCATCCCTGCCGCGAGTGTGGGCGCAGCTGCCGGCGTGCGCTGGTACCACGCGAATAGGCAAACGCCTGCCAGCCCGACTCTGCCCAGCCCTATACAAATTCCGCCCAATTGCATCGCCAGCCCCAGGCCTTCCCGCTTGGCGGCTGGCAGCAACAGCTAGCCAGCGCTTATTTATCTCTGCCTGGCCCCCCGGCTCCCGTCGCTTTCCTCTCCACGTCTTCACCCGCAGCCCTCAAGCTCCTCAACTCCCGCTGGATCTCCCCGATCTTGGCAGAGCGACCTTTTCGTCCGAAGTCATCGCTTCTGGAGCTTGCCACCATTGCCAACCACGGCTGCGCATGCCTGTCCCGACGGCGGTGTGAAGCGTCGAACTAATCTCCCACGCTCTTTTCGATTGTCTGTCGCCCCGGTCGTTTCTGTTCCCAAGTCCACCGTCTCTCGTTTCAAACGGTCTTTCTCTTCGGTGCTTCCCAACATGTTCAAACGGTCGTTCACTTCTTCCCAGGGGACGAAGGACCGCGTGAGCAAGGTCAGCAAGCAGCAGCCGAAGAGATCGTTTCGCGAAGAGACCAAGCAGAGGATGCTCGAGAAGCTGGAGAGCCCGAGGTCGGTGGGCAGGTATGTCGATCCCCATTCATTGCTGCCCAGGCTCCCCGTGTGGCTCCCGTTGCTGACTCGTTCGCCGCCAGCGGTTCGCCCAAGCTCACAAGCGCCATCATCACCGTGGTCATCGGCCGCGACCAACGGCTCTTCGCAGCGCACGAGGACGTGCTGTGCCACTCGCCGTTCTTCCAGGCGGCGCTGCAGGGCCAGTTCCTCGATGCGTCGCCCAACAAGCGCATCATCCTGCCCGACGAGGAGCCCGAGATCTTCTCGTGCGTGCTCGAGTACCTGTACAAGGGAGACTACACGCCCCGCCTGCTCCACGACAAGCGGCGCGGCTCCTGGATGCTCGAGGGCGCCGAGGTGGTCCCCTCAACCCAGACAACACCGGACCTGAACAATCCACAAAACAACACCAACGGCGGCCGAGGAGGAGGAAATGCCGAAGGGATGCAGCAGGGCGCCAGCAACAGCATGGCGACCATGTTTCACGCGGGCGAAGGCGCCGTGCTCCTGCGGGACACGGTGGTGTACTGCGCGGCTGAGCGGTACGGGCTGGCTGAGCTCAAGCGGCTGGCGCTGCGCAAGCAGGGCCTGCAGTCGGGCATCGACGTCGGCACCGTGCTGCGCTCGGCCCGCTACGCCTACGCCCACACGCCCGACACGGACTCGCGGTTGCGCGCCCACTACCTGGCGCTGATCATCCGCAGCCGCCGCACCTTCAAACGCAGCGGCACTATGCAGCAGGAGATGGAGATGGGCGGCAAGATGTTCTTCGACCTCTTCGTCGCCATGTGCAACCACATCGACGACATCGTCGACATTGGCAACGCCAAGTCGCCCAAGTCGATCATCTAAGGTGTGGCTGGAAACTGCATGTCGGCGACCACAGGTCGTCCGGACATGGATTCAAGGAAAACCTTTTCACTTCCAAAGATTGCTAACTCCCCTGCTCGGGGCGGGGGCCAACACATCGTTATCCAGATTGACAACAAAGCGCAGGCAGTGTTCCGCCGGACGAGGAGGGTCGCCATCTCCCCCGGATCGAGAAACTCACCTGTCGCCCCCATGCTCCCGAGTAAGGCTAGGTTTTCGGGACGGGATAGGAGTTCAGGTTGACAGCTCGAGTTTTTGATCGATTCACCCCACTCCAAACAGAGATTGTCACAGCATGAGGCAACACGAACTCTTGTAGCCTCCTCGCCCAGATCCCCATAGTTGATGCTTTGTCGTCGCCACTCCAGAAAGAAAAGGGAAAGTACCAGGAGGAAAAAAAAATTTACAGCTCGATCGTGCGTCTGCGACCCACTGCCATGGACTGGCTTTCGTTTGTATTTTTCTTTTCTCTATCCTCTCCCCGTTCTTCTGCGTGCGCGTGGGTCTTTCGAAAAGACTTCACTATGGCTTGCTTTCAACCACATCTCCCATCTATCTGTTATGAGTCGGCCGGCTTGCGAATTTAGCGTGGTTGGGACTTGCACCATGATCTCCAGGCGCGAAAGGGGACCGTGTTCATTTAGTAGTGTCTTTTTGGTCCTTGTCATGTCCCTTGTCACGACGATTCCGAGTCTTCTCTCTTATGCCACGGGTGTCGGTAAAACCTGCGTTTGAAGGAAGTAGGCGGCGCGCGGAATGGTTAGTCAAGAAGCGCGAGGTGGATTTTAATCACTGTAGCTTGCGTAGTTTACTCCAATAGAACAACCTCGACCGCCGCACTCAAACGTTTTACTGAGCTAGTGTTGTCATCTGAAGTCTTAGAGTACACTGCTAATAACCTGGATACAATGTCCGTCCTTACATGGAACTCTCAAATGGAGATACACACGTCTAGATGTTGGAATTAAGATGAAAGGAGCATCCCCGTCGTCACTTGGAGTTTTAAGATATAAAGAATAGGAGAGCGCGTTGCCCATTGACATTCATCCTATAAGAGGAATGAGAGCTAAATATCAGGGTCTTAAGAGTCCTACAATAGCTCAGGTTTCGTAACGCAACATCAAGCATGCCCGCGTTCCCGGTAGAGCATGTGCTACAAATCATTACACCAGTCTTCACTGGCACTATTCTTGAGCGACAGAAAACCAAGAGTGCTTAATTTTGAACAAGGCAGTATACATGCAGAAGGAGAAAACATTTCTCTCTTCTCTTCATGCCACACTGGCAGCCTCCACTCTTAACCGCGGCTTTGATCGCTTTCCACTTGACTCTCCAGCTCCCCCGCACATGCTGCATGAACCCCCTTCCTCCCATCCCAAGAAAAATAAAAATAAAAATAAGGGAATGAGAATGTGCCATTGACTTTCCTATTGTTTCAACGTGGCACAAACCCGTAGAGAAGCCAATGACAAGCGTACAGCCCGGTTCAGTCCTCAAGGTAAGAAACAAAAGCAAGCAGTGACGGCAGGAGTATTCTCTCGTCAACTCAGTTTACAGACCCACACGCATCTGATCATCTTGGTGATCCTATTTCCCATAAGTACAACCCCAATGCTATTTTCGTGGCTGTCGTCCATGCCATACCTTCTTTGATATGGATAGGAATCAATGAAGGTAAATGCCGCCCTAATGGTGTAACGAGAATACTCGGCCTTCAAACTACAGAATATGACACCCACAGGGCCTCTCGACCGCTCGATTGCCCAAAGAAAAAAAAAAAGAAATTGACCTGCGACTATGGCGCGAGGATCAAATGAGGAATCCAGAAATCCTTCCCCAAATACTCAAAGCAGCCCAGCCCAGGAAGCCCGTCTCAGAAGCACATCATCAACATGGCCATATGCATGTGGCCGGGATGATTGCTAATGTAACGAGTAAGCGACTTTCAAATACTATCGTGGACCTGGAAAATTCCCGAAAATCTCGATTCGGGATGGATAAAGAAATGAGAAGAAACGAAGAGACCGAGCTTCATTCATAGGAGCCTCTTCCGCTTCAGATCGCCTTGCGGCTCGTCCTCGTCCGGCCGTTCTGCGGTTTCCGCCGGGTTCAACAGTGAATGCACGTTCGATGCCATGCTCGATCGTCTGGTCGGAGGACCCGGTGTGTCGATGCCGCGGAACGGAAAACGCGCCCCTGGGAGAGTCCACCCAGCGTCGGGATTCAGTGTCGAACTGGGTTCGTTAGGTGGAGGCGTTGCGTTTCGTGAACCTGGATGTTGCCTGGGACCGCGCGTTATTTCATATTGGGCCAAGGCGTTCCTAAGTTGCTCATCGCCACCGAGGGGAGCCCTGTGTGGTGACGAAGGCCATGGTGTGGAATTGTGACCAGACGCGTATGGTGAGTGAGATGGCGGCGGCGGCGGAGGCGGCACCCAGCCATGTAATCGAATATCCGCAGAAGTATGCCTCCGGGAGAGGTTGGGTGGTGGTGAATTGGAATCAACATTGGCAAGTGGATGCTGGATCTGGGGCGGCGGCGGCGGCGGCGCCTGCTGAACCGGTGGCCGCAACGACGATGGCGAATAGTTGCCTTGGGTGATCGAGCCATACCTCCTGGGCGACACGACCTGCAGGTGGGGAGGCACGGCGGTTTGCGGGCCCCTGTAAGACCCCGGTCGCCCGACATCTGCTAACGATGGCCTTCGCTGGTCGTTCTGAGGCATCTGCCGGGGGGATGCTGGCGCCATGCTGTCGCTCTGCAAGTTGGAGAAATACTGGGAGCGGGCGGACTGAATGTTTTCTTGCTGTTCGTCCATCGATCGGAAAATGTCCGACTGTCTTGCAATCTCATTTTGCATCATGGTTACTTGGATGAGTCAGTTTGGGTATGCCGTCTTTGTTATGAGTGAGGAAACATACCATCCTTATGTATCTGATGCTCCGGGTCAGGGACCATGGCCTTTATGCAATTGGAGAGCTCATAATTCCACTGTGGCTGTGGGTAAGTACAGGAGCATTGAGGGGCGGGATCAGATTGACAAACCTGGTGGCAGCGCATCAGGCTTTCCGTGAGCACGTTGCATCTTTGATTGACGTATGCATAACTATCTTCGGTCCGTGCGAGCCGAGCATGCATATCGTAGAGGCTGTGCTCGAGCATTTGCAGCCGAGACTCTACGGGATCAGGCATGGGCTCTACAGGAGCGCCCGAGGACGGAGCTGCTGTTTTGGGGCCAGTAGAAAAGGAATCACGGTGTATGAGAGCATGCCGCGAGGCTCGCCGCTTGATCTCCCTCAGGCCAACGAGATCCCCTCGCTTAAAGTTGCCATTGCCGTGCTTGAACTCCCAAAGGGGAGAATCGGGGGAGCCGGTGTGGAAAACGTCGCTCACTGCATCGGATCAGCGGGCAATCGGCAGAGCGGGGGCGTGGGACGGACCTTTGTGAAAACCGTACATGTTCAACTGTCGCACAAATGATGAAATATTGGTGTGTTTGAAGTAAGAACTGTCAATGGCATTAGCACTGGCCAAGCCAGCAGCCGGCCCAATCGGAGACGTACGAAAGAACTTTTGAGAATTCATTCGACGGCGACATGACAAAACTTTCGTTGGTGCTGGACCACGATATCAAATGCTGGATTGACTGGTCTTCGAGCATGCTGAGCCGAGTCAGTTCCGGCCCCTGTCTCAGCCAACGACGTTTGATTCACATACTTGTAGAGCTTGTGGATGAAGGCAGTTTGTACAACCTTGGGCTGCTGCGCTGCCGCGGCCGCACCGATGCCCGGGCCATTGCTGCTACCGGCGCTAGTGTTCCCGTTGGTGGTGTTGTTTGCCGCGGCCGCAGTCGCGTTGGACGTGGGCGCTCCGCCGGTGCTGTTCTGCTGTTGGTTGCTGCTCTGGCTGCTGTTGTCCGGCTCCGACTGGTTCCCACCGTTGCGGTCCAGGGCCGGGCTGGGCTGTGACGGGGGAGCCGCGGACGTCGAGTTCGAGGGCGTGACGTCCATTGGGTCTCCTGCGGGGACCGGAGGGGTCAACGAGGAGGCGGCTGACGACGACGGGAGGATCGGTATTGTCTTGTGCATACCTGGCGCGAGGGTATCGGCGGCGAACGGGCTGCGCCTGACGGATTCGGCGCCGGAAGCCATCGTGGCGATAGCTGTCGCAGGGATTTCAGAGGGTGCCGGGGTGCGTCGAGGCGTTGGATGGGCGGGCCAGCTCGCAGCAAACACGTATAAAGCTGCGCGGCGTCCTCGAGCCTGTCTGCTTCATCGGCCAGCACTCTTCTAAGAATGACGACGTCGACAGCGCGCGGACAGCTCACGGCATCCTACGGCGGACAGCGCGGGCAGACGGCGGTGCCGAGGGCGGCTGCCAATGGGCTGGCGCAGGCGGGTGCGCTGGGGCGCGGCGGTGGTCGCGGGCGGGCAGCTGGAGCGAGTGCGGACGGACGGCGGCGCGCGTGTTCGAGGGCGCGATGGCCGGGACGGGCAGGTCTGTCGGTTGGCTGGAGTCGCGGACTCGCAGGGTCGGCGCGGGTGGTGGGCCCAGGGGATAAGGGTCGCTGGGATGTGCGGGGACCTGGAGCTCCCGCGGGCAGTGGTCCCGGCAACAAGAGCTGTGTCTGCAGGCGCGGTCGCGCGGTGCTAGGAGGCTCGGGCGGGCATCTGCTGCGACAAAGGGGGCTGCGGTGGTGCTGGGTGGGACGCGTGACGGCCGGGGCAGCTGCGATAGAACGGGGCCGGGCTAGCAGGAGCAGCTTCGCGGCTTCCACTGTGGAGGTGCGTCTGCGAGCATCAGGGGAACCACCTCGATCCAGACCGCGCAGCCCAGCGTGCACCTCGCGGCTGTACAACTGCCCCCCCCAGCTGACGCCATCTGCTCAACGCCGCCTGAGCGTCCTGCCTGCCCCCGAGTGCCCGCTGCCGCCCTGCTGCCCTGCCGCCCTGCCGCCCTGTCGCCGCTCTCCCCGGTCTCTCCTCAGGCGCCCGCCGCCCGCAGCCCGCCGCCCGCAGCCCGCAGCCCGCAGCCCGCGGCCGCCAGTCTGGGCCCGCGCGCGCGCAGGCATGGCGCACCTGGCCCGCGACTTTGCTGAGCTGCCCACCCCGGCCGCGCGCCGAGCGGCGTGAGTGCCCGCCTCCCTCTCCCAGCACGTTGTCGTTCAATTAAGCATATCACGTCTTCGCTCGCCTATCCAGCTGCAGCGTCACGCGTGCCCAAACAAATCCAGCCTGTCTCGCCCGCCCTGTTGCCAGACCCCGCGGCCGCCGATCAGCCCTGCAGTCGAGCCATGCTCCGCGCCCACTGGCGCCCTGCGGCTGCGATGCCCGAGGGAGCCTGCGGCGGAGCCTGCGGCATGGCCTGTTCGCGCATGCAGACGCCCGCAAGCCCGCAAGCCCGCCGTGGGGGAGACGTTGACCTATACTGATCACGCTTGTTTTAGATTAGACGCCATTGTCGACCGCCTCACCACGCCCGAGTGGAGGGAGCTGCTTGCGCGCCTGCGCCAGCGCGACTTCCGCTGTGACGTCGTCGGCGCCTCGCCCGTTGAGCTCGTCGCCCACATCTTCCGCTTCCTCCCCCCGCACGCCCCCTTTCTGTACCAGCGGGTATGCGCGCCGAAACCGTCTGCTGCGGCTGCAGTGTGCAGTGTGCTGACCGCGGCCAGGTGAGCCGTCAATGGCAGCGCCAGCTGTCCTCGTCCCACGTGACCGGCTGCGCCATTGACAGCTGGTACTCCGACGACGACCGCAGACTGGCCGGCGAGGCGGCCGGGTTGTATAGCAATCGGCTGACGGTGCAGAAGTGGAAGGCGGACCACGTGAAGCGCTTCCGCGAAGGCCGCCCCTACCACGGCACCTTCTACTACGGCACCTGGAACGTCAAGCTGACTGCTCCCGACCGCGGTGAGTTCCCGGAAGCCGACTTCGCCCAGGACACGCTTGCGTGGAAGGTGCTGAGGAGAATTGAGGCGTTCAACTTTCGGACTGGGGAGCATCACTCCATCATGACAGATGCCCGCGAGCAGATCGGCGCCATGAAATTGACCGAGAGTCTTGTTGCCTTCTTCACACTGTTCTCCCGAGTTTGCCACATATATGATCTTCAGACAAAGGAACGAACTCATTTCACACTCCACAACCAGAACTTGGACGTGTTTGCTGCCCAGGGCCGGACGGTCCTCGTGGCCTCCGAATCTCGCAATCCCTCCTGGAGCACCCGCTTGAACATCCATCTTTGGAATGCTGTTGAAAGACGCACGCGTTCGTTTGAGATCAATCGAGTCCGCCTCGTCGACGAGGGCCGGCCTTAGTCAGTGAAGCCAGAGCGTGATTCCCACGGCCGCCCGTACTGACACTCGTCACAGCCAGTACATGCCCAAATGCGTCGTCATCGACGAACGCACCCGCTCAGTGGTGTGGTTCTTCTGTCTTCGCAAAGAGACCAAGAATTGGCTTTCGTTCGAACGTTGGTCGTTCGAGGGAGTCCTTCTGGGAAGGTATGAACACAGGGAAAGTGTGTCGGTGTACTCGCTGCGGACGGCGGATATACGACCGATGGACTACGAAGGCCGCTTGTACCACATCAAAACCCCGGTCCGACCATTTGGGTACCGTGAGGAACCCGTCTTCGCACGCACCATGACCACCATCGTCTTCGACAACGAGCTGAACCAAATCTCCATCAAGACATCCAACGACGCTCTTGGAGCGTTCCGCAATGAGTACTTCAGGAAGATGCCTTTCGACAAGTTCACAATCTGTCTTTGGAAAGACGTCATGCTGTACATGCCGCCAGCCGTTACTGACGAGGAAGCTCGCACGAAAGACAGCACCTGGGGCCCGCAGACGTATCAGACGCTGGAGCGACGGGGGATTCACCACGGGATCATGGACATCCCCGACGACATGGCGCTGGAGCACAGTGGCATGCCGGGAGACGAGACTCTGCTGGGGAACGAGCACCTGTTGGTGCTGATTCGGCGCGGCTACTGTGCCGTGTGGTGCTTTGATCCGCATCTGCAGCTGCCGGAGCGGGTGCCTGTAGACGACCCGCTGTGAGCGAGGGCGGCCAGCCAGGTGCTTCAGCGCTTCAGAAGCCAGGCAGCAAACGCCGTCAGTCCAGCCAGCAGACGGGAGCCAAGCGATGGGCTTCTGTTCGGCCGGGCGGTGGAAGCTGGGCAGCCAATCAGAGGGCGGGCGGAGGGCGAAGGTTCCGGAGGGTTGGGGGTTGGAATTGGCCGAAGGGAGGCTTGGCTGTGATCGGGGCCGGCCGCCAGAGTGGGGATTTGGCTGCGAGAATCCATGTCCGTGCCCCTCGTGCGCTTCCACCAGTAAAGTAACAGCGCCGGCCGACTACATTTTTATTTTCTGCCTGTACAACAGAAAAACTGCCCCCCCGCTTCGCTGCCTCTCGAATCCGCTGCCCACCATGGTTGAGAAGATCTACGTTACCTACAACGAGGTCAGTTGTCTGTCCGTCTCGTGTGCCGCCCCGCCGCTCTTTTGCCCACGCGGTGCGTCATAGCCAGCGCGGCGCGCAGAGAAAAGCAGCGCCACGACGGACCGCACCCTGCCTTCTGCGCTGCTCGCGCTCTTCCGCCGCGTCGTTTTCGTCTCGGGCCAGGGCGCAGGTCAATGGCGAAAACGGCCGAGTACAAGTCTCGAGAGCGCAGGCGCTGACGACGGGTTGGGTGCTTTCTAGGTCCACAAGCTGTGCCAGAAGTCGGCAGACACGATCCTCAATGAATTCAAGCCCAACCTCATGATCGCCATCGGCGGCGGCGGTTACGTGCCCGCGCGCATCCTGCGCTCCTTCCTCAAGAAGCCCGGCAGCCCCAACATCCCCATCCAGGCCATCGGCCTGTCGCTCTACGAGTCGCTCGGCACCGACAGCGAGGTCGAGGCCCCCGGCACCAAGGTCACCCGCACCCAGTGGCTGGACCTGTCGTCGCTCGAGATGGCCAACCTGATTGGCAAGCATGTGCTGATCGTCGACGAGGTCGACGACACCCGCACCACGCTCGAGTATGCCGTGCGCGAACTCGAGAAGGACGTCGAGCTGGCCACCCAGAAGCTCGGCCGCTCCGGCGAGAAGACGACTTTCTCCATCTTCGTCCTGCACAACAAGGACAAGACCAAGAAGGGCACCCTGCCCAAGACCCTGATGGACGGCGGCAACTACATCGCCGCCCAGACCGTCGGCGATGTCTGGATCAACTACCCGTGGGAGGCCATGTAGGTCGCTCCTCATCCTGCCAGGCCCGCCGCTTGACTGACTCGCTGGTTGCAGGGACATCGACGAGCACGACCGCCTGGCTGCGGAGGCTGCGAAAGCGAAGACTTCAGCCTAAATATAATGACTGGCATGTGAGACCTGAGGCCCAAGGCGCAAGGCGGAACCAAGAGGTCAGGAGAAAAAAAAAATGGTCTGGGATCCGTTTCACCTCTACACATTTTCTTCGTGGCGTTAAAGAGCAAGAGAGCGAAACATTGGATGATTTGGCATAGACGTCAGACAGGAAAGTCAAGTTTTATAAGAACGCAGCTCGAGAATGATAGCTGCTTACTACAAAGGCTGACGGAGAAAATGTTTGAGTCGCAAATAAAGCACCATGGTGCTGTCATAACTGACTTTCGAAAGCAAAAGTATAGCTTACATGTACGGCGCTGTGGGCTGCTCTTGTTGCAATGGTTGCTTCCCAGCACTTAGGAACACGCATACCATGGCGCTGTCTTCCCCACTATCAGTTGGCCCTTGTACCGAGCCGACAGGCTCAGTTCTTATCTCTTAGTCCTCAGCTGAAGGTAAAATACACGTTCGAAACTGGAGCACACAGAAGAAAAAAACACACCTCAGACCGCCCCCCTTTCACAACCAGCCAAACAGGTCCGCCTGCGACGCATCCCCGCCGAACGCTCCGAAACCGACGCTCTCAGCACCCATCAGCTCCACCGGTGGCGTCAGCAACTGCTGCTGCTGCTGCTGCGTGCCCGCGTCCATGCCCACCCCCACACACGCCCCTGCCCCCACACCCCCAAGATCCCCAAATATATGCGCCGCCAGCTCCTCATCGGTAAGCGTCTTCATGACCATCGCCGCCGGCGGCACGCCGGACACGGCACTACCACCACCACCACCATCGCCAACACCCCCAACCCCAGTCGCCGCACTCATCACACACCCTCCCCCCATCGACGCCGCCACCGCCGCCGAGAAGGGCGGCGACAAAGCAGACGACGGTGGTGACGGTTGTGATGATGGCGATGACAACGACGACGACGACGACGACAACATTGGCCGTTGGAGTTGAAGTCGCTGCTGCTGCTGCTGCCACTGCTGCTGTTGCCGCCGCCCGGCCTGTCCGCCGCTCGCGAGCAGACACGGGACGCGGACGTCCTTGGGGTCGCGCCCGCACACCGGACACGCCTTGGTCGGCGCGTGCTCGTACTGGTTGACGCCGGTGAGGCAGGGCGCCAGCACGGCGGCCGCCTTGGGCGTGGCGGCGGTGCATGCGCCGCTGGCCGCCGGCCCGGCGGTTGAGGATGGGGGATGGTGGTGGTGGTGGTGGTGGTGGTGATGGTGGTGATGCTGAGAAGGAGGAAAGGGTTCTGAGTTTCTGTGTGGCGGCGGTTGCTGCTGCTGCTGCTGCTGCTGCTGCTGCTGTGGCGACGTTGGTGATTCCGGTAGGGGTGGTGATGATGATGATGATGATGTCTCCTCTGTGTGGAGCTTGTCGGCTTGGTCGCAGAAGCGGGTGCGCATAGGCTTCATGTGGCCGCAGGGCCAGCAGCCGACGATGACGAAGCACATGGTGTGCCAAGGGGTTTTTTCTTCCTTTCTTTTTCCTCTCCTTTTTCTGTGAAACTGGCCGACTGACTGACTGACTGGCGGGTCTGTACGTCGCGGACTGTGGTGAAGCGGCCAGTGACTTGTGCTAGATCTCTGAAGGGGGAAGGTCTGATTGGCTGATTTAGGCTGCTTGCTGGCGTGGTTGGCAAGCAACCTGTCGATGTAGTGACGTGTTGAAGGTGACTGGAACGAGCGTTTGAAAAGACGAGCAAGCTATCTTAGCATGAACGACTATGCGGGTGAAAAGACCGCAAGAGAGGGCGAAGCGTAGTAGCAAACAAACGATGCGGATTTTGCGTATGGGTCGCTTTGCAAAGCTTGTCTACGAATGTGACCGTGGACTTAAAGGAGAGAAAAAGAACCGCGATTGCTTGCTGGTAGCATCACAAGATAAGGGAGGTACGAAATCACCTCGGGACTTTATATCGATTGCTCTGTCGAAGGCCAAGTGATGTGTTTGGAGGGAGGCATGCTCGGAATCTTGGGTGGTTTGCCTGCATCCATAGTTCTGACTGCAGCAAACGGGATGGCTCGGGAGAGTAGCAAACGCAAGCGCACGTCTTCAGTATTGAGGGCGAGTCTGGGGCTCGGAAAGGGTGATGGTCACCGCTAAAGCACTTCCACTTGCGCCACACGTGCTTCAAGTTAGGTATCCTAAGTACAGGGGAAAACGGGGGTTTGATGAAAAGGTGAGGGTCGGGATGGGTCGCAAACGCGCAACGCTAGAAATACAGTGTTTTCCCGCGCCGCCGAACTAACAGCCAAGAACGTTCTAGATTGGTCATGCAGAAGAAAAGGAGATAAGGGAATAAGTTGGTTCACTGGCTCCCTGCTTTTTACACCCTCAGCAGCTTAGCCGCATAGTCAACGACCAAAGACTCCGTAGGGAAAGCCATCTCCTCAAGCTTCTGCGCGTAGGGGGTGGGAACCTCAGCGCCAGTGATGCGGACCGGAGGAGCCTGGAGGTAGTCGAAGCCGTACTCGCAGGCAAGGGCCAGGATCTCGGCACCAACACCGAACGACGGGAAGTCGGAGGCGACCGACATCAGGTGGCCAGTCTTCTTGACCGACTTGATGATAGCCTCGACATCGAGGGGCTTGATGGAGCGAAGGTTGAGGACCTCAGCCTCGACGCCGTACTTCTGCTTCAGCTGCTCAGCAGCAGCCAGCGACTGGCCGACGCAGCGGGAGAGGGTGACGATGGTGAGATCCTTTCCAGGGCGCTCAATCTTGGCCTTTCCGAACTGTTCTCGCTGTTAGACATGATCGCCGAGCTTCTGGGACTGGGTTTCGTACCGGTAGAACGAAGTCATCCTTCTGAACCTCCTCGCTCACAGGGAAGGAAAGACCGTACAGAAGCCTGGCGAACTTTAGCCATTGAAAATTGCACGCAAAATATGGTCAACCTACTCGTTCTCGAGAACGACAACCGGGTTGGGATCACGGATAGCAGCCTTCAAGAGGCCCTTGGCATCCTCCGCGCTGTAGGGCGCAACGACCTTGAGACCGGGAATGCTGCCGTACCAAGCGGAGTAGTCCTGCGAGTGCTGGGCGGCGACACCGGCGGCGAAGCCGTTGGGGCCACGGAAGGTGATGTTGCAGGGCTGGATGCCGCCGGACATGTAGTGGGTCTTCGCGGCGGAGTTGATGATCTGGTCGATGGCCTGCATGGCGAAGTTGAAAGTCATGAACTCGCAAACGGGGTGGAGGCCAGCGAGAGCAGCGCCGACGGTCAGACCGCAGAAGCCGGACTCGGTGATAGGCGTATCAATGACCCTCTTCTCGCCGAAGCGGTCGAGCAGGCCCTTGGTGACCTTGTAACTGTGGCGCAGAAGCTTCTGTCAGCATCGCCATCTGGTCAATGGACTGGGTACCGATTCCCGCGCCCCAGAAAGGCCCGGAGCGCGGCCAATGCGTGTACTCGAGCCTGGTCGGGAGCGCATAAGCGCAGGCGGGCACTCACGCTCCGTTGTACTGCGCAACCTCCTCGCCCATGACGAAGACCTTCTCGTTCCTCTCCATCTCCTCAACCATAGCCTCGTTGAGAGCCTCACGGACGGTCATCTCCTTGGCTCCGCTGGGGGTGGCATAGCTGCGCAGGGCAGGGAAAGCGGCCTGGGGGCGGAAGGCGGAGCGAACGGTGGTGGGCCGCGATGCCGCCAGCAGGCGGGAGGCGGGGCGGAATAGCCTTGCGGCGGACATGGCTGAGCAGGAAGGGGAAGAGGAAGGAGGGAGGGAGCCGTGGAGCGATGAGGCGGCTGGGGGGTGGTGGTCGAGGAAGAGAGATCAGCTCGAGTTGTTGGGTGCGCGGCGAAGATTTCCGCGATGCAACAACTCAACCCGGCAGGCCGGCTCTCCGACCACGCGCGCCCACTGCCGCGTTGAGCCGCCCCGCCAACACTGTCGCCGCCCACTGCGCCATTGCAGCCTGCTGCACCGCAGCCCGCCGCTCGGCAGGCGCCCAGGCTGTCTGCGCGGTGCGTCGGGGGCTCTGCCAGGCCCTCAGCGCTTCCTCGCGCGCTGCGGCGTGGCCGAGCGCGGTTCCGACGCGCTCCCGCCATTTTCGGAGCTGTTGAGGCGATTCCGATAGCTTACTCAGGCCCGCCCTGATTGCACGCCCAGCACCACGCCGCATCAACAATCATCTCCAACTGACATTGCGTAACTGACGTTCAATATTAGAGGCTGCAGTGCAACTATGTAAGGCCCAGCCCAGGCCGTAACAGAAAAATCCATCTACGCGTACAGTAGCATCGAGAAGCGAAATGCGGCCATGCAAATACAGGGACTGGTGCGCAGTGCACCGCAAGATAAGGCCCAGACGGCCCGCTCCACCCTTTTCCCTTCGCTTTGCCCCGACCCCGTCTATGCCTGGGGCTTGCGGCCGACCATCAGATACATGGGCGTGAACAGCTTCTCCCTGCCACCGGCGACAAGGCAGTCACCGGCAACGGCCAGGCTGTCCGCAGTCTTCTGCGTGCCCTTCGGCGCCAGACCGAGCCACTCCAGGCCACCGCAGAACTTGTGCGCCATGGTGCGGCCAATCTTGTGCATCCTGAAAATGGTGACAAACTCCCAGACGGAGCCCATCTGCTTGAAGTCACCGGAGAGCGGCCAGTACCACGGGCGGGGGTCGTCGCGGTCAGCGAGATCCTCATGAAGCTCCAGCTCGAAGCCAGCCTTCTTCATGGCCTCGAGAGCAACCTCGATCTTCTCCATGTTGGAAATACCGTCGCCGAGCTCGATGCCCAGACGGATCTCGCGGTGGTGCGGGTTGTCGTTGTCGTACTTGTCGGTCATGAGCCACTCGTACACACCGAAGACACCACCGGGCTTCAGGACACGGAAGATCTCCGAGTAGATGCCCTCGAGCGAAGGAGCGTGGACGGTGGCCTCAATGGCATAGACAGCATCGAAGCTGTTGTCCTCGAACGACATTTGCTGTGAAGAAATGGTTAGCGCACGCTGCTGGACCTGTCGACTATTCTAGCGTACCATGAAGTCACCCTTGACATATTTCAGCTTGTCCGAGAGACCCTCCTTCTGCGCGTACCAGGTGGCACGATCAATCTGGTAGTCGTTGTTGTTGAGACCGGTGATGTTGGCACCAGAGAACTTGCAGATCTCGCGGGCCGGGCCACCAACACCGCAACCAACATCGAGAACGTTCATGTTATCCCGAAGGCCCATGACGTGAGCGAGGTAGTGCTCGTGGCGGGCAAGAGCTTGCTTGAAGGGCTCGCCGTAGGCGAAGCGGCAGAAGTGGAACGACTGAGCCCAGCCCATCTCGTAGAAGTCGGTTGCGAGGTTGTAGTAGCTTGATGAGATCAGCAGAGGATCCAGTGACGTGAGAACCGAACGACGTACTGTCTGGTGAGGGTGGCATATTCCTTCCTGCGCGCCTCACGAACCTCGGGCGTTTCCTCGCCAGCGGCCTTGTTGTCCCAGTGCTTGAAGTACTCGTCAACGGCAGCCTCGTTGGCAGCGTTGGACTTCTTGTTCATCATGGCCCAGGTACCTCCGCGCACTTGGCCGGAATTGCCGTGAAGGGCATCCTTGTAGGCGGCGTCGCGCTGCTTGTCTTCCTTCTCGAGAGCCATTGGGGACATGGTGAACGAAAGTTGGTCGGACGAGACCTGATTCTTATAGGTGGCTGGGTCGGATAGACAAGTGGAAGGGTTCCGAGCGAGCGGAAGGGCAGAGTGCGAAAGACGGGCGCGGAAGAGAGCGTGGAGAGGTGGAGGGAGATAAATCAGCTGTTTTAGGGGACTGGGCGGCACCGCGGCTCACCGCCGGCGCGCGACTGGAGAAATGAGCTGGCGTTCCTGGCAGCACGGGCCGAGAGGTAGACAGAAGCCGAAGATCAAGGGGGCCGCTCGATTTCTCGTCCGGGCAGGCGGTGGGCTCTATTAGTACTAATCAGCAGTAGACCCCAGCGCTAATTCTCTGGTTGAAAGTGCAACGCTCTGCAGTTTTTGGGGACGTCTTGTTGATTGGTAGACCCGCGAACCACTCTCGCTCCCCTGTCCTCGCCCTCATCACAGTCGGAGCCTCTCGTCGCTGCTGGGGGGGATGCATGCTCAACGGCGTCGTAATTAAACCGGCGGATCTGCTAGTTTGCTTCCAATACTGCGGTAATCTTTTTTGACGGATTGCCGCGATGATCAACGTAACCCAGGCGCTAGGAAGATGGGCGTGTGGGCGAGGCCTGCCTGACTCACGAAGGCACGTGAAACTTACAGCCATTACTAAGACACCCCCGGCCGCCACAGCTCGGATGGCGAAAGAGCCGCCGCGCCATCGCTGCCGACCAACTTTCGAGGCCATATCAACAACCAACATCCGCCATCCGAGCACGCTCCCCCGCCAGCCGCCTTTCTACCACCGACGATCCACAGCAACACCCGTCGCGCGCCATGCCGCCCCAGATCAAGCACGACCTCAACCGGTCTGGCTGGGAAAGCACCGACTTTCCCTCCGTATGCGAACGATGCCTTCCGGACAACCCATATGTGCAGATGCTGAAGGAAGACTACGGCTCCGAGTGCAAGGTCTGCACCCGCCCCTTCACCGTCTTCAAGTGGAAGGCCGATCGCACCTCGCGACAGAAGCGCACCAACATCTGTCTTACGTGCGCGCGCCTGAAGAACTGCTGCCAGTGCTGCATGCTCGACTTGTCCTTCGGCCTGCCCATCGTCGTCAGAGATGCAGCCCTGAAGATGGTCGCTCCCGGCCCTCAGAGCAACATCAACCGCGAGTATTATGCGCAGAACCACGAGAAAGAGATTGAGGAGGGCAGAGGCGCGATCGAGGAGTACGAGAAGACGGATGAGAAGGCAAGGGATCTGCTGCGGCGCCTGGCACAAAGCGAGCCGTACTACAAAAAGCAGCGCAGGTTGGAGCTGGAGTCAGGAGAGGGTAGCAAAGACGGACAGAAGGCGTTGCCTGCGCCCGAGGGAAGTGAGGGCCAACTCCATAGAGCGGGCCCCATCCGCACGAAGGACACCAAAGCCGGACCGCCAGGAGCGCGCGGTCCCTTGAGCCGTACTGGTCGCGGAGCCCGGGGGTTCCCTAGCGCCGCGCAACTGGCGCCACGTCCCGAGGATATTCTGCCCCCGGCAGATAAGAAAATCACTTCACTGTTTGTTACTGGCGTCGAAGATGACCTCCCAGAACACGAGATCCGTTCTTATTTCACCAATTTCGGCCAGCTTCGGTCACTTGTATGTTCGCACAGGTCGCATTGCGCCTTTGTCAACTACGTCAACAGGAATTCGGCGGAGAAGGCCGCTGAGGCATGTCAAGGCAGGGCTGTGGTGAAGGGCGTGCCGCTGCGGATTCAGTGGGGAAAGCCGAAGCCGCTGGATACCATGGAACGGGAAGAGCGCATGGCCAATGCGAGGTCGGGGAGGCAGACGAAGAAAGCCATTGCAGCGGCATCAGACGGCCGGGGGTCAGGTGCGGCTGGTCCGTCTTCCGCCGGCGGAGCTACGGAGAACCTGGATAGCCTTGCTGCCATCGCACCACCTCCGGGTTCGGAGGAGGTGAATTATGCAAGTCTGGCGGGGAACTAACCAAGCGGTTTCATGCACCGCAAAGCGGACCGAGATGTTTGCTTCTTTCCCGATTGGTTTTCGGTCATGATGGCCGGTCACTGTCACTATAGCCGGCTGCTTCAAGCGGACATGCATGCATAAGGCGTTTACGGAGTTATGTGGTCAACCCGGGTCTGAGTCTGGGAGAAAAGCAGGTGGATATCACATTTATGCCGCAGGGAATGAATAGTTTCAAGCTGAACAGCACTTCACGCCTGACAGCGTATTCTTTCCCTTGTTCTGCTTGATAGTCTCGTTGTCGCCGCGTTCCGTGTGCTCGTGAATCCTCAGCTCTGAAAGCATCATGCTCGATTAGAACCTTGACTTCGGTGCAGAAGTATACGAACGTACGGTATCGGCCATGGTCGCCGGCTCGTCCTTGAACAACGTTCTCTCTCAAAACTTTGGCCACTTCGTTTGCGTAGGTCACGGCCTTCTCCGCATCTTCGCCATTGGCATCGAGGCCCCGGTTTGCATCGAAGTCGTCCCTCGCCTTCATCCGAGAGGCGGACAAGATGGCGGCATCGCCTGCGGCGGTAAAGTCAGAAAGGGCAAACCTTGGGGGGGGGGGGGATTGCGCCGGGAGAAATTGCACCTTGAAAGGCGAGCCGGGTGGCACGCAAGACATTCCTGTAGGCAGCAAGAGCCATTTGGAGCGATATTGGAGCGTTCCGGCGAGCTGGCGGGCGTGGGCTGGCTGATCCGAAGCTTCAGACGCGGCGAAAGAGCGGAGCGGATTCAGAGACATGGGCGAGGGTCAGGGCGTCGAAATGCTGCTGACGTAAGGGGGAAATCGGCTTGGCACGGGACGTAGCAGGGCATCCCTGCTGATCCGGGATTGACGTAGCACAGCAAAGAAGCCACGCGCCGTGCAGCTGCTGTCTCCAAACAATGCTCAACATCGAGCGCCCCCCCTCCATCCAGCTTTGCCATCCTTGACCGGCGCTCTCTACACGACACCATGGTGTCTCTCTGGCCATGGCGGGTACGCATTCCCCCTCCACCGCCTCCGCGCGCGAATAGGAGCTCCCGTTGCTGATCCGTGAGGCCAGGACGACACTTCCGCCGCGGGCTTTGAGAAGACGCTCTCGGCTCTGTCCACGAAGATCACGAAGGCCAGCGCGCGGGGCGACCGCCTGCGTCAGAACTCCCGCAGAAGCAAGGTCATGTGGACCCTGTACACAACCTTTGCATACATTCTCGCAGCCCTGATCTTGACCCTGATCACCGGCTGGCGGAACTGGGGCCCCGTCGAGTACACCGGCATGGCCGGCGGTCCGCTTGTGTGCGCATCCTCTCTCGCGACCGCATAGACGCCGGCTAACCCGCAGCACAGCATTTATGGCGTTCGTCAGGCATTGGCCGCTTACTTCAACTACCGCATCAACAACACCCAGTCCTACCTCGACAACCTCTACAAGGAGCGCGACGCTACAATTGAGAAGCTCAAGGACGCTACCAAGTACAACTCTACGCAACAGTTGCTCGAGAAGTACGGCACCCCGAAGCCCTCGCCCAAGCAGGAGCCTTCCACGCCCGACCAGCGCCGGCCGTCAGGGGATAGCAGGCCCTCTTCGGCCACTGGTGCACACTCGGGCCGCACCGGCTTTGCGCCTCCGCCTACGGCCAACATTCCTCGCAACAACGTGCCACCCCCATCTGAGGGAGGGTCGTCGCGCCCCGTCACGCCGGGCGAGGGCCAGCAATTCCTGCCGCCTTTCCCGGCAGGCCAGCAGCAGCCGCCTTTCCCACCAGGTCCACAAGCTGGAGGACCCGTCGCGGGGGCAACCGATGCTGACTTCGCGCCCAACGCTTTCCCTGCGCAGTATGCCCCCGAGAGTCCCCGAGGACCGCAATGGTACGATCGCATCTTGGACGTGCTGCTGGGCGAGGACGAAACCCAGCCGAAGAACCGCTTCGTGCTCATTTGTGGGCACTGCCGCCTTGTCAACGGCCAAGCACCTCCGGGTACGAAGTCGCTGGAAGACCTGGGCAAGTGGAAGTGCATGGGGTGCGGCGGCTGGAACGGCCAGGAGAATGAAGCGCAAAAGCTCGTCAAGCAGATCCAGCAACAGGAGAAGCAGGTGGGACCCAACAAAAAGCCTAGCGACGACGATGCCGGCCCGGGCAAACCAATCTGGAAAGTCACAGACGCATCGCCGGATAACAGTACGGACGAGTCGGGAGGTGAGGAGGCGCCGCCGTCCAGGTCCACCAGGAGCAGGACGAAGGGCAAGAAGTTTTAGGACGGTGTTTGATCTGTTCTCTCTTCTATGAACATTTTAGGTAAAATCGCATCGGGTGCCAATCGGTGTTGTTCGGTTGTCTCTTTTCTCCTTTCAAGTCCGAGTCTTGTTTTGATAGCATGTTCCCCCGCTCTGCGAGGAGATAAGGCGTTCTGATTGGACAGGCGGAGTTGGTAGCCTTTCAGTAAAGCAGAAATACCCTCTCGTATTTCTTTCTACGCTTTCATTGCACGTCCTGCTCTCATTCACTTGCCTTGTAACCATTCGCCCCTGCTTCTAGGTGCACCACTCAAGCACAACTGTAAGTAATCCGGGCTCTCTTCCAGCTAGCGCTTCTACACTGATCTTTGCATATATCATAGTCAACAGCGGGGAGTTGGATTCCTTGTCTCTATCGCAAACATCACGTATCTCGCTACACGTTTACGTTTAGACAACGGCTCCAGCTCCCCTGTGCCATGAATCCTAAGCAAACTGTGCAAAATTGCATATTCATTCATTTGTGCTCGCTTATGTCTGAGCCCTTGTAAGCTCCCCATTTTCATGTCTCGCTGAACTGAAGTCCATTTACACTGATCATCGTGTACTTTTTTTTTTCCAAATCGCCCGATTGCAAGGGTATTCTATGAGACTTTCTCGTTCAACCCTAACGAAAACCAGACTTTGCCCATATACCCGCCCTCTGTGTGTCTATTTTGAACGCCGTGCCGTGTATCCTGGTCTCAATCTCATGCAGAATCTCACCCGCTATGCTAGCTCCGTTGCCGAGATGAGGGAGAAAAAAAAGGAAAGAAAAACACAGGACGTAAAAAGAAGAAGCAAAAAAGAGCAAGGAAAGTAGAAAAAAAAAGGAACAGGAAAAAAAAGAAGAAGGAAAAAAAGAAAAGAAAAGGAAGTGTTGTAGAAGAAGACAGCTTCCAGCAGTCGAGTCAGCACGAGCCGGTCATCTAGTTGTTCTGCTGGTCGCCACTGCTGCTGCTGCTGTTGTTGTTTCAGTTGCCGTCGATACGACGACGGCGCGGAAGCTCGTTGGTCCCGTGGGAGATCATGGCGATGGGCATCGTTCCAGGCGAGGGCGGGCGCTGGAAGCCAGGCGAGCGGACAGGAGCACGAGGACGAGCGGCAGTGGCAGTGGCGGGACCGTCGTAGCCGCGGGCGGCGTGGAGGGGCCGACGGACGTGCGGTGTAATGTCATCCAGAGAATAGGCCGGGCGTCCAGCCTCCTCCTCGGTGATGATATCGAAGTCGTCGTCGTCGTCGTCGTCGTCGTCGTCGTCGTCAGCCAGGCTCGCGGGGTGTACAAACTCGCTGCGGTCGAGGTCGATGCTGTCGAAGGTGGCACCGGCACGATTGCTGGAGGCACCGGTGCTTGCGCCGCTTGCAGGGGCATCGAAGAAGTCGTCACTGCTGCTGGTGCTGGTGCTTGGCTCCTGGTTGCAGCGAACGCTTCCCGGCGTGGCTGCCGAACGGGCGCGTTGTTTGGCCTTCTGTGCCTTCCTGGTTTCCTTCCGCTGCTGCTGCTTCTTCTTCTTCTTCTGACCGTACGGGGATTCGATCGGCTGAACGCCTCCAACCACCGTCAGGCCTTCGGTAACAACGTCTTCCTTCTGGCCCTCAACGCCCTCAACGCAGCCTTCGTCATCGTCTGAGCCATCGCCGTTCTTGGAGTCCGCCTCGCCTAAATCGACGAAGCATTCGGAGACTGCGGACGCTTCATGAGGCGTGCTCTCACCGCCCTCGCCCCTGAGGAGCCCGACGCGGTGCGCACCGGATCCGACCAGTCGACTCCTGGCACCCTGGACGCTGAGGTCCCTCATCACGTCCGTCACGGCGTCTTGGGCCGTCGTCGCCACGACGGCCGCGCCGGCCCGCGCGCAGACGAGCGCCTTCCGGGCGCCCGTCCTCAGCATCGCGTCGGCCGTGTCGCGCGCCTGCCTCGCCGCGTCCCAGTACGGAGCTGCTGCGCGCTGGTCGTGCCGCGCCTCGGCCTGCTGCCGGCGCGCCTCGTAGCCCACGTCCGTCTCGACGTCTTCGTAGACGCAGAAGTAGGTGTCGTCGTCGTCGTCGTCTTCCGGGGACGCGGTGAGAGGCTCCGGGTTGGCGTTGATGTCTTCGTCGCCGGCGTGGAGGAGTTGGGGGGTCGAGGTCGAGGCAGTACCGACGACGACGTCCTCGCGGATGATGTCGCCGACGCTCGCGTCGATCTGGCTCTCGACGGACTCGAACGGCTCGAGGAGAGTCGTGTAGCCGCGGTTGGAAAAGCAACGGGCGCGGCGTTCGGGGCCACCGACGTACGGGAGAGAAGAGAGACCGGGAAGACGTGCCGGGAGGGAGGGGAGACTCTCCATGGCCCGCGCTAGCATGCCCTCTTGCGTGCTGGCCGGGATCGTCGGCATCATGGAGTAAAGCGCTTGGAAGAAGCGACCGTTCCGTGAAAGAGAGGCGGCCTCCTGGAGGGTCGGGCGGATCTGGCTGGTCGATGGCTTTATCTCATCCTGCTCCTCGTCGCCGCTAGACGCAGCAACAGCAGGAGAAGGAGGAGCGGCGGGCGCCGTGGTAGTCTTGTTGGCAGACATGGACGAGAGCTGACTGTTTTCGAGCGTCTGCTGGCCGGACGCCCTTGTCGCGTTGTCATCGCCTCCTTCAGGTACCATCTTGGATTGCGCAGGAGCCATGGTTGAGTGGGCGTCGGTGGTGGAGAGCGGAGCTTGGAGGATGTCAATCACCCGCGTTGGCCGGAGGGGCGTTGATCCCGGAGGCGCATGAAGGGGGTCTAGAAGCGTGGGTGCGCGTGGTGATGATAGTCCTGCGAGAGTGCGGCGCGGACGATTTTCTGCCGAAGAGGAGAATGGCCGGGTGTAGTGCGCGAGCAGTCATGTGCAGCGAAAAGGCACCCTGTTGGATCTGCGCGCCGGATGTACCGACAAGAGTTGGAAGGGAGTGGGCAAGAAGAAGGGCGAAAGCGCGCGACGAGAGCACCCAGTCGCCGGCCCTGGCCCTCGTCGACGGTCTGCGACTTCTGCTCGGCGTGGACAATCGGAAGGCGCTTCGTCGCCGAGAAAAAGACGGGTGGGGTTCTTTTTTTCCTGGCTCACCTTATCGTTCAGGGTTTGGCGTCTTCGTACCGTCGGGTCAGGCACGGTAGCGACCTGGGTGTATCGCGTGGGTGAGTGACTATCTTTTGATATTGCACCCCCAGGCCCTCAACGGCACCATGAGGTCAACAACCACAATACGGGCACGGCGGAGAGCGAGCCAGCCGCACCCAAGCAACGCCAGAAGGAGAATGCAGGTGTCTTTGCGGCAAACACGAAGGAAAGGCGTGGTGGTTCACGCAGCTTCGACGCTTCCTTTCCGCAACGTGTCCCGCAAATTTGCAGGCGGGCGAGAGAGCCGGGCCCGGCAGAGAGGGCGACTCTTGGAACCGCCGTTCGGCGTTCTTTGGTTGACATGGCTCGCTTCTCCGAGGGTCCAGAGTGAGGCCCAACGGCGCTACACGGGCCGTGTGATGCAGGATGCGCGATGCGGTGCGTTGCTGCCTGGCCGCGGCGCAGACCGCCTTGTCGAAAACGGCTATCGACACCTTGTCCCAGGCAGCAAGACCATCTAGCATTCTGCGCGTGTTGCGAGCGCCCGGCGTGGAGGGGGTTGGAAGTGTTTGTTGCTGCCTTGGTGCCTCAGGTGTCATTCAACGGATATAGCATTGCCATATTAGACTAGTCATGGGCAACATCTCACAACCGTGAAGGAAACATTCAAGTGAACCGCCGGGGCGCAACTTGGTGATGGGTTTTTTTCAGGCGTCTAGGTACTCGGTACTTAATAAAGACAAGAGCAGGTGACTACACCACAGGCCCGTAACGAAATGATAGGCCGCATGCTCGAGACTTGGAAGCAGCTGCGTGCCACGACTATGCCGTCGCGCCAAGAACACAGCCAGATCCGAGTCGCGGCCTACGGAGCATCTTCACTTGATTCTCTCACGTCAATCGAACACGCCGCTAAGTGGCACCTCAAAAAGGCAACAAACAACATCCTGTGGTGATTTTCCATTCCCTCAACAACCCTATTTGAGAGAATCCATTCACCGGTCCCTTGTCCCAAGCAATGTATCGTCTTTCAACCTTTTAGCCGTAGTACTAGTACAAAGGAGCCACGCCATGAATGTCCATTAGGTCAAATTTCCGCTCCTGATTCGATATCCGTCGTAAACCTCGTATCCCATGACAACCGTATATGAAATGTACCGTCCTGAGAGCTTGCTCAGTCACCGGTCTCTGGTTCACCATAGTGCTCTTGAGCGTGCGTTCGCCGACGAGTGTAAAGATCATTTACAACTCCTCCTTGACCTTGTCCGTGGCCTGCTGTGCCGCCTCAGAAGCCCTGTGCTTGGCAGCCGAAGCGCTCTCATTGACGGCATCAGTAGCCGCAGCGGCAGAGCCCTTCGCATCCTTCGAGGCTTGAGAACCGACGCTGCTGGCACCAGACGACGCGGCCGAGGCAGCGCTGGAGGCGCTGGCAGAGGCGTCTGAAGCAGCAAGGCCGAGCTTCTGCTTGATCCAATCGATGTAGGAGCCCGCAGCACCGTAGGCCTGGTTTGCCTTCAAAGAGGCATCATCGGTGGCCTGAGCGTATTGGTTACCGGCCTTGGAAGTAGCCGCGCCGTAAGCGCTAGTGACGGAGTGCTCGACATTGTCGCCAGTCAACTTTGCGCGGTGCTTGCGGGCGAGAGCAATGAGCTCATTACGCTTGGATCCCTGCGGGACCTTGACGCCGTTCTTGTCGAGCCACTCCTTCACCTGGCTGTCAGACCAGGCGTCGAGAAGGCTGTCGGTGAGAGAGGCCTGGACAGAAGCAGCAGAAGCAGACGCGGAGGACTGAGCGGACCTCATGGATTCAGAAGCAAGTCGCGAGTTGCGACGAACCGAGGCGATGAGCTTGTCACGGGTGCTGGACTGAGGAGCGGGGTAGCCGCGCTCATCAAGCCACGCCTTGAGGTCCGACTCAGACCACGACTCATAGAGCCAGTCGCCGGGGTAAGCCGCCGTCTCACCAACCTTGGTGGCAGCGCTCTGGTAGTTCTCACGTGCGGCCTTGAGGAGCGTGTCACGAGTGCGGGGTTGGGGGCTCGGGATGCCATGACGATCCAGGAAGGCCTTGAGCTGAGAGTCGGTCCAGCTGCACACGAGTTAGCAGAGCAGCGCGATGTGTCAGATCAGCAGCAAGACTTACGAGTCAAAGATCCAGTCCTTGACACTGTTGTAGGCGTTCGACGCCTGGTCCTCGGTCTCGTACCAATAGGCCTTCACAGACGCCACCAGGCTGTCCTTGTTCTGCTCGGCACCCTTCTTGACGTCCTGACCCTTGGAGCCCAGATAGGACTGGAGCTGCTGGGTGTCCCAGCTGTTGTAGGGCTGAGCGACCTTGGCGTTCCAGTTGTCCTTGACAAGGTTCTCCAGATCCTTGCGATCGGCAGGCGTGGGATAGGGGACATCGTGGTCGGAGAGCCAGCGCTCGAGCTCAGTCTCATGCCACTTGTTGTAGGCTGCAGGCTAGGAGTCAGCGGAGGCAATTGCAGAGAACACGCTGTCATGTATGGAGGTGGCGTAGCTGGGGTGTCATGACGTACCTGCCTTGCCAAACCAGGTGCTGGCGACGGCGGACTCAGCGGCCAAAGCCACCACGAGGGTGGATACGATGTTGAACCTCATGCTTCGATGTAGTGGGCGAGGAGCAGGATGGTAGTGGATAGAGAGCAGAGGGTGGTGGGGGGCGGGAGGGCGAGGTTTTGTTGTCGGGGCGGGCAGGAACTCAAGCTTCCTTTGTGGCTGCTGGAGCTCCAGCCCACTGACGCAATCCTTCGCACACGGGCAATCGACGATCAATGCGCCACACGGGGAAACCGCCTGCCCCAGATTTTCTGGCGCAGAAAGCAAGCTTCAGCAGGCGGTGCTGACATCAACACGTCACCACCGTTGCGTGCTCGCCCGCCACCAATCCGCGCGTGCCCGTGCATCGTGCCGTTTCAGCCAGAGACGAGCATGCAATTGCTTATAATTCATGCCGAGAGGTATCGCAGTAATGGAATAGACTACAGAAAATGCCGCCATTGCCCGCCATTGCCCGCCATTGCCCGCCATCATTGCCAGGCTGTGAACTGTGAACCCATTGCGCGACGTAGCTCGCAACCATCCCCTCTAGGCGCCCTTGGTTCCGCCGTGGCCTGCACCAACACCATCAGTAACCCGTACCGCGATCTCTGCAAGAGGGAGACACTTACCGGACCAGAAGCTGGCCGGCACCTTGTCCTTCTCTGCGTCCTCATTGCTGATCTTCGTCTCCGCCCTCTCAGCGCGTTGCTCCATTTCCTTATTGTGCTGCTGCACCTCGGGATCTTGCTCCGAGGGCGGGTTCTCGTTCAGAATCTTGGGCTCCGCACCTTTCACTGCATGACTGTTTTGAGACTTCTTCTCGCCGCCGCCGCCGCCGCCGCTGCTCGTGCCTTTGCTGCCCGTCGTCGCGGCCGAGGCATCGGTGCCCTTGCCGACGTCCGGGGGAGGCGGGCCAGGGTGCTCGATGTCCCGGGACTTTGCGGGCGGCTGCTTCTGCGGGTTTTCGCCAGCAGGATCGCCTTTGCCGTCGCCATAGCCAGAGTGCGCATACGATCGTGTGGCGAAGGCCAGCATGGGCCTGGACGAGGCCACTGTCGGCCGCAGGGTAGCGGCGGAGCGAAGCGACGAAACGGGTCTGAGGAATGCCATGGCTTGGATGGATGATTGATGGAGATTTGAAGTGGTTAGGGGAGTTGGAGAAGCTTTGTAGCAGCGGGCTCGCGCTAGTGTAGCTTTCTGAAGCTGACTACCGAAAGGGATGCAGGTGATGAGCAGCATCAAACGCTCGGTGACGTCACGTAGACATTATCTGCACCGCACCCCATTCTTTCACTTTCTACGTACCCGACGTGACCAACTGCTGTGACTTTGAACACGTGCCGGCGCAAAGGTGCAATGACTTTTGCAGCACAAGTTCAAGGATGACAAGTCTGATATAGCAGCGCTGCAGCGTCTGGAAGTCTTCGCTCGCATTTTCACAGCACAGGTTTTGAACGACTCGAACGAGTGTATTCGGACAGCTAATGAAATAGACATTATAAAACCAACTCGACCCTACAAGGGGAGTCAAAGTCCCAATCCGCCAAACAAAAGCTCCACCCCATTCGCGCATCCAAAACGGAACAGAAATGATAAAACCAACTCAACTCCAGAAAGGGGAGTCAAAGCTCCAGTCCAACAAACAAACAAGGACGGCGAGTCAACCCCACCTACCCAATGAGACCAACTCAACCCCCCAAGAGAAAAGGGGGGAGTCGAAGTCTCATCAGGTAGGCGGAGAACTCAAACCGACAATTCAAAGAAAAACAAAACAAACAAGGACGGCGAGTCAACCCCACCTACCCAATGAGACCAACTCAACCCCCCAAGAGAAAAAGGGGGGAGTCAAAGTCCCATCAGGTAGGCGGAGAACTCAAACCGACAATTCAAAGAAAAACAAGCCCAACCAAAAGAAAACAAAGCCCAGCCAAAAGAAAAACCCCAAGAATCAATTCAGAATCCACGCAAACCCACGTTTCCACCTCATGCTGATACAAGCCAAAACCCAAAAGAGAGAGAGAGAGAAAAAAACTGCCTTGAACGCCGAAAGAACTTTTTGGTATCGTGGGCGTCGCGTGGTCGTGGTATCGTAGTCATGCCATCAGAGTCCTTACAAGATGGGGACTGTTTTCGTCGCTTCGTAGAATGCATCCGCTTTGAACAACGGCAAAAGCCAACTGAAGGGGGGTATCCATGAAATCAGAGTAAGAAGCGCAAATGGGTATCTTGGAGAATCAGGAAAAACGCCGTAATCGTGCATGGTAGACGCGTAATCGGAAGTGCCGAAGAATTCGGAGATCGCAATCTCCATCATGTACCAAGAAAGAAGAAGCATGAACAGAAAGCCAAACCAGGTCGGCTTCATTTGCCCGTGATGGCTGCGCGAGAGGAAAAGTCTCTTGACGCCGGTGCAGATCATGAGAATGGGATTTTGTTCGACATGGCCACAGGCCTCGCAGGCGTTGCATTTGTTTCCGACAATCTCTGTCGTGTCGATCGAGGCGATGAGCTGTCTCGTGGTGTGATAAGCATCTCGGATACCTTTTCTTGCGGCGTCCAATCGTGCATTCATCGATCGCTGCTGGAGGACTTCCTGCTCTCCTCCGGCGTCCGCTTTTGTGGGCTCGGTCGGGTCATCTTCAGTCAGACGCGAAGACGTAGGCGCCAACTTTCGGCTCAACGCTCGCAAAACCTCCCGATCCTCATCCACTTCATCCGGAGAAAGCGGTGGTGGCTCCACATACCCCTCGGGGAATGGGAAATGGATAGTGAGCGGGTCTTCGCATGTCACTATCCTCTTGGCCCATCGGGCGGACCCTGGGCTGGTGTCAAGAGACTCAGGTGAGTTGTATTGGAGTTGCCTCTTTTCGTAAAAAGTGAGGGGAAACTTGCGGGGGACAGCGAAAGGTTTCTCCCGGTCGGATGGCTCCTGAGCTTTGAGGGGTGGAGTCTGAGCCTTCTCCTGACCAGACTGTTGCTGAGTCTCGACGGGAGGAGTGCGAGGAACCTCCTGGCTTGATGATTGCTGAATCTCACCAGGCTGAGCAGGGCTGGAGTCCTTCTCCTGGCCGGAGACCGGCTGAGGTCTCTCTGGAACCGCAGGGATGGAAGCCTTTTGTATTTCCTGAGGTGCGTCGGAAATCGCAGTGCTGGAAACACGTTGGCTGTTTGGTGGCTGAGCCTTGTCGGGAACAATAGGAGATTGTGGTCTCTGTTGCTTGGATTGCAACGGCTCTTTGCTGGGCGTGGGAGAATGAGGCGACTCGGGCGTGCTTGAATCCGATGAAGGAATTTTGTCGACCTCGGAGGTTGTGATCCTCAATGACTTGGGTTTGATTCCAACTTGCCGCCGCCTTTCAGCAAGCCTCTGAAGACGCGACTGCCGATACTGCTCTCTGCGGACCTCGGGGTCTGGATCCAAGCCTTTGTCTGTCCAAGCTTTTGCCCACATGGAGTCGACCTTCGCCTTGACCCGCTGATCGCGTTCCTCTTGCAAGCGCTGGTCTAGCAGACCACGCTGTGTGAACTCAGCTAAAGACTCAGCCGGAGTTTCTGCTGGAGTCTCAGCTGGAGTCACTGCTCGAGTCTCAGCTGGGGTCACTGCTGGAGTCTCGACCGGGGTTGAAGCCAGGATGATCGAGTTGGAGTTCTCGGCGAGATTCCAATTGAATGATGGCTTCAAAGGCGTTTCAGGATCGGGTGGAGGACGGCGCCTGATTTGGTCCGGAGGAATGACATGAGCCGTCGCCGGGTCCCACTCTGGATCACGGTAACGCTCCCACCATCTTTGACCCTTGGGAACAGGCAAGGCGTCCTTGAATGCCTTCATGCCACGGAAGTCCTGAGCCAAATGTTTGCCGAGCTCATCGGAATCAGTAGGCGACGTCTCGGCATCATACTGCGGCGAATACTGCGGCGAGTATTCTTCATCGTCGCTTTCGTCATCAAAGGCGGCGGCGCGGCTCATGAAATGGTTGAACTTGCGACGCTGTTCGTGGATGTCGCCGAGATGAAACTGACGACGACGACCCTCAGATTGAGCGGGAACACCGTAGCTGACCGGGACATGGTGAATGGTTGTTGTGTCGTAGTCAGCAGGAACGTTGTGGATGGTTGTTGCGTCGTAGCTGGCTGGCATGTCATGGCTGCCTGCCATCATGTGGTTGTTTGACATGACGTAACTGGATGGAGCCTCGAAACTGGAGCGCAAACCGTGGCTGACGGACTCGTTGTAGCTGGCATCGTAACCGGCAGGCGTATCGTAGCCAGCTGGCATGTCGTACATGGCCTCGGTGTAGTTGGGAGATGAGTCGTAGCTGGCTGGCGCGTCGTGGCTGTGGCTGCCTAGCTCGTCGCTGGCGCTGGGCGCCTCGTAAAAGGCGAGTTCACGGCGGCGACGCTCTGCTGCAGCCTCGCGGCGGGCCAAGGTTTTCTCGAGGTACTCGCGGCGTTTCTGGCGGCCATTGGCGAGAATTTGCTGGCCCCTACTGAGGAGGGTCTGGTTGGGGGCTCTGTTGGGTGGAGGAAAATTCATGGTGTCGGGGCGAAGAAGAAGCTTGAAGAAGATTGAGCAGAAGAGTACACGCGAATCAAAGTGTGGATTGGATGATCTGGGTTGGCAGCGCTGAGAACTTTGATGGATCGTGGCTGTGGTTGGTGAAGAGAAGCAGAGTTGTGAGACGCGTCTGAGGTTGTAGCGCGTCGCGGCCTAGCCGCATTTGCGACAGGGCGCGGCCCAAGCGTCCAGCGGTAATGACTTGCATACGCAGCGGCCCGAGCCATGGCGGTCGTGCAGCTCGCCAGCGCGCGGTGTGGGGAGCCATGTTTCGCGAAGATCGGTGGCGGTGGTGTTGAGGCGAGGAGTGCAGCTGTCCGTCGATTCCTTGTACTGCAGCCACGAGGGTCGTTGTCCCCGGCCCAGCTCTCGAGGAAAGAGCCACGTCCTCCTGCCGTCGCTGCAGCCCCAGCGACCCAACTGCCTGTCGCTATCCCCGCTGATTTTCCTTTCTGCCCTTGCACTGCTCCTCTCCCTAACACCCTCCGCCTTTCTCATGCGCGATCGTTGTTGTGGCTGTGAAGTTCAGCGGGCGACCGTCCGACCGTGCAACCGTGCCACCGACCGACCCCCCCTCGCCTCGATTGCGATGAGGAACGAGACAATGAACATGCATGGCCTAGAATCTTTTCGCCGCAGGATCCCTGCAGCGCATCTGATCACCATCCACAATTCCCTACAAAGGTTTCTTCGCTCCTCGTGTCGTGGCACAGCTCATCACAACCACAGCGAAGGCGGTCGAACCAGCCCAAACCCGATCTCCTGCCGTGCATCACCATAGCCCGACCGTGCCTCTAGTCTTTGCTGTCTTGAATCAAGCTCTCCAACAAGGGTCATGAGGAACGAAGAAGATCACTGAGCGGTGGGCCTTTCATTGAAGTCATCCTCCACGGCCCTCCATAGGTTCAACAAGGCATTTGATTCATACGACCTATGCATCATTGCCCAGGTTCTCATCACAACCGGACCTTGGTAGCTGAGCATCTGCTATGGTAGCTTCTTGCTTTGCGCGCTCGCCATCTTGAACGGCGTAGAGCCCCCGTACACACTTGGATTCAAGCTCTCAAAAACTCCTTCACCACATCGCCCCACACAACCTGCCTCTTATAAAATGCCATGCGCGGCACGCTGCCTTCACTCAATCCCTCAACCGCCCGCGCCATTGCCTCCCCACTGCCCTCCTCCTTGATCTCCCGCAGCGGATACTGGTATGTCTTGAACGCAAACACCAACGTATCGTCATGGTCCCGCAGCCGATGCAGCGTCTGCCTCTCGCACCTGAGCACGCACTGATCGATGTCGACCTCCTCCCTCGTCAACGGCCTGACCTCCTCCCCTTCGTAAAGATGGTTCCCACCGAGCGAGAAGAGGTTTCTGTTTGTTGTGACGCTCCAGTTGTGCCTCTTCACCATCCTGCCAACGGGCAGTGCCGCAAAGAAGCGATCCATGCTCCTTTCGAGCTTTTGCGCATAGCCTGGCACCGGCGTGTGGATGTCGGCGAGCCGCAGGCCCAGCTTGGCCAGCGTGTCAAACCCCGAAGGTGAGCAGTTGGCGAAGCCCTCTAGGCGGTACCTGCCCTCGTCGCTCGGATCGGGCGATGGGCGTAGGAACAGGAACTCGGTGTCAACGTGCGAACCAAGTACGCGGAGCGCGTCCGCGGTGCTGGAGGGAGGATGCAACGGGATGGACTCGTCGGTGGCCTTGTTGTGGAGGTAGGCGTGGCCTGTTCCGGGCTGGAGGGCGTGCGAGTAGACGCCAGGAAAACGCCGCGGTAGGTAGACGCCCGTCATCCACTTGTAGAACTCATCGACGGCGGGCTTAATAGTGGGGAGTGCGGCAATGACATGAGTGCCGTGATCGGCGATGAGCTGGCGCCGGAGAGCGAGACGGGTGAGGAAGGTATTGTCCATTTCAATGAATTCAGAGATGGACATGTTCTCGAGGGCTGATGGGGGTTAGCCCTCCGTTCCAGACAGCAGGCGCAATGGATGCTGCTAACCCATCGTCAAGTGGTATTTGGACTTAAACGGACGAATCTGTATGGGTTTGGTCTCCCGCCAATCAAAGTTCCTAAGCGGAGTGATTGCATAATATGCTTCCCTGTCTACTCGCTCGTTTGGCCTTCCATTTTTTGGGGTGCTGGCTGTAGTGGCTTTCTGGTGGCACATCAGCAATGTTGTGCAGTCCAGATGGGTGATCGGTCCCTATACCCGTGCTTTCCGAAGGTTGAGGACCAGGACTCGGTAGCTCAAAGCGACAGCAACAGCAACAAAAATCGCGGACAGGAAAATTCGCGAGAATTCAAGGGAAAACATTGTCACAGCTGGCCCCAGGGGCTGGACAATGCTATGGGCAAAGCTTTCGGAGTGTGGGAAAGCACAGGTGTAGGGTCTAAATGCTACCACCGAATGCTCGATAAGCTTTAACGATCGGCTGGTCCATAGAGAGCCGAAGGCTGCGATGCGACGGCGTGCGGAGTCACCACCCGGTCCGGATCCAGTTACCCGTTAAGGCTAGCCGCAGTTGCCGGGAGCCGAAGCTCCAGGAAGAAGAATGGAAGTCTTGGCTGACGCTGTTAAACACAGCAAAGCTGCCTGTCAAGCCTGTCAACATCTGTCTCTCTGCAATTTCGTACCCTACTACATGGGCCCTGTGTTATACAGCTTTAGAACTCGCGACTAAATTGGGATGGCTGCTTCGATCGCCTGCGTGGAAACAATGCAGCGTCTTCGCAGGACGTTGGCTCAAATATTTTACAGACTGCTGTGATGATCAGCCTCTGGTGGTAAACAGTAATATCGCTGCAGGAGGAACATGTTGAAACCTTGCACGAGTCCACTTTGGAGGAGAGCCGACCGGTGCGTTTTCTTTGGAGAAGCTCAAGAGTTGATTGGTGAGTCAACGGTGGGCGGGCTTATGTTGAGGCTCGGAGAATCGTTGGGGTGCAGGGGAGAATACCTCGAATAACCTCACCGAGGTGAGTCAAGGCGTCGACCAGGAAATGCAGACAACGAAGCTGCGAGACACGCAAGCAGATGATCAATGTCTTGCCAGGTGTGTAAAGCTGAGCAGGCAGCAACCGTTATAACTCTGTGATATGATCCAGACCCACCGCCGTGACCACGAAGGTATCGCGCCAATTCCAAAGAAACTGAAGAATGACTTCTGCGCAAGTGCGCAGAGATCTCTATCCTGCGGGTATCCTCGTTGCCTTCTCCTGGCATGCCGCATCCCATGCCAGATTATCTGCGACGGTGCAGTCAACTGTCCTCCTTCGCAGTCCTACGCAACTGGACTGGGGCCTCCGAGTCGGCAGCTCGCGATGTTCCTGAGGTATGCGCGTCTACCTCGTCGCCGGAATGTGTCATTGGGCTGAATTGGCGACGCTGGCCATCGGGGCGCTCGGTCAGGCTTGGAGCACGCGGGCGGCGTTTCCCCATCGCACGCCCTCCGAATACAGGCAGCTCGTAGGCGAGGGTGCGGGAGCAGTACAGGACGAGGTCGTAGATGATCAGGACAGCCCAGGGGCCGATGGTCACAAGACCGAAGAAAATCTGCGAGCAATGTTCAGCGGGCTGGCGCAGCGGGGACGAGGGCGAGACAGGCAGGCCTACAAAAAGACGCGCGACCCAGGTTTCGAAGGAGCTAAGATGATCTGGAAGGATGGAAAACCAGGCCATTTTGCGCCAGGCGTCAGACCGGTGGGAGCGGCGGGAGACGAAGCAGAGGCGGGCGTTTGCCCTTTTTATCGAGGACGGGCGCCGGGGGAAATGATGGGATGCAACGAGAGTGGTGAGATGTGCATAGCTCCCGGATGCCGCGGCGGAGCCTGGGCCACAGCCCGTGCTGCCTGCCCTTCCAGTGCCGATGACGTCTGAGCGTCAACACCGGCCGCCGACTACACTGCGCAAACGGCTGCTATCGTGGGCTTGCGCGGGAAACGGCCTGCGCCCTAAAGCAACGTGCGCGGATGCGGCCCGCACTGCTACTGCGCCGCTGGTGACCGCTCTTACGGCGGTGCACCGCAGGCCCCCGCGCAAGGCTGCGGTTTGCGGCCAATGACACGCCTTGAATGAAGCTGTGAGCCACAGCTTCCAGCGGCGCTGCCGGGAGCTGGCTGAACCGCGTCTAAGCTGGCGGTGCCAGGCGGTGCAGTCAGGCTGCCGCCTGAAGCTTGCGGGGAGGGGCTCGCAGCTGCGCGACCTTGGACCTGGACCTTAACCTGCACCAGCTGTCCTGCCTGAGATCGTGTCCACTACCCGACTGCGAGTTGCCCTCACCTGCGCAAGAACCTCAAGCACCGCACACCAAGACATGCAAAAGCCGCCCTCCGTCCCTTCAACCTAGCCTCCGTCCTCCAAGCGTCCACACCAACGCTCAGTAGCCTCGTCCGCGTCAGGCTTGCCCACGTCGACGCTGCAGATCGTGCCGCCGCTTCGTACCACTGCCGCCCATCGCGCCGCACTTTCGAAATGGACGACACCAGTTTCCTCCAAGACTGGGCTCCCGGAAATGTCACCTTCACGTTCGAAGACTTCGGCGGCGAGCAGACCAGCGTTGCGGGCCTCGATCGAGACATCCTCAGCCAGCGCTCCACTCTCCTTGGCATGGCACCCGAGGACGATGCCACTGGAAGGGCCTCACTCACTCTGAGCGTTCCATCCCACGCGGCCGGCGTTGCGCTCGTCCGTTACCTCTACCTTGGCAACTATACCATTGAGCACATCGACGACGCCGGCGATCCTCAATTCCTCGTCCATGCCCATGTCCTCCACCTCGCCGACGCCACTAGCTGCCCAGAACTTGCCAATATCGCAATGGGCCATCTGAACTACAACGTTGCACTGGCAATCAGCTTCCCCACCTCACCTCCGGATCTGGTGCAGACTCTCATCTTCATGTACACTCACCTCACCCACATTCCGGAGGCTCTCAGCACGATGCTGAACTACTGCGTTGCTGCCTTCACTACACACAAGCTGGGTGAGGATGGCGATTTCAAGCACCTGGCGGGGACCCACGAACACCTTCTCTCCGACCTGTCTCAGGTCAACGCCGAGCGCGGCTTCGGTAAGTACCCGCCAACCCAGCTTCAAACAGCGGCCATATGACCTAACCAAAGCCCAGAAAACCTCGATATCCCGAAGATGGTCGGCCCAACGCGCCCTAAAATTGTAGACGCGGATATTGCGAACCTATTCGCTGGTCATGCTGTTGACCTGGACCTGGTTCGATCGCGCCGAAACTCGCCCTCTTTCATTGACCAGATCCCAGAGGGCGTGATGGAGATCCGAGACCTGCCCATCCGCGTCAGAGAGGAACCGGAGGATGCTGACCCGGCCAGCCCGGCCAGCCCGGTCACCGAGGACGAGTTCGTTCTCGTTGACATGCCTACGGCTGAAAGGCCTGAGATTGACGAGTCCGACTCGGAGTGGTCCGTTATCTAGGTGCCGGCGACCTCAGCATCAAAGCATTTACATGGCGTGTCTTAGGCGTGATATGGGTGGAAATACCCTGTGTAAAAAAAGGAGTTTTGGTGTGGGCCTTTTCTAGCAGTACTGTATGGAGACAACTTGCCTGTCAGTCGATCAGCGAGCAAAAATACAATTACCCAAGTTTCTCATTCTTCGCGGAGAGCTGCAGTTTGTTTCTGGCCGACGCTGTGCGGTATTCAGATGCGATACTGGCGGCCGCACACGTGCTTGGGCTTCGTGTTACGGTGAGATAAAAGAGCGGACGAGGACGAATCTACGAGGAGGGAGGGGACTCAACCCATGACTCTGCACGGGATGTGCAAGGTCAGGGGTTTTAGACAATCGAGGCAGCACTCATTCGCGTAACGCCGTTACGTGCGGAGCGGGCCCTGGTGAGGGCTGGAGCGCGTGCGGGCTATCACCAGTGACGGAAGCGGAGTTGAGCCTTTTGTGCGGAGCGGTCGTATCAAAGTTTGGGCCGCTTAGGCGCCTCTGCCGCTGTGGCTGCACGGACGAACCTTGGAAAAGGCGCTCCGCACAAATCTCTCACACAAAGAAGCAGCGTCCGCACAATTATCTCATCATCATCATCGGCAAGAAGGCGTTTCATCGAGCGGCGAACCCGGCTGCACGGAGCAAGTCACTGGCCCGGTTCCAGAGGCCCCGGACTCCTGGAGATGCTGGGAAGCGTCAGGGGTGTGCATCTGAGCCATTCCGCGAATACCACGCAGCATCGTTCCAAGCCTTGCTCTCGGACATAATGCTCGGCACGGGGTCCTGCTTCCTCGGACACGCTGAGGACGCAGGCAGGCGGGTGGCAAACACGGACGGTGGCTAAGACTGAGGGCGCATTGCATTGCAGACGCGTCGTGGGCCTAGCTGCCGATACAGGCGGCGTGGACTCGCTGCTCAAACCTGCTCAACGAACCCATGCACGCTATCGGCGTATACTCTGTCACAAGAACGTGCTCAGATGCACGCGGCGGTTCTCAAGCAAGAGGGTGCTGAAGACGGCGGCAGTGCCGTGTTTGCGCGTGCGGCGGTGGGTAGGCTGGTGATGGGGCAGGAAAGACCGAAGGCCCGATGCGAATCGGCGCGGGGCGGAGCAATCATGACGCTGGTTGCACTTGCCAGGACCGGACGGGGTCCAGCCTCGCTAGCAGCATCATCAGGCCGTGTGGCCCGGCCCTGCAGCCGCCGAGCTCGTGCGGGCAAGAGCGACGGGCCAACGTCCGCCTGAGCTTTGGCCGAAGCCCACGCAGCTGCCCTGTGCCAAGTGTTGCGGTCTGCTGATAAAGCCCCGCCCTGCGCGGCGTCCTTCTACTTAAACCCCACCATCCTCCAACTCTGCTGCGACAACGATCCACTCAGCGTCCGACAGCAAACCCCTTCACAGTTACACCACATACCACCACTCTAACAACCAACCCTCCACTCATCCACCATGTCTGACCACGGTTGCTCCTGCGGCTCCAGCTGCCAGTGCGGTACCAACTGCACCTGCGGCGTAAGTGCCCTCTCACAACAACGCTTCCCTGCAGAGCCCCACCAAGCTGACTCCACCTGCAGAAATAAACTGCCTGCCCGCCTCACACGCCACATGCTCTCCCAGACTGAAGCATAGAGTCCCTGCCGACGACGGTCTCGCGGCTGTCATGATTTTTTTGCTTTCCATCACCGAGTCACTTCTGCTGTAACAAGGTCGAAGCCTCCTCATCTTGGCCCGGTATTCTCGACTCTCGTTCGGCACGCTTCCCATCGGCTACTTGGAATGGGCAGCAGGCCAAGCGGAAAGAAGGAGTATGACAAGTGGATATCCCTCGGGGAACAGCAGGCTGGAGTTGTGAATTATGGAATGACGGGTGACCTCCGGGGTATCAATAATGGAAAAATGACTTGATGATCTTGGCTGTCTTTTTCGCCTACGTGACTTGCATATTGACCTGATAATCGGGGGCTGCTGGGTGCTTGTGCCCTTGAACATGCGTGAGAGATATTTGAAGGATTCCAGAAGACGACTGCGAAACAACTTGGACTGTACGCACGTTACTTGCAAGCGGGCATTTTCCCCGCTAGTGCATCGTCTACAGTCAGATGTCATGCATCTCGGCTTGAGGTCATGCGGGATGAAGCGTAGACCCACTATGACGTTGGTACCGAAGAACGATGTGCTGGAGCTAATGGACCTGCAGCGTTCATCACACACGGCTGAAGATCGTGGCAGAAAGGGGGGAAAGGATCGTTACTGAGTGTCAGGAGAAACAAGGCAACTTGCACAGGGTGGTCATGTTCCGGCCAAGGATTCATATTGATGTACGAATAAAGGAAAAAGAGTGGTGTATTCGTTGGACTAGTAGCTCCATAACCGCCGAACCTCCCCGGTCCACGTCCAACAATCCTAGGGCACGGTTTGGCCCTCATGACGAAGATGAAGAATAATGTTCTAGAGAAGCGGAACAGTGCACCGGCCAATCCGACCAAGCAGATGAGGTGAATCGGGAGCCCGATGATGAGGGAGCGTTCTCGTTGCTGTCACTCCCCATGCGGACGGTAGAGGTATTCGAGCAGGCGTAGTGGGCCGTCGGTGGCAGTTTAGTGCTATCAGCGGCAAGTAGGAGAGCATGCGTCAGCAAAAAAGGTTGAACGGTAGGCACTCGCGTGAGAACTTACGCCACAGGAGCTGCAGGAGCAGCCGTTGCACTGGCCGTTGGCGCAGTTGCAGGTGTTACAGGTGCTGGGAGAACGATACTCATGTCAGCCCTCCATTTCCTAGCCTAGGACAAGCTCATCGAGGGAGGTTGAAGGGGGGGGGAGGAAGGGACGCAAAAGGTGACAATGAAGAGTCCGAAGCTTGAAAAGGCAGTGAAGTCAAGGTAGAGGTACAGCGGGAGGCAGGAGCAAGTACCAGGGAGACATTTTGGCAAAGGGGTTATGTTTCGAAAAACGGGTGGTTGCTTTGATGAAAGTTTTATGGAAGTGATTGATTGAGCTGATGATGGAATGAAGAAAAGAGACTTCAAGGTGCCTCGCGGAGTCTTTATATATCCAACTCCTCCCACCCCGTCTTGCGCGCCCTGTCTTGGCTCGCATGGATATTCCTGACTGAAACCGTCCCGCCGATTACCCACTTCTAGTAACTCGAGCCAGCAACACGATGCATATGGCGGCACGAGACTAGTGCGGGGCTACAGCGGGCATGCTCCTCAACGTGGCGCTTCACGCGGATAGGCCTAGCGATAGTGAGGCTGGGCTCGGGAGGCATGCGGCCAGCATTGGGTCGCTGTCTGTCGCCGGACGGCGACCTCTTGGACAAGAGTGTGGCGTCGTCAGGGATAGTAGTCATTCGATTTAGAACCATCCGGACGGATGCTAGTGGATCACTGCCATGCGAAAGGTGCGGGGACTTGCAGTGGGCTGGTGCAGTGGTGGGGGCGCGCAGCGTTGCGCATCTTTATGGAGCAATTGGCCGGATCCGACATGGGGGACGAGTCGAGCTGGACAGGGAAGCGGCGTGGGCGACAGGGTCTGATGCTCGCCGATGGAAGCTATCGGTGGCTGCATGACCGCGTCCGCATCGGGCAAAAGCGTCAAAGTGGTGGTGCAAAGACGGAGCGTGATTGGCTGTTGCACCTCGTGCGTCACATGGCTGCCTTACCTTGAGTCGACAGCTGCCGGTAGCCGCGATGCTCGTGACTGAGCGAATAGTGCGGCACGGCAATCTGCGTCGTGTTTCGTCACTGCTTGTTGCTAATGAGCCAGGCAAAGCCTGACTATCCGCGACCCGAGCGGCATTTGTGCGGCTCCGAGGCCCATCTGTGGCCATGGTCGACCGGCCCAGCTGGAGCTTCCGGTGACATCAAGGGCCGGGAGCAATAAATGAGGCTTGTGTATTTGCGTAAGCATCAGCTAGTCTGTTATGTACCGGCGTCGTCTGCGACGCGTGGGATGTCGTTCAGAGACCAATAATGGAGAAGCCCACCAAGATAGGCGCCTCGTGACGACAAGTAAGCCAGTGACTTGGCTCAGCGCGCCTTTTGCGCTCCGCCAATCGAATTAATCGGACACATACTGTTGACCTCGCCGACAAAAGCAAACATGCCAAACCCATGCAACGGCGGCCGCCGCTATGTTAACCATTACCAGAACCCGTAAGATAGTGAAGACTGGCCCCGTGAGCCTGTCCATTGTCGTCCGAGAGCTATTATCGGAACCTGTTTCCTACTGCGGCTTGAGGGGAAAGCAATGGACCCGCTGGTACCCATGGTAGAATGACCGGGGTGGGCCCACCGTACATCCTGTGATGAAGCAGCGACGGAACGTGCGAAGATTACCCCAGGTCCATTCGCGCCTCATCTCCCAAGCCCCATTCGCTCTCTCGGGTTGCATGGTATCGGAGCGGCGTATGGACGTCTTCCTCATCGTTCTGGATATCCACATCAGTATCATCGACGCTTCCGGTCGCGATGCTCTTCTCGCTAGCTGCCCTGCTCGGTCGCCGCCCAAACCACCGTCTCTTGCGCATTTTGCCATCGCTTCCAGTTTCATCCCGGGTTGACATGGAATATTCCGACGGAGTCTCTTCGGGCCTTGCTGTATCTGCTTCGGAGAAGGTGGGCTCTTCGCTCACCGGTGGCATGGGCGTAGGGGAGGGTGTGATGTCCGTCGAAGGAGTGATCTCCACGAGCTCGGCATCACGGCACCATTTGCGCCGTCTAGTATACCGTCCCCAGCCATCTTGCCCGCGTCGACCATCTCGCCACTGATGAACTGTCAGTTGCGCACAAAAGGGAGCGAGTCTGTCGTACCTTGTTGTCATAATAGATCCAACCCCGGTTGTCTTCCTCATCACTTTCTGCGCATTCAACTCTCCACTCGCTCCCCTCAACCCACCGCCATCTTGCATTTCCACCGTCAACTTCCGGGAGGTCAAAATGCTCCTTGTCTGGTGCGGGGTTCAAATGTTCGTCTGTCCAAGGTGTTCGTTCGTAAGCAAGCAACGAGGACGTCCATCCGATCCCTAGCCATCGGCGCTGGTTCTCGAACAGTGCGAATGTGAAGCGAACGCCCGGCGAGACTGCCCTGTGCTTAGCCGCCAACGACGCTGCGATGGTATTTGCATCTTTCCTCCGCGGCGGGAGGGGCGGGGGCCTCCCTCTGTCGGAGCCAGGTGCGGCAGATTCAGGGTCACCAACATCTAGCCCTGTGATGAGGGCCAAGGAACGGCGGACGAGCCTGGAGCGCCAGAGGACGATACGGGTCACCCGTGCGGGCCGCGAATGCCAGCTCAGAATTATCGTCCCAAAGGCAAGGACAATGCGCCTGGTCGTCAGCACGCGCAGAGGCGGAAGGGTAAAGGCCAGCCAGAATGGTGTTAGGAACAGAATGCGGATGAACAGGGTGGTCAGCGCGGGTCTGGTCGTAGCTGAGGTCGCGGTGCGCTGGGTGGATAGGAAATCCGTCAGACGGATGAAGGGGTCCAGCAGAATGTTGCACCTTGAGGTGAACAGCTTCAAAGTATCCACAATGTCCTCGAGACTCTTCTGGTGGCTCTCGCTGGCGACAGACGCACCCCTCTTGTGTCCCTTGGACTTTTCGCCAGTCCAGCCAGTGGAGGAGAGCGGCGAGTACCTACGCGTGTACATGCCAAGTATGATAGCTGCCACGGCGACGATGGGGCCGGCGAGCCTAATGACGGTGCCGCCGTACAGCGTCATGGCCCAGAAGGCTGCGATGAAGAGGAAGCTCTCCCACGGGTCGCCGGTGGTCCATGACAGCAGGCCGACGAGCTTGTTGAGCGGCAGCAAGAAGGGATGCGAGTAGGCGAGGGCACGGGTGACCTGCGGCGGGGTGGCAGCGAGCAACGGCGACTTCTGGTGGACGAGGATGGTGGAGCGCTGCTTGGTGGTGGCGGGTAGGTGGCCTAGGGTGCTGGGTGAGAAGGCGGCATACGTCGGCGGATTGGGGTCTGCGGCGCCCGGCGACGCAGACTTTGACGGGTTGGGGGCAGGGGACATCTGAGAGACCCAGGGTGTATCTGTATGCAGCATTAGGACGCAGCACCATCAAGGTATTCAAAGTCGCGGGCTTGCCAAGTGCGGCCATGCGCAGTGATCACGGCGGCATTCCGCCGAGGCAGGCGAGTGTTTGGTTCCGGGAAGGGCGGCAGCGGGCGGGTGGGCGCTGGCGACAGGACAGCTTGCGCGGGCGGGCTCTGAGGTCCTGCTGGCCGACGCTCTGGGCTGCAAAGCTCACGAGGACCGTGATGCGATATATGCCTTGGGGAACTTCGGCTTTCAACGCGGTCGGCACATGTGATCGAGGCCGTTCGGCCACTAGGTGGCAGGCTGCGGCTGCTGCTGGGCGGCGGTGCAGCGACAAGGACGCTACAGGCCCGGCTTGGACACGAGGCGGCCGCCGCAGTGCTCAGGCAGGCGCTGCGCTCGATGGTGAGCACCACGAGAGCCATCGACATGCGCACCGCTTGCCGCATCTGTGACGCTGTCTTCCCCGGAAGCGGTGCTGGGGGCGATCATAACGTAAGCTGGGCGCGGGCGCGCGGGCTCGGCGCCTGGGACGCTTTTCGCCGGCTGGCCTGTCATGTTTGGCCTCCGGGAAATTTTGGGATCCTCAACGCCCTCCATCCGATCCCGCGCTCCTCGACGGCAATCGCCTTTCCAGTCTTTGTTCGCTCGTCAGAATGGTACGGCTGCGCTTGAACCCTTCATCGCCGCCCTTTGTGCGCCCTCATGCTGATCCCGCCAGGCGCATCGCATCATCACCCAGGTCGTCGTCACTGGCTCCCGCGTCTTCGGCCGCGCCTTCGCCGAGGCTTGGAGACAGGCCGCCGCATCCCAGAAGTATGCTCAGGCCAGCGGGAACAACGGAAACGCAAAAACGTTCGCCTCCGCCGGCCTGACCCTCGACGAAGCCTGCAAGATTCTCAATGTCCCGCCGCCCAAGGGTGGAAAGACCGACATGGAGAATGTTCTGGACCGATTCAAGAAGCTGTTCGACCTGAACGACCCCAAGCGGGGCGGCAGCTTCTACCTCCAAAGCAAGATCCTGCGCGCTCGCGAACGGATAGAAATGGAAGCGCGGACGGCTGAGCAGGCCGCGGAGCGAGAGGCGGAGCTGAAAGAAGGTTGGAATCCCAAGCTCTACAAGGACAAATAGCCAGAACACGGCGCTTACCGGATGGACGCTTTGTAGCCCGGTAACACGATTGCGCCAGCCTTATGGCATGCCGCGCTTGGTGGTCCAAGCAACCTAGACTCCAGCATCGGCGCATTACATGGGAGCATTGTCCGGGTCTATTGCATCAGCACGGAGTTTTGGAGTTGCGGTTTGTACAACAATCTACAGCGGTGGAGAAGAAGAAGATTTGGGTATGGGAACGAGACCCGGGTGGACGTTAGAGGATTCGGCTACTCCACTCGATTGTATATCTATCGCCACTTCTCGGCGGTGCGACTCGTTAGAAGAGAGCGGGAAGAATTGAGGGATTGGAGCGTTCCAAAATACCCTCGGCAGGATGAGCACCTACTGCCAAATTGCAAAATCATGTCCACTGGTTGGGTCCCTGTGCTTTCACGTGCCAGCAACTCTTCTCAAGGGAAGCTGCAGGCTAAGGGGGATCAAGCGCCAAATTACGACGCAGTATGGCCCACGACAGCAATGCCTCTCCCCTCGAAAGCTCTGTGTATGGTTGAGAGTAGAATGTAATAGTACATACATAGGTATTGTCAGGCACAGCTGCGATTCTGTAAATTACGCAAAAGCCATTGGTCCGGGAACACTGGTAGAAAGCAATGCTCTACAGCGTGCTTGCTACCAATTACGGTCGTGATACCCTCTGAACCCAGCTGGCTGCAGGCCCCTGCTGGACCCTGTCGCCGGCCGCAGGCGCAGCCCTGAAGAAAGGTGACGTAAGCGAGGAAGATCTGCGGGCGGACGCGACCTCCGAACATATTTTCGAATCGCGACGCCAACCCGCCCCCTTCACCTCACTTCACCTCCCGCAACGGTCCGCACCGTCGCTGACTCCACTGACTCTCTGAGCAGCCGCTCTCGAGCCTGCTGAGCCTCCTACGCGCGACGTTTGCCCCGACTGCAACCATGGTCGAGTCTTATCGCCCCAGTTACAGCAACCAGCGCGACTCTCGCGACAACCGTGGCGGCGGCCGCAGATCCCCACCGCGCCGCTCTCCGCCATCTGCCATGTACCAGTTCGGCGGAAGTGGTGACAGCTATCGGCCTGGAGGTCGCAACGACCGAAATGACCGCGGCGACCGCAACGACTACGATGCTCATCGCAATGGAGATCATCGAAACGACTTCAACTTTCGCGCTGGAGACAGGGATCTTCATTTCCCACCCGCAGACTCGCAGCGCCCACCTCGTGAGCGTGCTAGGCGGCCCCAAGCGCGCGACACTCGCCGCCCTCGTCAAAACAACCAGTTTAGCCGCGGACCATGGCGTCCTCCCGCCCCGCACGAACGCCCCATCCTCCGTTCCAATCGCGAGAAGACTCCTGAACGACTGGACGGTATGGGTGAGGGCAAAGCTAAGTTTATATCGCTGAGTGACATCTCAGACTCGGAAGGAGAGATGGACCTTGAGTCTGATGGCGATGCATCCGCCGACGCGGATCGTCCGCCAGCGAAGAGAGCCAAGCCTACCACACAAGAAAACGCTGATGATGGCGATGAACGCCCTCGCTGGTCCAACCCGGACCCGTACACTGCTCTTCCGCCTCCAGATGAGACTCACACGAAAAGACGCGATTTCGTGAAGTTGATTCGTAAGGCCAAAGTCGCTGCCGAAGACGAGGGTTCCAGCGGCAACCCTGTCGCTAAGAATGATGATTTCATCTCGTTGAACTTCGATGATGATGAAGATCAGCAAGAAAGTGACCATGACGACGGCGATGCTCACCGTCGGCCTGGTGGCAATTCGTTCAGTCATCTCGACCATCTCCACCCCGATCGTAAGAGTGCTCCATCAGACGGACCTACGAAGCCTGTTTTGAACGCAGCTTCTTTGGGCCCGCCTCCAGGTCTTGCCAGCCTACCTCCTAGACCTCTCGCCAACAACAGCCTTGATACGTGGCCACCCCCTCCACCACCACAAGCTCCCACCGGGCCCAAAGCTTTGAAGCGTGGCCACCAAGCCGATGATGACGATGAATTGGAGAGCCTTCCTCCGCCCAAAGGCAAGAAGCGTAAGCGCGAGGCCCTCGACGGCGGTATCATCGACGACTGGCGTCCTCGCCCCGGTAGTTCGCCCACACCGTGGTGCCAGGAAGACCACTCGAGCTCCGAGAACATGGGCTTCTGGTTGCATAAGGAGATTGCGGACTTCTATGATTTCGTCAAGCCTCATCCGTTCGAGGACTCCATTCGGCATGGTTTGGTCAGGCGCATCGAGCGCACCCTGACGCGGCAGAAGGCCTTTGCAGGTTCTACAGTGGAATGCTTCGGTTCATTTGCTGCCGGCCTGTATCTTCCCACAGCAGATATGGATCTTGTTATTCTCTCGTCCCACTTTCGCAACACCGGGCAGGGAATGGTCACCAAGAAGACGCTTTACAGGGTTTCAGATATCCTGGAAAGAGAGGGCATCAGCCAACCTGGTGCCACTGAGGTAGTCGCTGGCGCAAGGGTTCCGATTATCAAGATTGTCGATCGTGTCACTGGCCTGAAGGTCGATATCTCCTTCGAGAACAGTACTGGCATTGCTGCGAACAAGACCTTCCGAGGATGGAAAAGTGCTTACCCAGCCATGCCAGTGATTGCCACACTGGTGAAGCAGTTCCTCCTTATGCGTGGCCTGAACGAAGTCTTCACCGGAGGCCTTGGAGGCTTCTCCGTCATCTGCATGGTTGTGAGTCTCCTTCAGAATTGGCCTGATTGCCAGAGCTACAATCTCGTTCCGGAGGAACATTACGGGGATGTACTTTTGAACCTCTTCGACCTGTTCGGCAACAAGTTCAACATCGCTACAACTAGGATCCGGCTCAATCCTCATCAGTTCGAAGCAAAGGTACGTCGTGGCATAGATCGTTTGACTATAAATCATCTGACCGTAGCAGGGCCCTCGCGACCTGAACGGAAAGCCCGCTAGACCAGACCGTCTCTCCATCGTCGATCCTAATACTCCAACGAACGACATCTCGTCGGGATCACACAACGTAGTTCTCGTCCAGAAATGCTTCCGCGACGCATTCGACAAACTCCAACGTCGCATGGCTGAATTGAACGCCCTCGATATTGGACAGCGTAGGAATGCTAGCATTCTGGAGGTGCTCTTCGCGGGTGACTATTCCTCGTTCGACTGGCAGCGCAAGCGCCTCAGGAAGATCTATGATTCGGACCGGTGAGCAGCCATCACCGTGATGCATGCTGTGGACTATTACTACTGAATAGATGGGAAGTCGTTTGTCCGGCGAGCCCGAAAAGGAATGTCTTGAGTGAGACAAGTCCTATGCATTCATCGCCTACAGTTGCTTTCTTATTCGGCAGCGAATCGTTGACTTGATTTTCGATGAAGCCCATCATGCTGAGTAAGTCATTCAGGATCAGTTCTTCGGGCATCGATCACTTGGCACTTGTGCCGCTCGCGCATTGATGTTTCATTTGCTGATTACATCGTTCAGATTCAGGTTGATTTGCTGAATGAATGCCGCCAGTTCCTTGAAGAGAACCTCTGCATCCTTACGGTTTGGTCACGATTCGATAAGCTCACTGTAGTGTTCGTTTCGCCCATTCGCAAAATGCTCGCCATCCGATCGGATTTGGCGGGTCACACACATCGCACATGTTTCCTGATAGTGTGGCTGATGCCCGGTATCCAGACGCATGGCTACCTGAAAGACTCTTTTATGACGGCAAACTTCTTGGCCTGTGATGCTGGTGCTGAGAAAGCAACCTGCACCAGACGCTCTGCCCGAGGGCATCTATCTTATCGCGCAGGTCATTCACAAGTCTTATCCTCGGATAGCACTCTCATGATCAGGTATCAGGCCCTAAGCCGAAGAACGATTGTTCTGTCCTACCACGGATGGACTTCTCAGGTCCTCAAGTAAACGGAGGAAAAATCGGCGATGATTGCCTTCACATGGATTGCGTTCTGCTTCGGAAGGGGTGTCTTTAATAGTGGGGTTCGGTTTCTTTTTCTATTTTCCGGGTCTCAGATGGTCTTCTTCTCTTCTAGCTCTCTATATTGCTCTCTCAAAAGCAGCGCCTGCCACAGGCTTTTCCGTCTTCTTTCTACTCACCGCATCGGCCAGGCTTCTTCTCGACAGCCGCAAGCGAATGCCCGGTCTCGGACGCAGTTCCCCAGCACTCCCATCGCACCTTGACTCGCCGGTAAACCACACAGCTTTAGTATTCATTACTTACGGTGCCATCAGCAGATCACTCGTGGGCGGGCCAAGCCCTCCACCTGGCCATCTGGCTCCTTCCCCTTCCAGGCCGCCCCACCCCCCCTGAGTCTCCTAACACAATACCGATATCGCCTATAACCACCTATTATCAGCAGGAAGAAACATAAACAATAACAACAACAACAACAACAACATAACCAGCAATGCCAAAGAATAAAAGAAAGAAGAATTAAAAAACCGCGACCGCCCTCGCCTGCGCTTTGATCTCCGATCTCTTTTCTCCCTTCCTTCATGGGGAGGGTGGGGGGGGGGCGGAGGCGAGGGCGCGAGCAAACATGCCCATTTTCTCGTCATCGCACTCGCTGTACGCGGGTCTATGAGGAGGGGAAGGAGTCGAGCCGCAGCCGAATATGGGTAAAGCTTTTCATGTATGTCATGCGGATACACGCTAGCCTCGCACTGCACACACACACACACACACACACACACACAGAGCCGTCTATAGTCTGTGCTGCGTATGCGGAGGCGAGTAAACAGTGTCACGTAGAGATTCGAGCTCAAGTATGAAGCGTGCATTCTATGGTTACGTGGAGGCAATGTGGGTGACGGAAGAGATTAACCCGCCAGCATGTATCTCACGTGGGAGGTAGAGTCCCATATCCGCTGCACTTGTACAGTATTAATACTCGTATCTATATCCGGATGTCTTCTTCCAATACCCACACAAAGGATCACCGTAGATCAATTTCTTTCGTCACCGATTGTGGAGGAAAGCCGTCAAGATTAACCCGAAGAAGCCAAATCTGGTAAATGAATTACCCACCCACTCTCCCATTCCTTTTTCGTTATCGTGAAGCCATACGTTCTGTTTTGTTAACCCTCCATCCTTGATTCATCAGTCCGTCTGTACCCGGCGTCATCACCGTCGATCCGTCCACCCCTCCACCCGTGATTCATAACCCACGTACCAGCCTTGGTGGCGATTGAAATAGCTTGAACAAGCCATACAGCGCAGTGAACTTATGCAGGTTGACAAGTAAAAAAGAGTCTACTGCTCTTTCTTGCTCTCTGCCCCAGCCGTTCTCTCGATCAGAGATTTACCCACAATGATCGTTTCCTTCCAGCCACTTTGCCTCTTCCAAAACTTATCCTCCAGCCTGCTTCCGGCTTGGCTCTCCCTTCTCGCCTCCTCCTCAAGTGCGTCGATTCCGACCTCGGCCGCCTGCTCTTGAAGCTTCGGCAGCTTCTCGATTTCCTTAAGAGACTCGGCCATGTAGCGACGACGGATGAGGTAACGCTCGCGACGCTCCTTCTGGCGGCCGGGGGAGTCCATCTTAGTGATGGCGACACGGATGGCCCAGCGGACAGCGAGGAAGATGTGTTCGCAGAAGAAGATGGAGAGCAGCAGAGCCCAGCCTTTGATGTCGCCGGGTGTGCCGTCCGGACCGAGACCGTCATTCCAGAACATGTAAACGAGGGCGGAGGTTGTGATGCTACCAAACCATGTCAGGAAGCTCAGGCTGTCGAGCCAGGGACCAATGGTGTCAGCACGCCAAGGCGTGGGGCGTTGCATCTCGACGCAAATCTTGATTGCATCGGCGCGCAGCTCAACCCAGTCATTGATCAAGAATGACACAGCGGTGAGAGGCCAAACGACGCTGAAGAGAGAGAGGTAGCCAAACTGTAGGACCATCTCACGGAGATCCTGGGTCACATCGTACACATCGAGCTCGGCCTCCTTGCGGACACGGTCGAGGAAAGCAGCCTCCTCCGGCGGGTCGTTCGCGGCAACATTTGGCACCGTACCGCCGTTCTTGGCGGCCCTTTCGCTTTGGATTTTCTTGTATTTCGCGAAACCACGACGCTTCAGGTAAGGGACGATAACCTCCATGCCAAGGTTGACGACCTGCGCGGTTACGGTAAAATAGATCACCTGCTTCCTCAATCTGTCGGGATTGATAGACCAGGTGGAGGATCGCTGTAGCTGCTTTTCGTCTTCAGCGAAGGGCTTGACCGTGAGGCTGAAAACGTCCAGGTATGGGACAATGTGTTGGCCAAAAGGAACGTAGATGAAGGCGGTAAGAATAATAGGCAGGTAGGAGACGATGAAATTCAACACGAAAATCTTCTGCGTCATGGCCGTCTCATGGGAACCGTGCGTGTCGTAGTTCTCATAGTCGGTCAGTTGCTTGGCAAAATTCGTCAAGACTCCCAAAAGAATGGGCATGCAGGTAGTCAGAATGCCGGTGGGCAAGAAGACCTGGAAATCATCAGTATTCACATTCAGCGAACCGTGTCATAAAGCTTACCAAGATGGTCTTCAGCGGGCCATTGTAGATCTCGGAAATAAAGATTTCGATTCCGAAGCACGTGGCAATCAAACTGCCCAGGATGAGTGCAGCGGCCAATGCAAAGGGAATCTGCAGCAATTGACGTTGAAAGCGCTTGGTCACTGGAAAGGCCCTGATTGTCTCGCCAGTGACGGGGTCCTGGACTTCGGTCTCGTGCCTGAAATCCCTCCGGGTGGTTTCTATGGAAGAGACGCCGCGCACTCCCCAGCGCACACCGAGGTCGTACTCTTGGTGCTTCCACCATTCGGTGAAAACGGTGCACCAGAGTGCGTTAACGAGGGCGTAGAGCGGAGAGAAGTGGCCAAGGATCAGCCAGGACGCAAAGCCGAATGCAGCGGGGAAGATCAGGAATGTGAAGTAGGACTGGGTGAAGGCAAAGTAGAAGGCGACCTGGAGCGAGTCAGTGCAACGGCGGGCAGCAGATGACAGCACGGCATACCTTTTCGCCTAGACGATTACGAATCTCGTCCAGGTCCTCGGGCTTGAGGAGGTACTGAGTGCTCCATTGCTTGATCCAGGCGTGGTTGTAAGAATGGTCGTGCAGAGCGAAGACAGATTCGACCTGCTTCCAGTCGCCCTCCTTGGGGGTGATGCCGGCGCCGCCCTCGGACTCCGGGTTTGTGATGAGCTGGTATATGATGCGCAGGCGCTCGGCTTCGGACAGGGGCTCGGCGTCGAGGGCGTGGCGGGTCTCGCGCGGGGGCTCCGACGATCGAATGCCGTGGATCCAGTCGCGGACTCTGCCATGGTGTCATCAGCGGACGGTGCACGGGTGCGGGGACAGACACACGCACCTCGAGCGGTAGACTTCGCCGTAGAGGTGCTCCTCAGAAGCAACCTTGCAGAAGACGAGCAGCGAGCTGTCCTCACCATTGCGGACCTCGGTGGCCAGGCCGACCGAGGACAGGGCAGCGATGAGCTTCTCGAACTTGGACAGGGCGGCGTCCTTGGCTGGGGGCGGGGTCAGCGGACGACGGGGCGTGGTGGACGGAGCTGGTACCGGTGGCGGCGAAGCGGAAGCTGACGACATAGTCGACATCCATGTTGGTCTTGAGCGCAGGGCTCTTGGGCCCGGGAGAGGCCATGTCTGCGTGCAGGTTGTTTGCTGGGGAGGGGTGAGCGCGAGGGAAACGGAGGAGGCGGGGAGGCAGTACGGTGCGAGAAGTGCGAGGTCATGGCCCGGAAAAGCAGGCTGCCTTCGTGTTGCTCCATGGTGACGCGCGAAGGCTGGCACGCTGGGTGCAGGAGGAAACAACGGAACGCAGCTCAGGCGAGGTGCGCTCGGCTGGCGTCTACGTCACCTCACATCCCCGCGCCCATCATCCGGGCCGGACAACACCAGAGCAAGCTTCCCCGTCGCACACCCTTCGGCCATGCCTGGCCAAGCGCCTCGAGCCCGTTAGCGTCCCCAGCCCGCCCCCGCCATGCTGCGCCGCCTGCTGTTCGGCGCCGACGAGCCCTTCGAGCCCACCAGCACCGTCGTGCTGTTTGTGCGGGCGCCGCTCAAGTGCCTCGTCTACCTGGCCTACCACTTCCTCAATGCCCTGCGCTCCGACCCGGCGCCCGCGAAGCCCGCCGTCCGTGTCGTCTGCATTTCCGACACGCACACCCAGACGCAGTCCATCCCCGATGGCGACATCCTCATCCATGCCGGCGACCTGGGCAACGCCGGCACCGTCTCGGAGCTGCAGGCCCAGATCGACTGGCTGGCCTCGCTCCCGCATCCGCACAAGGTAGTCGTTGCCGGCAATCACGACACCTACCTGGACCCGCGCTCGCGCCGCACCCTGCCCGAGCCCGACCGCAACCGCGAGCTGCTGTGGAAGGGCGTCCACTACCTGCAGCACGCCTCGTTGCTCGTGAAGATCCCCAATCCCCAGCGCGACCCCCGGAGCCGCCGTCCGCCCCCGCCCCGCACCCTCAAGATCTACGGCGCCCCCCAGATCCCCGAGTGCGGCGGCCCCGAGTTTGCTTTCCAGTATCCGCGTGGCCGTGATGCCTGGTCTGGCACCATTCCGTGGGACGTGGACATTTTGGTGACGCACACGCCGCCAAAATACCACCGTGACTTGCCGCTGCCCGACGGCATGGGGTGTGAGCATCTGACGAGGGCCGCCTGGCGTCTCCGCCACACTCTCCACGTCTTCGGCCATGTCCATGTCGGTGCCGGAAAGGAGGTCAACTGGTGGGACGACGGCCAGAAAGCATACGAGCGCGCTCTGGCAAGGCCGGTGGCGGGCCTGACCCGAGGCCTCCTGAGCATCCCGGCCTGGATTGACCTGGCCTTGGTGCTGTTCTGGGGAACGAGGGGCGTCGTCTGGGACAGGATTTGGGGCGGCGAAGAGAGGGGCACTGTGTTGGTGAACGCGGGTTTGATGAGAGGGAACTCTGGCCGTCTTGGAAACAGAGTCCAGGTGGTTGATATTTAGAGATTCCGATAGACACTGCTTTTATTTAATCCTGGGAATGTGTCGGCCGTCGTTGCCTCTTTCCATTCTGAACAAGCCCGCCGAGCTTTCTTCCGGCGACAGAATCTCTTCCTCGTCTCCCTCTCACTTTTACATCCGTGCCGACATGGTCTCTACATTGATTCATCATCATTCTTCCTAATTCATAAGCCCGAGCACCCATCAAACTGTAAGATAGGGTCGTCATAAACATTCAGAAAGCAATCCCCCTCTCAAACTGGTCCCCCTTGGGTACTTCGCACCGGCTACATCAACTATACTCTCAAACAGTCCCCCTTCGTCCAGCCACAGCATTGGTTATGCACAACCCATTCCTCGCCAGCAGCCCCTTCATCGTTCGACAGGCCTCACAGTCCTCACAGTAGCACCTCAGCCGCGTCTCCGCATGCTTGACGTCGATATCAGCCCTGCTCCTGCTGGTGTCCACACTGCCCCTCCTCTCCTTCTCCCTTTCCTTTTCCCTTTCCTTCTCCTTCACCTCTCTCACTGCCGCCAACGTCGCATACCAATCTCGTCCCAAGACCTCGTTGCCGCTGGCGCCGCCTTCGCTCTTCCGTCGACTACAACCGCCACCCTGCTCCGAACCGGACGACGATCGTGCCTTCGGCGGGATGTGTAGTCTACCCGCATCGAACGGCTCTTGCGGGGGCGACGACTTCTGCCGCTCCAAGGTCGATGATGCAGGCAACGCCTTGTCTGCTCCCCCTTCTTTTACCCCTTCGCCCTTCTCTCCACCAGAATATCGGCTACCGCTGCTTTTGCTGCTTTTGCCGCTGCTGCTGCTGCTGCTGTCGCCATTGCTGTTGCGGTCTCCGTTGCTACCCCGTCTCTCACTGCCGTCGCCGTTGCAGCTCTGGACGGCTGAGTCCTCTTCGCTCTTCGCATCGACAACGGGTGGCGAATCGGTGGCTGGAGGGGCTTCCGGGGCGCTCATCGAGGGCGGAGACTTGATCAGGGGAGGGGCGGAGGTGGAGGCAGAGGCGTCCATTTGAGCACGGGTGTGGGCGTGCATGATGCTGTGAGAACAAATGTTCTACAATTTAGCAGCGCGAAGAGGAGAGGGCGACGGAAAGAAGGTAGCATTTTCCAGGGCGAAACTATAGTAGTTCCCTTGCTCTTTTCTCAAGAAACAAAAAAAAAAGTACGGACAGCGGTGTGAACAGGCGTACCGTGTATAAGATGTCGGGTCGGCGGCGAATTGGTAATCCTTTCTCTTGGTATACGACAGCATCCTTAGTCGCTCAACTCGTTACTTCGATGGAACACGACACTTGTTTATTTAGTTGCAAATAGCAAGTTGGATCGAGTACAGAAATGGGATGTGTGGGAAGTTTTGGTTTAGAACCAACCCACCATTTTCTTCTGAAGTAAAGTCTGCCCGCCTTAAGACTCTCTTCCCCGCCATGCCCAAGGCGCCGGTCCACCCTCGTCACCGACCAGGTCCACTACCTCATCGCCTACATCACTGGTGTCTCTAATCTTCCTCATGCTCCGTCGAGGATCACTGGGCAAACATCCGCATCCAGTCACCACCAGGCTCCGTCCAATCAAGTCGATTCGCTCGGCTTTGTTTCACATGTGCGGCGTAGCACAAACACCTGCCCGGAGCCTGAAGCTTCCGCAACAGGAATGGTGAAGGAATGCAACGGCCTGGCCATGCCCTGGGACGTCTTTGTCCGGGGTCCAGCCACACTACCGCTTGCGGGAGCAGCCGCCCATGACGTCGGGCTGCGAGCAGGTGGCTGGCCGACGACGTCAAGTGTCGGTTGCAGAGGCAGGACTTGAATGAGGCCTTTCGCTTTGAGTGCCGTCCCGGAATTGCTCGCGGATGCCTTGGCCTCATTGTTGGTTGCACCCCTCTCCTTGTATGTGAGCAGTACAAGTAGGAAAGGCTCTGCGTGGCCGATGACAATACTTTCACGGGCCCTGAAGGTTACTTCTGTCATCGTACCGAGCATTCTTATTTCCATGTGGAGGCGGAGATCCGCAGGGCTGAAGCATCCGATAGCTCTCTTCGCGAGGAGATAGAATTGCGCCGCAGGAATGCTTTCTCCCGTGTCTCGCGTCGTCCTCGCAACGAGCTTCCTCTCTGGAACCCTCGCCCAAACCTTCGACTTCAGCAGCCTCCCGAAATGTGCACAGGCGCCCATCCTTGACACCATCGGCAAGAGCAAGTGCGATCCAAGCAGGCCGCAGTGTCTGTGCGGCGATGATGCCGTTATCAGTGACCTGGTTCCTCTCATTGCCCAGGCGTGTAGCGGCGAAGACATGATGAGTGCGTTTGGCCCCCGTTCATCCTGGTGAGACTATTGCTGATGAGATACACGCAGAGGCTGTGGCGTTCGGTCGCGCGCTTTGCCCAAATCTATCGACCCAGAGCGTAGTGACGATTACGGGTGAAAAAACGACCATGACGATCAATGTCGACCAGATGACCGCTGCTACCTCGACACTTGCTGCACCGACCACGCCAGCGGAGACTTCTGCGGTGGCAAAGAGCACGTCCAGCGCCGAACCCAGTAACTCGGCCTCGACTGAGCCAACATCTTCGGTAGTTGCGGGCAATGGCACCAATAGCACTAGTCCAGAACAGTTCCACGGCGACGCACCTGAGTTCGGGCCTGTGCGCTTGTGGTCGATGGTCGTTGGGATCCTTATGATTGGTATGACCTTTGCGGAGCTGTAAACCGTCAGGATCGGCTTTTATGATGCTATTTTCTAGTGGCGATACGGAGGGGGAACCTGACAAGAAGACAATAATCAAAACTGGAGCGGCGAGTTTGCAATTCTAATGCTCGACTAGAAGAAATGTATTCAGCTCACAATGGCTCTTTCTGGCACAACTCCGAAGATGCGGTATCAAGTGAAGGCTGTGACCAAACTGGAACTCATGAGAAGACGCGGCTCTCGCCGATGTCACAGACGTCGAAAACCCCCTCCTCAGCAATGCCCTTGCCTTTTAGAGCCTTCCTAAGAAGCCTTGGTGGCTCGAGGACGTCCTCTTCTGTCAGGACCCACGTGCCCCAGTGCATGCCCAACGCCCTCCTGCACTGGGTATCTGCGAAGATATTGACGCTGTCAAAGGGGTTTGCATGCATGGGCGACATGATGTATCTGGGCTCGTACGCGCCAATGGGGATTAGGCCCAGATCGAATGGTCCACGAAGCTCGCCAATCTGCTTAAATGCCGGGCAGGTGGGGAGACTCTGGTGTTGCGCGCCATAGTCATCCTCGCCCTTAGGCAACTCGGGCACAGTGCGGTAGCCAGTGTCACTGTTTGCGTTAGCGCGGTGCCAGCTTCTGCATGGCCAAGTCTTTTGCTTACCCTGCAAACCACACCTTCTTGCCACCGCTGGTGATGGACCATGACGCCCACAGAGTGTGCGCCTTGTCGAAGGGCGTTCTCGCGGCCATGTGCTGGCACGGAAGGCACTCGATCGTAGCACTGATATCCTCTGCCGACGGCTCCTGGCTCCCGGTCTCGACGACCTTTGGCTTGGCGTCCTTGACAGGCGACAGACGGATGTCTCGGCTGTGCCACCAGTCTAACTCGGTGGCATTGTGCAGGCCGGAGCTCGCAAACCATTTCTGGTTTCCCAAGGGCGCGAAGAAATGAACATTGGGGTGGAGCTCCTTGATCTTGGTGACGGTCGGGTGAGACAGGTGGTCGTAGTGGGCGTGGGATATGACGACAATGTCAATTGCAGGCAGGTCTTCGATTCTGCAAGGAGGGTCGTTGTATCTCTTGGGGCCGATCCAGCCCATTGGACCGCATCTCCCCTCCCACACCGGGTCGAAGAGAACGCGTAGGCCACCTGGAAACTCGACGTAGTAGCAGGCGTGGCCGAGCCATGTCGCTCGGAGCTCGGACGTCTCGCGAGTGGGAAGAAACTTGGGTTGGCGGATGGGAACGGTGGGGGGAGTGGTGTCTGGCTTGTTGGCTTTGCCGCTGATTTGTCTCCTGTCATGCTTGACTTAGCTAAACAGGGCTGGGTGTGTTTGCGGGGCGGGAGCTGTGTGTACCATAGTATGCCGCCGAGTATCTGAGGAACGCTGAGCTCCCGGTAGGAGTCCCAAGGATTGACAAAGCCCTTTCCACCTTTCACGTGGTGGGCGAGATCCTTGGCGTCGTCAGGAACGGCGCCAGCCCATTGAGAAGCCGAGACAACGGTAGCGTAGAGCACGGCGCTGGTTGAGGCGGAGGCCATGAGTGTTGGGGAATGGAAGGAGCGGCGTTGCGGCAGGCGCTGCCAGTTGCGACGAGAGGCACGAAGCAGCGAGCGTAGAGACCAGGTCATTTGAGCAGCAAAGGCCCGGGAAGCATGGGGATCAAGTAGACGCGGCAGAGAGTCGACGCAACCTATGAGCAGCTGCAGCGGACAATCTTTGGTCCTTCCCAGTGTTCCACCCGCGCGGGCGTGCACCGACCCCTGCTCGGTCGGCCCGTCCGGTAATCTGGGGGCCAGGCCAGACCCCCTTGGGCGGGTCTACTGAAGGCTATTGGCGCGCGGGATCGCGAATCGGAAGCACAGCAGTCGTAACAGGAGTATCGCCATCATTACGCATTGAAGGCCACCAGGGGGGCTGACTGCTCCATAGCTCGATTGGGTTAGGCGTTTCGGCGTTAACGGAAGTGCCGGACAAAGGCACGCGATGATGACTCCTTGAATACCTAGCCAGGCTCGGCATCGGGACAATAGAACGGCCGTAGGATTCAGGCAGCAGGCAATAGGTTCTCACATGTGCTAATTATTCCTACGCAGTATTGCGTTGGAGCTGGGGCGGAGCTTGGGCGGGGTTGGGGCTGGGATGGAGCTGGAGCTGGAGCTGGAGCTGGAGCTGGCCCCTGCACCTCCGCGGCCCTGTCGCGCTCCCGCATGATCGCCGTCGCGTCGCCGCACTTTGCTTGCTTTGACCGCAGCTTCACCCGCGGGCCTTCCCTTCACGACAACCCCCTGCCCCAGCTCGCTCTCCGACATAAACTCATCTCCACCCAACATGTCTGCCACGGAGGATCCCGAAGCTTGGGATGAGGCTCACCTTGTTGAAGCCCTAGCGGCGCTTGAGCAGCTCCAGGACCAGGTAGCTAAGCTTCCGAATTCTGTCTCGGCGCAGTGCTAAAACTCCAGTCAACGCAGATGGACGAGCTCCGGTCCATCGTTCCGAACCTCACTGCGCCATTTCTCGTTCCGCAAGACTCCCCTGAAGCACTCAGCCGAGACTTCAAACAAGCCGCCATTGCTGAGGCTAAACGCCTGCAGGCCTTCGAGCGCAGATGGAAAAGCGAGGAGGTTCAGGACATCTTGGCGCATGCTGCACGGAGCGGGAAGGCTGATTCCGACCTGACCAAGGGTGCGGCTGTCCCGCGCTACGGCTGGGTTGACATGGCCGAGAAGCAGCAGAAGCCTGCGAAGTCCAAGGAGAAGAAGTCGCGTGGGAAGGGCATCGATGCCGAAGACAAGACTGGCGCCTCGTCAATCGTGCCGACCGTCACCGCGTTTAAAGAGGCCCACCCAAATTTCCAGGTCGACGATGGCGAAGGCCGCATCATTACGGTATGCTCCAGAACGAGTATAGCTTGATTTTCGACTGACTTTGCCAGATCTCCTTCAGAGTTCCGTCGCTAGTGCTGACCTTCAAGATCACTTGCCACGTCGACTCTGACGACAAGGCGTCTTTCATAGTCGAGTGCCCTGGAAATGGCCCCCTCTTCTCCGCAATCACCCGCTGCATAGCGTCCAGACAGCGCCCCAACCATCTCTCGTATCTCTTGGACATGATCGCCGCATATACCAACTTGAGAGTGGCCAGGTGCTCCAAGTGTGGGAAGCTCTTGGATAACACGGCATTAAGCCCGGCCGCAAGGAGGAGTAAACAAACTGCAAATGCCGACGGAACTAAAAAGACTACCTGGGAACCCTTCCACGAAGGATGTTTATGAGCATAGTGTATCTGACCGCTTGATCACCATCCTTTTGGATCTGGCCAGCGACAATCCTGCTTCCAGCACTGGCCATCAACGTCGCGGGAATCTTTGGGGTTTTGACAGTAGCCACCGGGAGCGTTGTGCCGTTGTGCGTTGGTCCAGTTTTTCTTGCTGGGTGACACATTCTTGCGCTTGCGAGAATCGTACCTCTCGTCGGCAGTGTGTACAGTCACAGGAATTGATGGTGTGGAGCCACCGTTGGTTGAAATGGACGCGGACTGTTCATCATCCCATCGCACCTTCGATGGCGAGTCCTTATGCCAACCCTGCGTGTCGTCACTGATTGCAAGGTGGACGTCTGGTCCGCGACCTGCGAGGACATCCTTGCAGCGACCCCACCAATTTTGGCGCTTCACGTCCTTCGGCCAAACCCATGCGTACTGAGGTTTTCTGTGGACGCCACGGTTTGGCTGAATTCTTTCATTCAGATTCCCTTGTTCCGCCCGGGAAGATTTACAAAGGCTACTGACGGGTTCGTAGTGGAATTTCGGGGAAGGCATGAGGCATCCGGCGTTATTTGACCGGGCTCGAACGGCGAGAAAGTGTATAGGGTATGCGGTAGGAAAGCAGACAGATGTGTCGGGTTGAAGAGGAGAGCAAATACCTACGATTCGCTCGATATATGCTGAGAGGAGAGCAAAGGTTGGCAGAGCTTAACATCATATGGTCTTCAGTTGTGAGGGTCCACGTTGCATGCTTCAAACGGAGCATCTGATCTAGCCAAGGCAAATGATTTGAGATGTTAGTCTTGTGAAGCAACTCAGTGCGTGAAAACATGTGTCAGAGCTAGACAGCGCATCTGACAAGCTCTTAAGACGGTGTGTCGCTTAGGGCTACAGCTAAGCCAAGGCATTTAATCGTCCTAGATTTGTTTCGCAAAGGGTGTCGGTGCGATAGAAGAGGGCTGGTGCAGGTGATGGCACTGGTGGTGAGGGCGGACATGAGCTGCGGCGCTAACCGAAAGTTGCCCGGTTGAAAACAATCGCGTCCGACGCAGCTCTGCTCTCCAGCTACCGCACCCACGCGCATTCCATTGCGCTGTCCGCACCACCCACCCCAGCCCGGATCCGCCCGTCAATCCGCTCGCCATGTCGTCGCTCTTCGGATCCGGCTTCGGCCAAAACAACCAAGCCAACAAGCCCGCTGGCGGCGGCCTGTTCGGAGGAGCAGCTCCCAGCTCAGCCGGCGGGCAAACAGGCGGCGGTCTGTTTGGCGCCGCAACCCCCGCCACGTCGACCGGCCCAAGCCTCTTCGGCAATCTTGGAGCCCCAAAGACCACTGCGCCCGCGTCTGGCGGCCTGTTTGGATCCACCCTCGGCGGCCCCCAGACCCAGCAGCAGCAAACCACAACTGGCAACACGGGCGGAGGTCTACTTGGTGGCTTTGGTGGGCTCGGTGCTTCCACCGCGCAGCCCCAGTCCGGCGGTGGCTTGTTCGGGGGATTGAACGCAAACAATCAGCAGCCGGCACAGCAGCAGCAGCAGCAGCAGCAGCAGCAGCAGCAGCAGCCATACCCGCTGAGCCAAACGCAGCAGCAGCCAGGCTCGCTTTCGCAGTCCCAGGCTGCCACAGGCCAGACCGCATATTTCGACCACTTACTCGAGCGCAGCAGGAAGAGGGCGGCACAGGAGAATGGCACTTCGGCCTTTGGGGATCTGCCCAGCTTGCAGCTTGGGCTCGGCGACATCGCGAGGAAGGTCAGAAACCTTGGTCAAGGTGGCCCTTCCGCGCCGCTAGCGCGCGACAGCAAGGCGTAGGTGCTATCCACTTGATTGTACGTGTTGAGGCTAATGCTACAATACAGACACTACCTGCTCGCCGCCTCGGGTGTCAACACAAGCTCCGCTCTGAAGGATCTCAATCAATTCAGCGTCCAGGCCGGCGTAGGCACGCAGACCACAGTTCCTACCTCCGTGGACGTCGATATTGACGCTTATATCTCGAACCTCCACTCCCAATCCACTTTGGCCATGATCGCCGAGGGCCTGGAGCAGTCCAAGAAAGACTTCGATAATTTCCTAGAGGACAACATCCAAATGGAATGGGATGCGCAACGCAAGCGAATCTACGAGCACTTTGGCCTCGGTCGTCAAGTGGAGAACCTGGAGGCCAACGTGAGCGCTATCGGTGCTCCAGTGGAGCGGGGAGCTTTCGGCCGCTCGAAGCGTAAGGGTCGTGGATTTGGCGCTTCCGCCAGTGTTGCCGGAGTATCATACGGAGCTTCCGCTATGCACAAGTCCGTCATTGGCGCGCCTTCAGCAGTTGGTGGTGGACGCGCGAGTGGGTTTGCGGACAGCAACGGCCCCAGCTCTGCAACGTCCGTTCCTGAGAGTCGCTTCATGAGGGACAAGCAGGAGAAGTATGCGGCAAAGGTCAAAGAGTTGAACGTTTCGCGCCTCGAGGAAAGGCCTTACCCGGTCATGGCTGAGTTTGCTGAGATCGAGAAGTTGGCGCCCACCGACGTAAGCTCCTACAGTGCTATTCGCACCATACAGTACTGACATCTGCCACAGAACTCGAATCGTCTCATAGATGCTTACAATGCCCTGGTGGAGGTGATCGGAGAGAGGTTGCCCGACGAATCTAATAGAATTCCCCCGCCAAAGGAGCGCCAATTTGCCCAAGACTACTTGGATGAGACGCCGTCTTCTGGAAGGAGCATCGCAATGCGCAAGCGCATCTTAGATGGCAGCAGAAGTTTCCTGGAAAAGAAGTTCCTGGCCGACATCAAGGAAATGAACGCGAAGAACCCCACGGAGTCCATGGTTGGAGGCGAGCCCACCCAAATCAGCCAGATTCGCGGCTTTATCAGACTGCTCGTGGCCAGGAAAGAGCTTGCAGCAGACAGTATCGAGCTCCAGAGCGTTGGTGAGGATTTCTGCTGGGCTCTCATTTTCTACTTGCTTCGTGCAGGTCTCGCCAGGGAAGCTCTTGACTATGTTGCCGAGAACGAGCGTGCAATCAGGAGTTTGGACCGTAACTTCCCCTCGTATCTCGCGGCCTTTGTCAACAGCGATGACAGGAGACTGCCGCCAGAGCTGCAGACTCGCATCAACGCTGAGTACCAGAACCGCATGCGGCTTGCTCCTGAGAACTCTCTCGACCCCTACCGCATGGCATGCTACAAGGTTGTTGGACGTTGTGAGCTCAGCCGGACTACTCTCGAAGGAATCAGTAAGGGTATGGAAGATTGGGCGTGGCTGCAGTTCAGCCTAGCCAGGGAAGTCAATCGTGCGGAGGAGGCTGCTGGCGAGACGTTTGCTCTCGACAACATCAGGAGCACCGTTGCAGACATCACCCAGAGGCATTTCCAAGGCTCGGATGCCAATGCCCAGTACGGCGTGTGCTTTTTGTTGCACATGCTTGCGGGCATGTTCGAAGAAGGTGTCAACTTCCTCTACCAACAGAGTTACACTACCGCAGTGCACTTCGCAATTGGCCTGTCTTACTACGGCTTGTTAAGAGTCGCCGACTTCTTCACGGCTGGAACCGACATCATGTCTTTCTCGACTCGATCGAAGCCTCAGATCAACTTCTGCCGTATCATCGGCCACTACACACGGGACTTCCGTGCTGCGAAGGCTGAAGCCGCGGCGGACTACCTTGTTCTCCTTAACCTCAACGCAGACCTCGATGGCCAACTCGGGCAGTCACAAGCAGCATGTTGCCATGAAGCCCTGCGCGAGCTGGTGCTTGAGACGCGCGAGTTCGCTCTGCTTCTTGGTGACATTCGCTCGGATGGTACTCGTATCACCGGCGTGATTGAGTTCCGCCTTCGTCTCATCGGGCTGTCTGACCAAGAAGACTTCCTCAAGAACATTACCTTGCAAGCCGCTGCTGTGGCTGATGAAGCCGGTCGCACAACCGACGCTGTGCTTCTGTACCACCTGGCTGAGGACTACGACAGTGTGATCGCAATAGTCAACCGTGCTCTGTCCGACGCTCTCGCCGTCGATATTGGCCAGAAGCCGCACAGACTGGAGCCCTTGAAGCCACGCGCGGCGGCAAAACGCCTCGAAGACGAGGCTGTCAGCAGTCTTAGCCTGACGGCAGTCGACGATCCGGCGGAGCTAGCAATGAACATGAATAATCTGTACAGCGCAAATGCGCTCATGTACAACAAGGTGAAACAGCCCAACCGCACGGCCTTGACCATGTTGTTGCAGGTTTCTATTGCCAAGAGCCTTGTCGAGCAGGCCCACTGGGCCGGTGCTCTGGATGTAAGTGTCAAACCCATCATTTCCACCGTTGCCTTTTTTTGATTATGAAAGCTGACACTTTCTTCTTTCCTTCACCAGGCCATTCACGAGACGACTTTGCTCCCCACTGGAAAGCAGTCCAACATGCAGGAGATTCGCCGGCACGCGCAGACATTCAACGGCCTGCCCCCCGTCGTCGCCCGCCTGATCGGACACTTGCTCATGTGGACCATCATCTGCTGCGGCCGCCGGCGCGAGGAGCTGCGCCAGGCGAGCTTCGAGGCTACGGCCGCCAACAAGAACGTCGTCGAGCAGCTCGAGACGACGGCGAAGGACATGATGGTGTTCGCCGGCTTGGTGAGGTATAAGCTGCCGCCGAGGGTGTTTGAGGCGTTGGCGAGGGCCGGACAGGAGATCGGCGCGTAGTAGTGGGCCTGGGGATGTGGTTTGGGGATCCCTTCTTTTAGACATTTGTGGGCTGTGAAGGCAAGAAGAAGGAAGGCTATGGATAACATATCATGGTCCTTCGCTGTTATGCACGTTTGCGTAGGGACATCAACCGCAAAAACCATTGAATGATGTGAAAGAAAAATAGCATAATCTTTTTTTTCTGTTTGCACGTAATGGTTGGTAGGGGACCTTCAGTCAGTGCTCGGTGCTGGGGACTAAAGCGTCAGTGTTTCCTTGAAGCAATGCAACTCCAGTCAAGAGGTCAATACAGAAGAAACGTGTGGGCGCGTATCGGCTGTTTTGCCATGGAGACGACAATTGATACTCGGCGATTTGTATTGCTTGTTGCGGCGAGGCGAGTACATGTGTTGAGCGAGTGACCAAGCAGGCGGCTGAGTGGGGTGACAAGAAATTTGATCCATGTATGTACATCTATCCCACGGGCAGTAGAGTTCTTGATCGGGATGTATGTGTATAGTTTTAATCCTCGCATCTGCATGCGGGCATCTACTTTGGCTATTTATAAAAGAGCTCATTTAGACCCACATCGGCGTCGGCATACTTTGTTCAACAGCCTGCACAAAAGATCGGTCAGTTTCTTTCGTCATCCATCAAACATCTGCTGGCCTTTACGCTAGAGATAGCACAAAATACTTTGGGACGTTGATGAGCAACATGGCGCAGCATTCCGGTTCTTCCTGCTGCCATCAAGGGTAGACTGAGTGGATGGATGAATGATTGCGTAATTGACACGTTAACGAATCCACCGGGATGTTGGTGTACAACGAAGATGGTGGGGCACCGGCCTGTTGGCCGTGCCAGCCCCCATCTATAAATGGAAACGGCTATTGGTGTTTGCCGCATCGGAATGCCTCATTGAGGCAATCCTCGGGCATGGCCCCCAATCCACGCCGCGCAACACTCCTGGGTCACTTCAACCCTTTACTTGCGTTTTTGGATTATGCCCAACCCCTGGTCTTCAATGTAGGGCTGGTGCCGCAACAAGGCGTAAGAACTCACACGCGCAGACACTGGTAACTGACATGCATGGCCATGTTCACTGCCCCTGATCACCACCAACTCGCCCCGGAAACGAGCAAGCACAGCTCACCGGAAACACACAAACACATCTACACGTGTGCCCTTCTGCACCCTACGCGTGCGCGGCTAGCCTATCGTCGGCTCTGGCGCAAGACAAGCTTGGGCCGTTCCCGCATGCACAACATAAATGCTTGACCGGTTGCTGGCTTGCTGCTGCACGTACCGCTGGAGGGGAGATCAAGCTGGGGGAAGCATCTACCGCCTCCTGCTCCGGCGGCTCGATCCCTCCCGCAATCGCGCCTGTGCCCCCTTCAGGCCCCGATGATGTTTGTGTGTACAGCCCCATGCCATCCTCGCCGACGATCTCAGCGATTCGTCTTGATCACGGCAGGGATACCCCGTTTCCTAGTGCCGTCAGTGCTGTACGGGACGGTGATGTAGGCTCCAGGTCAACTTCCGTTTTTGGAACAACGGCTCTCACTCTACTATACTAACCCAAGTAGTCTTGGACCCCAACGTTCCGAGCCCAGCCAAGGGTCTGGGGCCGAGATGAAGCGCCAACCACGTCGGTGCCAGAAAGAAAGCCGGCGAGCGCCCGTCCTTCCTGAAACATTCAGGCGGCTCGCGAAAGCCCCCGTTTCATCGTCAACGGCGAAGGTTATCTCGGTTGTCGGAGACCGGCGCTCAAACGTCGCGGACGTCCCGTCCTGGGGGACCGCCCCACCTTGGGAGATTCCGATCCGGAGTGCTGCTTCTCTCCCAGCTACCCGGGAGACCAGGGAGACCGTTGTTTGCTTTTCCTATCCATGGGGCTGGGGCCAGAAGGAGGGAGGAGTGTTGGCCAAGCACGGAGCGCCGGGTGGGAGCGGGCGGGAGGGAAGGATCGCGGTACTTAGCCGCGGCGGCCTCGTGGCCTGGCGGCGATGCGGCTGATCTGCAGCCGACCTCTGGCGCTAGCTGTCTGCCGCCGATGCTGGAGAGAGGGCGGATGGGATTTGTGGTGTTGACAATTGCCGCGCAAAGCGACTCGGCACGTCGGCGGAACGCAAATGCCGCTGCCAGGATGGAGAGAGCTGGTTTGACTACGAGAATTGAAGCAGAATGATGTGGACGAAAGAAGCTTTGGCTGGTGGCATGTAGTGTTCCAGCTTGCGCAACGTGCCTACGCACCACCACTGCGCAGCCACACACGTGTCTGCGCGCAAACCAAGCGCGTGCCGGGGTTCGGAATGCTGCGAACAGTGGCAAGCAAGAAAAAAAAAAAGGAAAGCGGACGACGACGGCATGACGGACTATCGAAAAGGAAATACAAGTACAGACCGTTGGACTAGCGCGCGTGGTGTTGGGAAATGCGAACCGCGGTTTGTGTCTATTGAGTAGTTATTGGAAGAGGAATGCGACGGCCATTCCCAGTTCCCACAAGCAGGCCTCAACGAGGTGTGAGGCTCATCGAGACGCAGGGGGCGGCGGTTGGACTGGTTGAGAATGGCCTGGCGGGACGCGCCGCTGTTCCTGGCATGGAGGACCGACAGCGTCCGGGACTCCGGAGTGCGGTCAAGTCGAGTGGTGCTCGCACAACGGACGCGACGGAGGCGGCGGGCTGGGCGAGCGCAAGCGAGCTTCTGGAAGGCGTGATGGGCGTTGGCGTGTGGGGAAGGCGGCCCACGATTGCTGAGCTGGTCCCCTGACCGGTGCCGCTCTCCGTCGCCTGCCCCGGCGGGCGATGCAGAGCAATGGGGATCGCGCTGCGTGTTCCGCGCCTCGGATCTTCAGGCAGCACGAGCGCCCCGACCGCCTTTCACACAGCACACGATAGGCAGCCGGCTCGATGATTGCGCCATTTGTTGGCGAGTAGAGAGCCGAAGAACTGCGCTGCCTGCGCTGCCGGTGGGCCACAGCCGTCGCCGCGCCGTCACCGCTGCGTCGAGTAGATGGGCCAGCGGCCAGCCTCAGGGGGCGCGAGGCGGCAGCAGTCGCCCGCAGTCGCCCGTCCTAGCAATCGCCGCCCTCGAGCGTCGTCACTCGAGATCAGCCGAGCGCGATGGATGCGGATGGGACGCGAGGGCCCCGAGGGCCCCGCACAAGACTCATCCAGGGGCTGCGGCGCGCCGGCACGACGGCGGTCCTGCCTCGCCATCGCCTTCTCGAACCTAGCAGCCAGCGCCGCCGCAGATCGCCGGCCGGCCTGATCTGAAGCTTCCAGAACTGCCGCCAGCTGCCGCTTCGCGACTCGCTCCGCGCCCCAACGCCCTCGTGTATCCTCGTGTATAGTGTTCTCGCGCTAATCAGGCTCTCCGGGCCCTCCGTACGTGCCGCTTTCAGCCCAGGGGTCCAGTCGTTATCAGCGCCTGCCGCCAGGAGATTGCACGCCGTACATACAACAGCTTCACAGCAAGAACGGCCGCCTCAATCTCAGCCTCCGCCCTTCGCCACGCCCTGCCCGCGGCGCTGCCTTGCACGGTATGCACAGTATGCCCGCTGCGAGCTCGTGCTCGTGCTGCCCGCCGCGCGTCTGTGCAGCGATGCAGCAGCTGCTGGCAAACGGCCCCCGCCGCGATGCTGCAGCCCGCCGGCTGGCCGCCAGCGCCGTTGGCTTGGCTCTGGCTCTGGCTCTGGCTCTGACTCTGGCTCCGGCTCTGGCTCTTGACTCTGGCTCAACAGGGACGACGAGTGCCATGACCGTGGGCAGAGGCGAGGCACGGCGCCACAAGTAAGGAGCGGCGGCGGCGCGAGGCCAGGAATCCGCAGCTACACAGTACGCGTCGCTGGCGCGGTGTCTGAGCCTGAGGCGCGCGGATGCTAAGCGGCCGAGCAAGCCCACCGTCGTGAAACGAGGGACCGTGTGTCATGGAGGGCGAGCTGAAGCAACACACGGACAGGGAGCCCAGAGATCCCAAAATTAGGGGTCGCGCCAGCCTTGGATGCAGGGCGCCGGGGTGCCCTTGCTCGTCGCCCGCCCTAGCGCCCCTGCGCTCCGCCTCCTTGTGTGCGCCGCTCGCCTACTTAAGAACACTTGTCCTCATCTTACGCTGCTGCCTTCTCAGACAACCCCCTCCATACAAAGGCACGGCCCACCACACTACTCTGGCCAGATGCATAGCAGCGCGCGACTCCACCATGGACGCCGAGCAGTCTTCTTACACATTTTCTAACCCCGCCATGACGGCCACTCCCCTCGAGTTCTCCATGCTCACACCCCCGGCGAGCGACATCCCCGCAACCATCAAGATGGAGGATCTGCACTCTGCACCCAGCCCGGCCGCCGTCCCCGAGGCCGCCCCGGCAACCCCCTCTGCCGCCACATCATCAACCACACACAAGAGCCAGCCCAAGAAGCGCAAGTCGTGGGGCCAGGTGCTCCCCGAGCCCAAGACCAACCTGCCGCCCCGCAAGCGCGCCAAGACGGCCGACGAGAAGGAGCAGCGCCGCATCGAGCGCGTGAAGCGCAACCGCCTCGCTGCCCACAACTCGCGGGAGCGTAAGCGCGAGGAGATGGAGCGTCTGACGGCCGAGCGTGACCACTGGAAGAACTCGCTCGACCGCTTCTTCGCCTACACAAAGCAGCTCGAGGACCAGATCTCGTGGTACCGTAGCCACGCTGCCGAGCAGCTCCCCATCGTCCCGCGCATCATCGACGGCATCGAGATGCCTCCGCAAACCGTATTCAGCCCGGCCCCGTCGCCGTCGCCAGCCCCCACATCGGCCCCGACCTCCACTCCCGCCGTTGTCACCACCTCAGCCGACAACATGGCCACCGAGCGTGAAGGCTCTGTGGCCAGCACCACCATCAACCCCCGCCGAACGTCCTTCACCAGCCCCGCCATGAAGGCGGAATCCGCCTTTGGCAGCCCTGCGATGAACAACTCATCGTACGCCAGCCCCGAGTCGATGGAAGACTACGACTCGCCCATCAACTCCAGCTCCCAGCCGCCCACGCCCCGGAACGACGAACTGAGCTTTGCTGAGCCCGACCAGACACAACATTCTGCAGCAATGTTGTGCGACCTGCAGTGTCGGTCGGCCAGCAGATTGGGTTCCAGTACGACGCTTCCGGCAAGCCTGTTGACTTTTCCCTGGGCGATTACCTATCTGATTCTACTCAATCTACGTCTTTCGATGACGCTTCTGCGCTCTTCGATCTGTCAGCGTACGTTACAGATCATCCAGAGGACAGCTTCTTCGACGCCTCTTTCCCCTCAGAACCAGTGGGATCCTTCAGCTTTCATGAGCACTCTGGTGCATAGTCTTATGACCTGCACGCCGACTCAGGCGCAACAGTTTCTGTTAGCGACGGGCCTGGCACCGCTGCGTAAGCCTAGCTTCAGAGTTGCTGGGAAGGCTTCAGGATCTTCTGGCATCTTTAGGGAGAGGGACACGCGGAGAGCCGTCCGGCAATTCCGGAGACTATCGTCATCGATTATCGACAAAGAGAGAAGAACGGTCAGAGGGAGAGAGAGTCTTGTACAAGATAGCGGTCATTTCTGGCAGGTCGGCTTAGGGCGAAACAACCTACCAACAAGGGTTTGAAGGTGTTCAGGTGTTTACATTGGGCGGTACAGGCAATTGTAACTGTGTGACAAGCTTTAGCGACACGGCGGTTTAGGGAAAGGTCATGAGTATGAGACACATCGGGGCTTCGGCCTTCGAATAACCAAACGAATCCAACCACTATTACCATCAACTCCAATCCATGCTTGTGACGCGTGATCGCATATGCTGTGCAACACATCGAGCTGAGGTGGGATGCAGATTGTGCTTACGGAGGCTGACAGGCTGAACGGCGCTGACTGCCTTTCTTGCCCCATGTCTCGCAGCTCCGCGCCATCAGCACAGTTTATCCGACGAGCAACTCAGCCGAAGAAGGCAACCGGAGCAAGTGCAGGCGCAGCCACTAACACGCAGGCACAAGATAACAAGGGCTGCTGCGTGGGATCACCGCGAAATATGGGCAATCTCCTTCCTGATTTTGCCTGTTGGGAGGCTTCTGAATTCTCGCCAACTTCCCGGGTCTTATTTTTTTTTTCTTTTTTTTCTTTCCTTGCCCCGCTCGGTTCCTGGCCCCTGGTGAGTGTGATGCTAGGAACAAGGAGGGCCGAGGCGTCGCCGGCGCCAGCAGGAGGATGGTCTGCTATGACGTCTTTAGTACATCACAGCTCATCTTTCCACAGCACCTAGTGTTTCTCCCCCTCACACACTGCAGCCCTAGAGCCGTGCCGTGGTATGAGGTTTTGCTTTTTGGGTTGGGCAGACGTAGAAACCCCACATGACGGAATGGTAGCCAGCCGCACTTGGATGGAAGAAGGTTAACATCGTCATTGAGGCGTATTTGCGAAGAACCTAGGTTGGGCTTGTATAAGAAGCAGAGCCTCGTCCCTTGGCTGTCTAGACTACTCTCAACAACGCACCCCCAGACATTCATCGTCATTATCATTACCGCCTACCTCAAACACATCCTCCCCACCCAACACTCATCCACACATTCAGCATGCCTCGCGACGGATCCGGAGCTGGTGACAACGCCATCGAGGCCGGTCACAACATCGTCCACGGCGCTGGCTCCGAGCCCAAGGTAAGGCCTCTCCGGTCTCTGCTGCTGCGAACGCCTCGCGACGTACTGACACACACATTGCGTAGTCGGACCACGTCGCCCGCGCCGACAAGACGGCAACCCCGCCGCCCGGCGAGAAGGGCCAGGGCATCGGCATCCACGGCGACGCAAAGGGGTTGACCGACCAGCCCCAGTCGAAGACCGACAAGCAATAAAAATCTACGAAAAGCACGAATCTTCTAATTCCAAAATTTCAATTTTTTTTTTCTTCACGACGCGATGGATCATCGGCATGCCTAATGGAAGCTGAGCCAACAACGTATTGCATCAGCATGTACAATAGTATCGAAGCCATCCGGACGGATGCAGAGTCAAAGCCGCCGTCATGGCATGGCTAGATGGAGAGAATTCAAAGGCCATTGAAAAGAAATCTTTTTTGCGTTCTCTTGTGTCTGAAAATGGTGACTTCTTCTTCTACCACTTCGCTACAGCCCTTCAATCATCTCCGCAACTTCGAACACCTGCTCATCGCATCCATACTGCGCAATGACCTGCATCCCCACCTTACGCTCCTCCTCACCCCTCACCGGCACACTCATGGCCGGCAGCCCCGCCAAGCTCGCCGGCACAGTGAAAACATCATTCATGTACGCGTCCACCGGCTCCGCCTCCTTCAACGCCTCCACCCTCGGCGGCAACGCCGGCGCCGTCGGACAAACCAAGACGTCCACCCTCGCATCTTCGTCGGCAGCACCGACATCCTCCTCCTTCTCCTCCTCCACCTCCGACAGCAGCGGATTCCCCCTGCGGAAACACCGATCGAAATCCCTCTGCACCAGCCTCCTCACACGCTGCGCTTGGATGAAGTAATTGTCCATGGCCGCGGCAGACAGCGCATACGCACCGAGCACGATGCGCCGCTTGACCTCGTCGCCGAAACCGGCGCCGCGCGTCTTGCTGAAAAGCACGTCGTTGGCGCCGTTCCCGTCCGCGCCTTCCGCTCGCGTGCCGTACCGCACGCCGTCGTACTTGGCCAGGTTGGATGATGCCTCGGCCGGCGCCAGGACGTAGTACGCGGACAGCGCTTGGTGGGTGGTGGGGAGCGTGGTGGGGACGATGGCGTGGCCGAGTGATTGGAGGTGGGTGAGGGTGCGTGTCCAGGTGGCGCGGACGGCGGGGTGGAGTTCGGTGATGTTATAGTCGGTGGGGACACCGATGCGGAGGGGACGGTCGCGGTTGGGGAAAGTGCGGGGGAGGCGTGAGCGTGTGCTTGGGGGGAGGCTGGTTGGGTCGAGAGGGTCGTGGTGGTTGATGGCGTCTGTCGGGTGGTTGGTCGTGTCAGTTGCGCAACGATAGGCGGCGATAGCGATGATTCAAGACGTACTGAAGACTTCTCTGGCGTCCTGAGTGTTCCTTGCCAGAACGCCGACAGTGTCGAGGGAATTGGCGTATGCGACTACGCCCCATCTCGACACCAGACCATAGGACGGCTTGAAACCAACGATGCCAGTGTATGCCGCCGGCAGCCTGACCGAGCCACCTGTATCCGTGCCTAGGGCTCTGTTGACGCGACCAACGGTCAGCCTCGCCATATTTGAGTCTCATGATGGGAGGACATACACCCAACATTGCTCGGTAGCCACGGCTACGGCGCTGCCGCCGGAGCTACCGCCCGCCGACACGCTCTCGCCCTGCTGCAGCTGCGAAACGGGTCCGAAGTGCGAGTTCAGGTTGTGTGAACCCATGCCGAACTCATCGAGGTTCGTCTTGCCCGCCACCACGGCGCCGGCGCCGCGCAGCCGCTGGACCACCGTCGCATCGTAGGGCGAGGTGAAGGTGCGGAGGATGGCCGAGGCGCAGGTCGTGGGGTTGTCGGTCGTGCAGATGTTGTCTTTGACGGCCACGAGGCGGCCATTGAGCGCAGACGCGGCTGAGGCAAGGTGTCAGAAGCGTTGGACATGCAGAGCGGGGAGATTGGGAAATCGTACGCTGTATGGGCTGCGACTCGGCGCGCTGGACTTGGTGCAGCACGGCGGCGCTGTCGGGCAAGGTGATGAAGGCATTGAGGCTCTTGCGCGCAGCCTGGTTAGCTAGGCATCGTTGCGCTTCCCGCAGGAGAGACATAGGGATCCATGAGAGAGTGGCGCCCTTGGTCGTTGCGACGCGTTGGTGGGTGAAGAGCTTCGTGGAGCTTGCACTGCCGAAGTCGCTCCGCCGTTGTTGCCTCAGGCATGACATCCCACATCGGAAACGGCCTTCGACGCCTTTGCCAGAGAAGTCACTGGTTGCGCCATCGCATCTGATGACGTGGATCTCAGTACCCTTGGCCGATCTTACAGGACGAGATCAACGGATCGATTCAGATGCACCGCTTGTCAACAACGTGTAAACGTGCAGTCAAGGCGTCCAATAGCGAATGTGCATGTCATCATGTCGGCACGTGTCCGTATCCAGCAAAGAGCCCCAAGAGGGTTTCGTGGCAACAGAAGACCTTCCAGCGGCCATTTAAAACAGTGCTATCTGGCCATTCCCAACGCCATATGTCCTTACTCTTCTTGCAACTCTTGATTCTGTAACATCAAGCTCTGTAATCTCTGTTATCAAGCCATAGGCTCTTCCACACTCTAAAGATTCTAAACTTCACATGTGCTACAGAACCTTGCACGGATTACCGTACTGGTATGGCTATGGCCCTCTACCTAAGTCCACCTCCGCATCTGGGACTTCGTCCTCTGGGACTTCGTCCTCGGGCACTTCTTCGTACCGCAGATCCATTTGGGTAGAAACGACCAGCTCACCTGCACCAAGTTCGTGGAGTGGCTCCACCGCTCCCTCGACTTCGTCGTGGGGCGGCGGCACTAGGTTCGCATCCTCTGCAGATTCCATGATTCTTCCGCGGACACGACGAATGCGCGAGGATGCCGCCGAGCGTAGGTGGAACAGCAGGCTCTGACCTCGCCTAAACCCTCGTATTGTGCAGAATCGCATACGGCCGTGTATTCGTGCCAATCATGGGCGCCGTGTCCTCGAAAGGAATTGAGGTTCCCTAAGCTTTATTGGTTATAACGGCAAAATATGCGTTTCATAGATTATCCCCAAGCATCAACTCGTTGCTTACAATCCAGAAAGTAACAACAAACACATCCAACATCAGAAATGGTTGCTTCAGGCTTGAAGTGTTTGTCTTGATCCCCAGGCTGGCAGAACCTCGGTTGCAGGTCAGAGTGGGGTTAAGCCTTTGCCCCTCATTAACTCGCGGTCCCCAGTTCATGGTAGGTATTTTACCATATCAACAGCAATAAGGTGATCTGTGAGGATGAGTAAGATCCCGAAATTTTCTGACCTGCCCCTTCGAGAGGGCGATCCTCACCACTCAGCATGGGGACTGTAAGTCGCACAGCATGCAAGCTGGACTGGACTGCTGTTGACTCTAGCCAGGTATGGCGATAATGACGAGCTTGGTTTCCTTAATCGGTTGACGGACGAGGTTGTTCTAGAAGCGGCGAAGGAAATCAAAACCGGGACAAGGTGAGCATTTCCAGCCATTGCCCGGAAGCTGAGCTCACCAGGAGCCTCCCAACTCTTCCCCCCACTCCGCGGGAAAGGAAATGATTCCCATGTGTTTTAGGATCTCTCTCGACTGGCCACTGGACGCGCAAGGCGAAGTTCCATTCTTCGGCCGCCAAGTATTCCACAAGAACGTATACCAAAAGCCTCCTCGCATCGTCAATGATGATGTGTGGACATTCAACACACAATGCAGTAGCCAGTGTTCGTATGAAACCTCAAGGATCTCAAGTCGAACGCTAAGCCATAGCCAAGGGGACGGTCTCCGTCACTTTGCGTATCAGAAAGAGCAGAAATTCTACAACGGAGTGACCCTTGAGGACATACATGGGGAAAACGCAACAAATGTGAATGGCATACACGGTGAGTTTTTTTTTCTTGGCTCTGTAAATGGGGATGATAAGTGTCACTGGCTAGCATGGTCCGAGAAAGGTATCGTCGGCCGCGGCATTCTCCTTGACTGGCATAACTGGCGGCTCGCAAACAATATCAGCCATGAGCCCTTCAAAACAGGCTCCATACCTTTGGTTCAGCTTCAAGCGGTGGCAAGAGATCAGGGAGTGGACATCAAGTTCGGAGACATTCTCATTATCCGCTCTGGTAGTGCTTGTATATTTCCCTTCAGAAGTGGATTGTAGGCTGACACCGAAAAGGCTACCTTGCCGCATACAACGCCATGGACAAATCCGAACTTTCTACGTTGTCGAAAGCCATGCCACCCTCATTCGCGGGAGTGGAACAAAGTGAAGAGGTGCTGCAATGGATCTGGGAGAACTTCTCGGCGGTGGCAGGTGACCAACCGTCGTTTGAATGCTGGCGTATGTTGTTTCACTAGTCTTGAGGAAGACAGGCTGACAAGGGACACAGCGAGTCAGGCAGATTATATGTTGCATGAGGTTTTGCTTGCTGGTTGGGGCTGTCCGATCGGCGAATTGTTTGACCTCGAGGCATTGGCAGAGCACTGTGCGAGGGAGAAGCGCTGGTCATTCTTCCTGACCAGCAAGGTCTGCAACGTGCCCGGTGGAGTGGCCAGTCCTCCAAACATCCTCGCCATATTTTGACCGCCTTGGTGAACGTGCAGGGCGGGCCAAGAGCTGATTGTTATGTACTCGATAGGCTGCCTGCAGTTTAGTCTCCTTCGATGTCAGTCGCGCCTTAGATCAGACAAAGCCACCCATCTTATGCCCATCATCCCATGAGGAGATAGCTCCGGTGCGTAGTGCTTGATCGGTCAGCGGCCAGAGGGCAGCAGGTTGAGGAGTGACGGGGTTGCAAGGGCGAGGCGCAGCCGGAGCGTCGCTGGGATTGGCGTCGCGTCGCGGAAGCTTGGCGCGCGCCGTGGCCTGTGCGGCCAGAAAAGCGTCACCGACCTCCGTTCATCCTCCGCATTTCTTGTCCGCTCGCCTCCCGCAAGCTGGTCCTCCGACGCTCGCAAAGGCTCCGCGCTCGCCTGCCCGATTGCCACTGCTTCTACCTCCGCTTTCCCTTCCACCCGCAACCGCAGCAATGGCCCCCACCAAGGACCAGTCCGTCTCCTTCGACGCCATCATCCAACGCGGTACGCGCGCGCTTCCGCCTCCTATCCTCTTTTCTCGAAGCTAACCACCCGCAACCTCACAAAGGCCGTGACCAGCAGAAGAGAGAGGCTCTCGCGAACGAGATATTGGGCTCCGGTCGCAGGAAGAGCGCTCCGGGCGCCGCTGCTCTGAACAACAACTACAACAACCGCAAGGCCGCTCCCGCCGCTGGAGGCAGTTTGGCTAGCCGCATGGGCGTGACAAAGGTGTGCTGAGCCATCGGCCGACTCCCGTATCCGAAGATTGCTGACCGACTTGGCCCTGTGCGACAGCGCTCTTCTGCCATCCCGAAGCCAAACATCAACAACACTCGCTGGGGCCATGACCTCCACCATATGAACAACCCACGCGCACCCCGTTTCGCTCAGCTCCCTCGCACCCAGTCTGCCTCACGCCTCGAGCGCGGTAATCGCCTGTACCAGGAGCTCCGCCAGGACCCGCCATCCAATGGCTCGCACAACCCGACCAGCCAGACCAAGGGCGCACCTGGCATCAACATTCGTGGCGCCGCCCAGCCCACCGGCTGGACTGTTGTCGCAAGCAACTTCGCACCTGGCACCACTGCTGCGGACATTGAGGCTGTCATGACTCCCATTGGTGGAGAGATGCTGGGATGCAGGCTTACCAGTTCTCATCCTACTGTCATTGCTGAGATGCAATTTGCTGAGAAGAGCGGTGCTGATAACGTTATCACCATGTTCAACAACCGCAAGGTACATACGCATCACATACTTTGAACGATTAACTGCTGACACCCTCCGCACAGGCTGATGGCAGGCTCCTCTACGTCTTTATGAAGGAGAGCGGCCCTAGCCCCGTCATGCCGGGCCAGCGTTCCGGACACCAACCTCCAAAGGCCGCTGAAGACCGTGATGGCATGGAGGTTGACAGAGATGTCTTTGATAGGAGGGAGCCTGATAGGTCCACCAGGCGCGCGGAGCCTGAATATCAGGAGGGTAGGTACGGCTTCCCAGAGAACGGTAGCCGTGACAATTCCAGGCGTGATGATCGCTGGGACAACCGCAGGAGTGAAGGTCGCCTGTACTCTGACAACATGAGACGCAACGATCGCGGCTACCGCCGCTGAAGTACTAAGCGCCAGGAACAAGACAGGGATACCTGAGTCTCGCACGAGTGCACGGCAGGTTTATGCGCATCTCTGAGTGAAATGATGTTCACTTGAGCACAGAAGGCGTTTGCATGGCAAAAAGGCGTTCACGATGTTTGAGCGCCAGACACGTTTGGGGAGCACAAAAAAACGACCACAATACCCATGATTGGCTTCATTATGGAATGCATGTAGGATCAGAGCAATGAGGCGACCACCTTGGCAGACCGGATGTCTTCAGCTCGACGGGAATCACCACCTAATAGACCCCCAATAAAATCATTTCTAGGACTTCGTGGTTTTCGCCAAAATCGTTTTGATCATCTCATTACCCACCCTCTTCGCCTCCGGGAAACGAGGTTCGAAGAAAGTCTGGATGTGCTCAAACTTTTCACGGTACGCGTCCATGTGACCCAAACTCACGCGATCACTCCAATCCTGGTGGTTCGCTGTGTAAGCTTCTGTAAATCACCAAAGGAAGAAGAAGGTTGACGTACTCTAGCAGCGAACGTGAACTCCAGGTCATCCGCTCGGAAGGTATTGTCGTGGATGGCCGTCTCGATCACCTCTTCCAGCAACTCAGGTTTGCGGAAGAGGTATTCTGTGATCCCCAGCCAGAGACGGAAGAGCTGTTTCGGCACATCAGCAAGCACGAAGTTCTCGTATGACGGATTAGGGAGAACGCACTGGCGTCGAGCAAATCATATGATCGTACGGCACGATACCCAGCTTCCACCAACAGTCCACCATAGCCAGCAAGCTCAAATGGTTGTTCTTGACCCGTTCCGGCGGCTTCTCGCCCAGGCTGAACCGATCCAGCACCTCGTCTTTGAGCAGCAGATCCTCATCGCCCCCGTCGCCGCGGAACACGGCCTTCGCAGCCGTGTAGATCCTGGCGCGGAGCTCGTCCTTGTGCCCGGCCAGCATGAGCTTGAAGAGCTCTGTGACGCTCTCGGCGTACTGGCGGATCTGGCGGCGGGCGTAGGGGTTGAGGATGGCGAGGCCAGCGTAGACGTGCCACTTGTTGCTGTAGATGCGCAGCGTCACGTTGATCTTGACGTTTTCGATGCCGCCGACGTAGCGCGGCATCTCCCACGGGAACTGCGCGTTGGCGTGCCACGCCGCGCCCATGGACAGGAAGGCGGCGTGCGTCACGGCCTGCGTGTCGGCCGTGATGCGGTCGTGCTCGGCAGCCGTGAGGTAGACGTGCTTGGATTGCAGGCAGGCCAGGATGCGCTCGACCAGCGCAAAGGACGCGGTCGAGGCCCGGTGCTGGATCAGAACGAGCGGCTGGCCTTTGGGGTCTACGCCCGGCCCGTGCAGCGAGTGGACGGGCACGATTTCGACGTCTGGCGGCAGGTGTTTCTCGAAAGCAGCGATTTCGGGGGCTTTGCACGACGTTTGCCCGCCGACAATGGCGCCCAGTTTGGTAGCTGTGATCGAGGAACAAAAAGATCAGAGATTGTACAATGATGCATGGTTTCAGGTGGTCATATAACGCATACATGGACCGTACTTGGCTACGACACTGTCGATGGCCTCAGCTGGCACGCTGTAGATGATGTAGTCACTGCATCTGGAGACGAGATGGCCGTCCGGGTATATGTGTATATTGTTCTAGCGCGAGCCTCAGCCAGCTGCTCTTGGTATGCTCTGAATAAGTACAAAATGTGTGCCATACGTGTCCGGCGTACAACTCCTTCAACTCTTCGTACTTGCTCGGCGCATCGCAGGCGTTGACCCTGCGCAGGATCAATCAGACGGGCATGTCACATCATTCGAACGGTCATCTGTGGAGACTTTTGGTACGTTAGCAAAGCTGCTTCACCAGACGATTGCGACGGGTTGGAAAAGTGTGTTTGCGGTTCAGACAAATAAAGAAAAAGGTAGCTGAGATGTTACATCATCGATGACCTCCCGCAGCTTCCAGACCAGAATGGCCGAACGGTTGCTACGAAAAGCCATACTCGAGCCAAATGCACTCAAGTCATCATTGCAAGGAAAGGGAGTGAAGGAGGAAGCATGCTTACCTTGCAGGTCCGGCCTACAGGCCCTTCTCGAGACACGAGATACTTACCTCCAACCAGCATCGCTGATCCTCGTCGCATACAGCTTTCCCATATCGCCCATACCAATGATGCCGATCGCCTTCTCTGAGTCCGCCATGGTTGCAAGCAGGTGCGCGTCGCAGTGCCGGTAACGCAAAGTCGGGTGCTCAAGTGCTGTTGAGTGATTCGAAAAGCTCGTCGTCAAAGCCAGGCGAATTGCAGTCTCAGGTGGGCGCAGCGGACATTCTCAGTCGCGCAGCGCAGGATGAGGAAAAAAGAAAGAAAGGTGGAGGGCCGGCGAAGTCGGTCGAGAAAAGGCCTGCGCAGACGCGAAGCGAAGCGCCAGTCGGCGCAACGCCGGGCCGCAAAAAATCTTGGCAGCCCACACCGCGCGAAAAACGAGCTGCCCGTCCCTTCCCTTCCCTCTTTTCGCGACGACCATCCGCGACCTTTGACAATCAACCCATCCCGTCATCACCCCAAAAACCGACGCCATGCCCCCCAAGAAGGTCGCCCGCGCTCCCCAGGAGAACGTCCAGCTCGGACCCAACGTCCGTGAGGGCGAGCTGTAAGTTGCATCGGCTCGTGAGGCGTCGTTGAATTTGCACTGACTTTGCCTCGTAGCGTCTTCGGCGTTGCCCGTATCTTCGCCTCCTTCAACGATGTGAGTGCACAATCCATGCAATCTTCTCTGCCCTGGCCGAAAGTCCATCTGGGGTAACTCTGCTCGGCCTGTTATCTGCGCCGCTGGATGAAGAGGAGGAAACGCTGGCGATGGGGACGCAATTTCGCAATGGGAAGCCACTCGAACGCGAGTGATGCGCAAGAGCTGGTTTCAAGCGCAGTGAACGCGCGGATGTGGGATGTCATCAACGGTGTGCGCGGCCCACCCCCGACTGGAAACCTTCCAGGAGGGTGCTATGCCCCACCAGCGAGGCACGTGGCCATCAACACGCGACAGCTCGTCTGTCTTGGCGTGAAGATGTACAGCCGCGCAAACTGAGGCATTCAGAAAGAAATCGGGCAGAGGACCCATGATGGACTTTCGCGCTCAGGCATGTTGGAACCACCCAGAACTGGCACTAATCTGTAGTTTCTAGACCTTCGTCCACGTCACTGATCTGTCGGGTCGTGAAACCATCTCCCGTGTCACCGGTGGCATGAAGGTCAAGGCTGAGTATGTCTAGCTTCTCCTGGTCTGGTAGGAAGAGGGTGCTAACAAGACGGCAGCCGTGACGAGTCCTCCCCCTACGCTGCCATGTTGGCTGCTCAGGACGTCGCTACCCGCTGCAAGGAGCTCGGCATCACTGCCCTTCACGTCAAGATCAGGGCCACTGGTGGTAACGGCACCAAGACCCCTGGTCCCGGTGCCCAGTCTGCTCTCCGCGCCCTTGCCCGTGCTGGCATGAAGATCGGCCGCATCGAGGACGTCACCCCCACCCCCTCGGACTCTACCCGCAGAAAGGGTGGTCGCCGTGGTCGTCGTCTCTGATTTGGTGCTGGTGGTTATGGGTGTGCGTTCGAGGTCTATGGGGCTGATGACAACTACGAGAGGAACGGCTTTTATTGCCTGGTCCTCACTTTTTCGGCTTGTCACATTGAATTGACCATCAGATCATTTCTCACGTGCACTCGCCAGTTCACCCGACGTTTAGGCAGCAAAAAAGGAATGTAAGGATCACGAATCATCCCCCTTGCCCACATTGCACTTTGTGACACTCGCCGCCTTCTGGCAACCTCAAATTTTCTGCCCGCACAGTCTCTTCTAGCTGAAAGCGGTTCCTGGTATTGAGGGAGATTACCGCTGCACTTCATGCAGACCAATCATTCGCATAATCAATCAGGTCTGTGTGCGGTGTAGCCATGGTGGGACTGTCTGAGAAAACTGAACGAATTCTATGTTTCGTTTTGTGGTTTTGACTCCCTACATATCTTTACTTCGCTCTCGAAGCGTCGAGAGCCTTGTTCTCAAAGACACTTGGAGGTGCTGTGTTTGATTATCAGCAATAATAATAATAAATGGTTAAATTTCAAGCAATGATCGGTTTTGTGACCAGACAATGAATGGTGATCAGCCGGGTTGGAGATTGTTTAGCGGCAACAACTTTCGACTCAGCGCAGATGCAGGGTCTTCAGATTGCAGACGCCAGGTCCGACGTCACCCACGCCTTCCTCCGAACATCGCATGGACATTTGCTAGAAAACTCACCAACCACGGAAAGCGCCGTCCATTTCTGGCAAGTGCTACAAGGAGGAGCTTACTCACCACCTCCGAGGAGGTCGGGGTTCTGCGCCCTTTCACCGCTGCGACTCAAGCTTTTGCGCCATGCAATAAACTCCACCCTGTTCCCAACTCTCGCTGGCCGTCTCTTGTGGCAACATTCCCCGCCCGCGCCAATCAAACCATATCCTTTTCATCCCGAAGCACGCACAGTGGAAGAGAGAGCGTCTCTATTGATCCACACCAAGAGCTCAAAAGAAAAAAAGACTCAACATGGATGCCACACCCTGCATCCTCCTCCTCGTGCCAGCCGGCGCCCTGGGCGGCATCGACCTGCTCTCCTTCACCACGACGCCCCGCTTCAAGGGCATCAAGGACCTCCCCGGCGGCTGGCACTTTGTCTTCACCAGCAGCACCACCTCGCTCTCGGTCCGCCACGGCGCCTGGTTCCGCGTCAACGACGTCGAAGAGACGAGCAGTACTACGCAATCCATCACCTCCACCTCCGGTTCCAGCTGCCGTTCGCCCGACCTGTTCGTCAAGAAGTGGGACGCCCGGGACGAAGAGCTCGTCCCGGAGTCGGACCCGGCCGAGGTGCTGCGCTGGCGCGCGAACCTGGGCGCCATCTGGCGCGACGGCCTGACGCCGTACCGGCAGAGCGCGAGCAGGGACGCCGGCGACGAGGGCGACAAGGAGCTGGATTGGCGGGCGCTGACGGATGCGATCGGGGAGGGGTTGTTGGACAGGGTGCTCGGGGGCGGTGGGGGGGCTGGAGGTCAGCAGCACTGGGGCTTGACGAGCGCGAGCAGCGCGGCGAGGGATGCGGATGACATACCGGGGTTGTCGAACGATCGGGATGGTGGTGGCGGCAGTAGCGGTGGCGGCGGCGACGGCGGCGGTGGGGCGGCCTGGCAGCCGGAGAAGGAGTTGGAGCTGTTGCCGGTCGATTTGAAGATGACGTGGGGTGAGGGTGTCACGGGGAGGGAGCGCACTGAGGCGGCGCAGGATCGGTCGTGGGCGCTGGGGGAGCTTGTGGAGCGGGTTTGCGGGGGGAGGGAGGAAGAGGTGCTGGGGGAGCTGCAGTTCGCGTTCCTGATGGTGCTGACCCTGAACAACAACAGCTGCTTGGAGCAGTGGAAGAGACTGCTGGAGCTGCTGCTGACGTGTAAGAAGGCGGTCGTGCAGAGGGCGGGTTTTTACTGCAGGTTTTTGCGGCTCTTGAGATTGCAGCTGCAGCATTGCCAGGACACGGAGACCATGCTTTTCGATTTAAACGATGAGGGTGGGTCGTTACTGAAGCGGCTTCTGAGGAGGTTCAGGAAGGGGTTGGAGGAGCTAGAGGGCAAGGGCAAGTCGGATGTCGTGGATGAGCTGGACGAGTTGGAGGATTTCCTGAGGGGTGAATACGGCTGGCAGTTGGATGATTCGTTCGTCAGGAGGGGCATGCTAGAGCTTGAGGACGGCGAGCAGGTCGAGATGGATGTTGGGACGCGGTTCGATGAGGACGACGAGGCTGGAGAGTTCGCACCGATGGTTGTGGAGTTGACAGAAGAACAAGCCAAGAGTCTGGGCGCCTTTGGCGGGGAAGACGGCAGTGGAGGTGCGCAAGCAGCAGAGCAACACGGCAAGAGGCTGGCAAAGCCTGAGTCTGGGATTGCTGGAGAGGAGGTGCAGGAGGAATCAGAAGATGAGGTGGATCTGGACGATATGGATGCGAGATATTGAACCAATATCGTATGCGTAAGACTCAGGCTGCAAATTATGTGGAGAGAATAATAGTGGTGCGTTTAACATCTACAGGCAGGCCATCGGCATGAATTCATGAACAACTTTTTAGATCAGCGCTAAACTGTAAGAATTGTACCGCGGTGGTACTGCTGAGGGAGTGTGAGATGGTGCTCTATGTTTGCATTGTTTGAGCACGCTATACCCGATCAGGTAACCTCGGAGACTTCAAGCCATCAGCGCGGTTCAGGAATTGACACACCATCCCAGAATTGGTATGAGGAAAATCGAGAGACTGCACTGAGCTGATCCAATTATCTGCTTAAGCTTTGACTGTGATAGTTTTCTCCATATCTATCTAAAGTTCGCCTCACTATCTGTTGAATCAGCGCCTTTCATGCGTTGGTATATACGCGGTTACTTACCAGCGAATACTTTACGAGCTGAACCTCGCAGCGCGCGAGATACCGAGCGCTGAGGCTTGCGTTGCCGACAGCGGAACAAGGCTCGCCAACCGCAGCGGAAGACTTCGTGGGAACTCATATGCCAAGTGGGCAGGTGCTGTCTTCTATGGCCTCCGACTGAGCTCGCACTGACTGATTCCAGGTGGACTTTAGCGATGTTTGGCCTTGCACCTTCATTCAAACAGCAATAAAACCAACACTCGCTTGCACCATACTATTACTCGTGATTCTATTGCTCTATTACGTTGAGCCGCATGCTTGTCCTATACAGAATGTCATCTACATGTGCGCCGTTATGCCACATTCACGTTAACGACAGTGATGCCTACAATCAGACGTCGAGATAGAGGAGCAATGTCCCATACTCTCGCGAGACTTGAGAGGTAGAAAGGAAAGACGGTGATATACCAACGCTCTACAAGAACCAAGCTTCTCCCAAATCTCTATGTCTGCTGCACCTCCTGCTCCTGCTGTTGCTCCGGCGGTGTGACCGCCTGCTTCTCCAAAACCTCCTCCGCCTCCCCCAGCTTCTGTTCAACCTCCTCGAGCTTCTCTTCCAGCTGCTCCCTCACCTCCCCCTCCACGTCCTCAGCCCTGTCCGCCAAAAGCTCGGCCGAGTCTTTGTCCGACTTCATGCCGAAGGCCTGCGGCACCTTCTCACTGAGATTGATGGCGATGAAGCTCTTGGGCAGTTTGACCGTGTGGAACTTGTCGCGCAGCGTCTCGATGACCTGCATCCAGTCGTGGTGGCTAGTGAGGCTGCGGCGCTGGGCAATGCCGATGCAGTGCTTTGAGTCGAGCTGCACGTCGAGCGGGTCGAACGTGTGGCAACCCGGGCTGAGCGAGATGCGGATGCTGTAGTTGAAGCTGCTCGGCTCGTCGGCGCTCGTCGAGTTTTGTGACTCGAAAAGCTCGAAGCAGATCTGGGAGAGGTAGTCGAGCTCGGGGATGGCGTTGCGCTTGATCTTGGTCTGGATGCCGCCCTCGAGAATGCAGTTGAGCAGCGTATAAATGTGCGACTCCTTGGTGAAATAAAAGAATGACTTGGGATCCTCCGACGCCTGGACCTCCTCTAGATCCTTGACGATCTCCTTCAGCAGCGGCAGCGACGTCAGAAGCCCGATCTCCAGCTTCTCCGCATCCGTGATGCCGTACTCCTGCGGCCCGATGTAGTCGAAGAGCACCTTGCAAAGCTTGTACAGCTCGCGCAGACGCTCCAGGCGGGCGTCGGTCTTGACCTTGGAGGGCAGTGAGCCGTTGCCGACACCCTCGAAGAGGTTGAAGTACGACTCGGGCGCGGGGGACTGTTCCTTTGACCGGTTATTGAATGCCGAGGCGGCTTCGGACCGGCGTCTGAAGCCGATACGATGGGATATACTTCCCTTATCGTGCTGAGGCTGCTCCTTGGGTGGATCATGCATGGGTTCTGACGGGCTGGGCGGCTGAGTAGACTTGGCGCTTGCTGTGTTACTGCTCCCAATAGCCGTCTCTTCGAGCGTGTCCTCCTCCAGCAGGCTGCTATCAGGCGTGAAGACCCATTCGAGGAACTGCCGGTTATGAAGAGCATCGAACTTCATGGTATCGTACAACTCGGAGATCTTGCTGGGATCCACCTTCTCCTCATCGCAGAACTCCTTGAAAAGCTTCTCCCACCTCTCCCTAAATAGCTCGGGGTCTTCACCGCTGCACCACCGGGCCTGGATGTTCGTAACGTTGGCGGACGTGTTTGCCACCGCGGAGCCTCCTCCGTTGGACGTGTCCGCAGCAGTGCCCTTCGCGACAGCAACCAATGACGATGCTGCATTGCTCCGCAACTTGGTGAAGTTATGCCGCATAACTTTGCGGTGGAACTTCATTAGTTCAACAACGCGACGGACGACGATGAACGGCTCCGGCATGTTGTCAGGCCAAGCAAATTGCGGTGGAGCTTTGTTGCCCTGCCGCAGAAGGATCTTCAACTTCTTCTTGACTTTGTCCATCTCATCTTTGGCAGCGTTAGAATCATCCAGAAGGTCCTTCCGAACAGCGATGAATTCCGGTGACAGCTCCTGTTGATTCAAGAAAGTGGTTGCGAAAATTTGAGCGCTTGTGGTTGAACGCCGCTCAGAACTACTGTAGACGCGGACGTCATCCAGAGCATCCCGGTTCATGAGAAGCATGTCGTTTCTAAGGTTCTCACCGAGGTCGTGAGCCTGGTAACGAGCAGAGTGAGTGGGCTCACCGCCCCATTTGATGATCAGTTGGAGCTTGTCGAGGATCAGATTGTTTTCTGCAGCGGCAATCCGTGAAAGAGTTATGCCCGAGAGAGAGTCACTTCTCTTCTCTCTCCAAGCCTTTAGCTTTTCAGGATCCGTAGGAGGCTTATCCTCCCCGTTCAGAACTTCATGTGCTTTCTCGGTCTCGCTCTCCGAAGGCATCTCGGCCAGCAACTCCGGTGGCATCTCCTCCTTCTTGCGCTTGCGGAACATGGGTTTGATTTGGACCTTGGTTCCAGGCCATCCAATGCGTTTATTCAACGCATTTCTCAAGCTCATGAGCTTGTCACTGTCCTCCTCGCCTTCCGCAAAAGCGCTGGTGACTGCATTCTGAACGCTCTGAAGTGCAGCCTCGCCAGTCAGCAGAACTTCCTCCTGGTGCCCCTTAAGTAGATCGATGAAAGGCTTCGTGTGAAAGCTGTACTTGATCTTCTGTTTCGGCGTCCTATCGGCGTGTCGGATAACGGAAACCATGCCCTTCAGCTTCCATTGGGCCTTGGACGCCGGCTTTGGTGGAGGCACAGCCGGCTCCTCGGCCTCGGTCTTGGGATGCGAGGTAACGTCTGCAACAGCGGGAGGTGGAAGCATGTCAGGGGCAGGCGATGAAGTCTGCGCAGCCTTTTCAAGACTTGGCGGAGACGTGATCGGGGTGGTAGTAGATGAAAGCTCAGGTGAGCCCGAGCCATGACTATGGTGACCAGCCACGTGGTGCGCGATACGTGACATACTCGGGGATTTGAGTATAGATTTGAGCTGAGCCCTGTGGCCACTGTGGCCACTGTGTGTGTTTTTTCTCGAGTGGCCTGGCTTGTCGGGGGGAGGTATTTCGTCGCTTTCGCTGGCTGGCTGTTGAGGTGGCGGAGCGACAGTACGACGCTGCTTCTGTTGGATGAACATCTGTTTGAGGATGCTCGCGCATTTGTCATAATAGTCGTTATTGTCCTTGACAAAACTCCAACCATTCACATCAATGACGAAGCTTTTGTCACCGGTGCGAAGCAAGTCGAAACCGCAAACACGCTGGCCAAACCCCTCGGCAATCCTGGCGGCCATCGCGACTTCTTCCTTGGTCAAACCAGTGACGTAGCGGATTTCTTTGCCGTTAGGATTGCGCTTTACGACACCGTCAACGACGGGAGATTTCCTGGTTTCGGCATGACAAAAGTCGGGGCCAACGGTATAGGCCTTGACATCCTCAGCATTCTCTACCCGGAGAAATTGCTCGTAAATGTAGCTACTTTCCGGGTCGGTGATGGCTCGCGGGACCTCCAGGCTATCGTCTGCTTCTGAACTCTTGTTGTTGACCTTCCTGAAAAGGCGGCGGCCACCTCCGCCCGCACTCTTTGGGAAGAAGATATGGATATTGTGATCTTCACCACTGGTCGGCTTCTCAACAAAGGGCTTCCGGAGCTCAACGCCATCCACGCGGATGACGTCGTTGTCCTCCAGCATTTCGACACTCTGCGGTGGCTTGACGCCACCTCCAGTGCCATCCGGTGCACCTTCCAATTTCACTCCAGTTTTCTCGAACATGATGCTCGCCAGCTCAGCAGAGGGGAGTGTTGGACCGCCGTCACGATTGACTTCTACTCTCTTCGGGGTCGGCACGTTCAGCTTGTCCAGAATCTTCAAGCATATACGACGGTCCCAGAGGACGGTCTGCATAGGCAGATCGTTGACACAGAACGGCTTCCTGAGCTTAGCATAAGCGACGGCCTTGTCAAGGGGGAATCCGTCGGAGAAGAAGGATATGAGGAAGTCGCAGATGGGCCAATTCTCCACCTCTTCGTCTAGAATGACCTTGTCTCCAAAGATGATGACCTCGAAATCCTGGTTGGCGATGAGTCTGTTGAGAATGTTTCGGCTAGGCTTGCTTCGTGCTTTTGTATCCATGGCACACACTCCGATGATACCAATAGGCGGTTTTCTGGGCTCGTTCTCCTTGCTTGCAGCGCAACTGCGTTCACTGGCAGGACTTCCGCTGCCACCGACACTGGAGCCATGTTGACTTGTTCGCCTAGCAGGATGATGCGTTCGGCTGCGCGAGCGACGATGCTGGAGAAGCGGGGCGGACTGGGTGTGGATGGGATGGCCGTTCACAGAGGGGGCCGGGACGGAATTGGGATCGGTGCTCTGGTCGCGGGGAGAAAGCAGCTGCGATGGCGAGGGGCCGTTGTTGTGGCTTGAAGTCGTGACCGAGAAGGATGAAGTCTGCGTCGTTGCTCCATGGGAAGGACCGTCAGACTTTGCTTCGACGACGTTAGCCTGTACAGTGGGCGGGCTGGGCAGTACTCGACATACCATCCGGCTCACTGCCCGCAACAGAGCTGGGACCGCCGGAGCTGCGGGCGTTGTTGTATATTTGCGAGCCCAGCGAGTAGAGGGACGAGAAAGACATCCGGTTGGACTCTTTGTCCGCGGCGGAGGCGACAGTAGGTGTTGGGTCATCGTCGATTGCGGACGTGTTCTGGGAGTCGGGCTGGTCGAGGGCTAGGGAGGCGGCGACCAAGCTGTCGGAGGCCTTGGAGGGTCTGCGGTCGTGCTGCTGGCGGGCAGTAGGCTTGGGGTTCGGCGGAGGCATAGATATGCTGGCACGGTCTACGTCTCCCAGGCTGGTACCAGGGTCGGCAGAGCGACTCTTGCGGTTGGCCAAGGGCGACGAGGCGCCAGACAGCGAATGCGATCCATGGCGCGATCTGGTGCTCTCAGCACTAGCCGTGCGCGTTAGAGACTCGTCCATATGGGGTGGCTGAACCGATGTGACGCGCAGAACGTGGCGGTTCGAGGATCTGCTTTTCGTGGGAGGACGGACGCGCTGCAAGTGCTGCACGCATGCCTCAGGCTCGGCAAGAAATGACGTTTAGCGGGCGCACTTGGCCGGGGCAGCACTCGGTTTGTCGTTGCCGCCGTCGCGTGCCCTTCCTAGCGCCGCCCTCCCGCAACCCCACGCCCGCGCTCTCGGGCCTCGACAGGCAGCACTGCTCTCTCTCTCGGACGGCGTGCTGGAATGACTGGCTGTCGCCGAGCGGCCATCCCCGGCAGCCACCACCGCCGCCAGCGCCATCATCTGGAACGTCCCGGCTGCCTGGCACTCTCCAACATGACTTCATACAGCACGTGTCTCCAGTCGGCAGCTTGTGCTGGTGGCACTGCCACCCCCGCGACGATCGAGGTGCTTGTCGGGTCCAGGCAGCTGTCTCGAGCTGCTTCGTGCGCGCACGGCAGAGCCATTGGCGTAGATCCCATCCAGGCTGATCACGCAGCGCGGAGATGCGCAGCAACGGAGACGCGGCGGGAGCTTGGCGGACTGCGGGATGCGTCAGGGTGGGCACGAGCGCGGCTTCTCCTCTTGGCCAAGCCAATGGTGCGCCAACACTGGTGGCGCGAGTGCTGATGCTGTCGTGAGTGCCGCCCACAGAGAGCAGAGCCTGGGTGGAGTCGGCGATTGATGTGCGGCCACGACTATTGCACCCCTGCTTAGCCGCCGACGCCCTGCAGATCCCGCGAGCTAGTCCAGAATTTTTCGAACCGCAAGCCTCACTCGCCGCGACGCGCTCTGCCTGCGTAGCCCAACCAAGATGCCCGCGACTGTTACGAATACCCAAGTCGCCGACGGCCGCGTCGTCAAGCGCAAGAAGCTCAATGCTAGCAAAGCCCATCCCGAGGGCAAACCGCGCCCGACCAAATCGAGGCTCTTCGCGCCATTCCGAGTATGAGCCGGTATACACCAGTTTGCTCTCCGAGGAAAATTGCTAACCCACGCAGACCGTAGGTCTGATCTCGCCTACCGATGTCCCGTTTACCTCCATTCCGCTTGGCAAGACCACTTTCCAAATCACCACCTCCGTCGGCCGAAGCCTGCAAACCTACGATCTGCGCAGGGGCCTCAACCTTGTCTTTATTACGAGACCGCAAACCCCGGAGCTTATTACAGCAACGACGGCATGGAAAGACAAGATCCTGGCGGCATGGGGAGGGAACGAGAAACAAGCTTCCAGAGGTGTGTGGCTATTCAAGCGCGGCAAGAAAGTGGCCGAGCTCGAAACGCCCAACGGCTGGGACGAGAACATCAAGCAGCTTCTAGTATTTGGCGCATGGGTCATCGGCTGTGGTACCACGAGAATCGATGTATGGAAGTCTGCGACTCTGGAGCACTATACCACCCTCATCGCGCCGCGTTCTGGAAGCGCGGGCAGCTTACTCACTGGCGGGGTCTGTAACATGCCCACCTACCTGAACAAGCTTCTTGCTGGCAGACAAGATGGAAGCGTCGAAATCTGGAACATCAACACTGGCAGGCTGCTCTACACGATTCTGCCCGCTGCCGCCGAGTACGGCCATGTAACCGCCATGCAGCCAACTCCTGTCTTATCGCTCGTGGCCATAGCATACAGCAGCGGTCCCGTCGTCATTCACGACATTCGTGCCGACAAGGAGGTACTCACTGTGAACACCGGATCGTCGAGAAAGACCCCAGTAACTTCGATCTCTTTCCGGACGGACGGACAAGGTGCGGGAGAGGATGGCCGGAAGGATGGTGTTATGGCGACAGCCTCGAAGCACACTGGCGATGTGGTTTTTTGGGACTTGAACGGGGGCGGTAGGAAAATGGGTGTGCTACGAGGCGCCCATGCTCCGCCGTCCATTGCGGCCGGTGGAGTGGCTGGCGGCATCAGCAAGATTGAATTCTTGGCTGGCCAAGCTGTCGTTGTCACCAGCGGTCTCGACAATTCCTTGAAAACGTGGATTTTTGACCAGACTCCTTTTTCACCTGTTCCTCGGATCCTCCACTCACGCAGTGGACACGCCGCGCCCGTGTCAACCTTACAGTTCCTCCCTTCAGACGCTGATGGCGCTGATGCCGGTGGCAAGTGGCTTGTAAGCGCCAGTAACGATCGGACACTGTGGGGCTGGAGCTTGCGACGTGACGGCCAAAGCACGGAGCTCAGCCAGGGCAATATCCGCAAGAAGGCCAAGAAGATGGGTATTCTAAGCGAGGGCCTTGCAGCTTTGGACAGCAGCCTATCCATTGAAGATTTGAGGGCTCCGAAGATTACCCACATGGCATGCTCTCTGAACCGTGACGGCGGTATGGGAGCAGTCCCAGGAGTTAATGCCATTTGGAATCATCCTAGCAAGGGCAAGGGTGCAACTGGGGGTTCAGAGGCAAATGGCCTTACTGGTTGGGAGAGTATGGTCACCGCTCATGAGGACAGCAAGACGGCAAGGACATGGTTCTGGGGCAAGAAGAAGGCCGGCCGATGGGCGTTTGACACGGGCGACGGGACACCGGTAACGAGTGTGGCCATCTCTCCCTGCGGTACATTCGCCCTCGTCGGATCCCAAGCAGGTGGCCTGGATATGTTTAACTTACAATCGGGCATCCATCGTCAGCGATTCCCTGCAAGACTAACCCCACAGCAGGCCAAGCGTTTGAAACTGCAGCAACTGGAAGAAGAGGAGTCGATGGAGGTGGAAGCAAAGCCGAAAAAATTCGCAAGGGGTCAGGGCAAGCACACCAAGGCAGTCACCGGTATTGCCGTGGACAGCCTAAATCGTACCGTTGTCAGCTGTGGCGACGATGGCAAAGTCAAGGTAAGAATATGTTGCTCCAGCTGCGAAGTATCGTCTCGCTAACAATGATAGTTCTGGGACTTCTCCAACGGCCAATTGCTGCACGAGATCGATTGGTATCCTATGGTTACTATCAACAGCCTACGCTACCACAGCTCCAGCGATCTCATTGCCTTTGCCTGCTCGGATTCTTCCATACGCGTGGTTGATATCGAGACAAAGAAGTTGGTCAGAGAGCTTTTCGGTTGCCAAGGCCAGATCAACGACTTTACGTTTTCGAACGACGGACGCTGGATTATTGCGGCTTCGGCTGACTCCATCATTCGCGTTTGGGATCTGCCTACGGGACACATGATTGACGCGATGAAGTTGCGCAGTAAATGCACCTCGCTGGGTATGTCTGCGACAGGCGAGTATCTTGCTGTCGCCCAGGAAGACAATGTTGGCGTCAATATCTGGACAAACAAGACCCTGTTCACGCATGTTCCTACCAGACACATCTCAGATGATGAGATTGCTGAGGTCGACGCGCCAACAGCGTCGGGCGAAGGTGGCGAGAACATCGTATCCGCAGCTTACGCCGAAGAGGAGGAGGAGGAAGAGGAGGAAGAAGATGCTGGTATTCCGTCGATGGATCAACTGAGCGAGTCCATCACCACCCTCAGCTTGGTTCCCAAGTCGAGATGGCAGAACCTCCTCCACCTGGACCTGATCCGGGAGCGCAATAAGCCCAAAGAGGCGCCAAAAGCCCCTGAAAAGGCACCCTTCTTCCTTCCAGGCCTCAATGGCGCGGCCAATCCAGCAGCTAATAGTGCGATTGCTGGGGTGGAGCAGCAAGAGTCTGCAGCGAAGGCTGGTCCCGTATCACGAATCTCCAAGTCCGGGGCTCACCAGTCAGAGTTCAGTCGGCACCTTGCGAACGCCTTTGAGTCTGAGGAGTATGATGGTTTGGTCTCATACTTGTCAACGCTGCCACCAAGCGCAGCCGACTTGGCAATCCGGTCCTTGGAGACGCCGCCGTCGCATGAATTCTTGACGTTCATTCAAGCCCTCACTGCACGGCTGCGGCAGAAACGCGACTACGAGCTGGTTCAGGCATGGATGGCGGTGTTTTTGCGGTTGCATGGGGAGGATATCACAAGCGATGAGGGAGTTGTGGAGGCGCTGGCAGAATGGCGCGAGGAGGCGGGCAAGGAGAGACAGCGGCTTGGCAGCTTAGGCGGCTACTGCGTTGGTGTGGTGGGATTTTTGAGGAGCGCACGGTGAGCGGGCAGGGTTGGGTATCAGAGATAAGGTCTAGGGACAGGACAGAAATAGGGTTTGCATCGGAAGACCATCTCCCGTGCTCAAATCTAACCATCGCTCGAGGGTGGCGTGAAAGCGTGTTTCTTGCGTATTGGGAAGGGCTCGCACATGGGCTGCATGCGGCCGGAAGCGGCTGCATGTGCGCGGTCCATGTTGTGGCGGATTTGCGCCTACGAGGCAGTTGGATCGACCGTTTACAAGGGAAGTGGTATCGAGGCGGCCAGGACTTGGCTGTCGGCGTCAGCTGAAAGGGTGCGGCTCTCGGCTGACAGGCGCTGGGCGCATGGGCCACGGGGCCGTCGCTACGGCGGGCGGAATGCGGTGCGACGCGAAAGCCCCCCGGTCGCATCACATCAGCGCCGCGCTCAAAAACAAAGCTGCGCATTTCACCTCCATCCCGCGACTTTTTTCTGCACCCTTCCGCATCTCCCTCGAATCAAGCTTTTTTGCATCGAGCTGCCTCCGTCCCGCCAGGCATCCACCTTCCATCCATTCACCCTCCAGGCAAACGGCGCGCTGCATAAAAGCTTGCTTCTGCTTGCTGCTGTCACCCGCCAACCTCAGCTGCTGCATCGCGCTACCATCAACCGAAGCTCCCTCGAGCGAGCCGTCATCGCGGAGCTTCCTACTCCACTCAACACAACCCAATTACCCATCGTCTGCCGTCGCGATGCCTCCCAGGAGGGCCGCCGCCGCCGCTGCCTCCAAGAAGGCTGCCGCAGCCCCCCAGACCGCCGCTGAGAAGCCGGCCGCCAAGGCGACCAAAGCCACAACCACCGCAAAGAAAGCTCCTACAAAGAAGGCTGCTACCAATGGCGAGACAAAGGTACCGGCCAAGCGCGGCAGGCCTACGAAGAAGGACACCGATGAGTCTGCTCCGGCAAAGAAGACCGCGAAAACGGTGAAGGCCGCGACTAAGAAGAAGAGTAAGTCTCCACCACCAGATTATTCGAGGCACATCGCTCCGTTCTACTTGATGAGCATTTGCTGACGACGCGCGACTATAGATGACGCCAAGGGCGATGACGCCGCGACTGCTAGCTTTTCTACGCAAGCTGCCAGCGAGGCCACGCAGGATCAGCCGACGCAAGAGACTGCCGATGCGTCCACTACTACTAAAGCCGCTCCGACCAAGGCTACCAGGAAGCGCAAGGCCACTGAGGAGCCCGAGGTCCCCGTCGCGAAGAAGCTCCGCATCGCGCGCCTCAAGGATGAGGAGAAGAACAAGGCGCCCACCCAGAAGCTCCATGTGTACGTCTTCGGCGAGGGTAGCTCGGGTGAGCTTGGCCTTGGTACCGCGAAGAACGCGGTTGACGTTAAGCGTCCGCGTCTCAACCCGCTGCTCCCTGCCAGCAGTGTTGGCGTCGTACAGATTTCTACCGGTGGCATGCACGTTCTTGCCCTCACCCACGATAACAAGATCCTATCATGGGGTGTCAACGACCAGGGCGCCCTGGGTCGCGATACCACCTGGGAGGGTGGCCTCGTGGATATTGACGACAACAAGAGTGACGACAGTTCCGACTCAGGCGATGACAGTGGAATGAACCCGAAGGAAGCGACTCCCACGGCCATTCCCTCGGACGCTTTCCCGGAAGACACCAAGTTTGTTCAGGTTGCTGCCTCGGACAGTGCTTCTTTCGCCCTCACCGACGATGGTCTCGTGTATGGCTGGGGCACTTTCCGTAGCAACGAAGGCATCTTCGGCTTCAGCAAGACGAGCTTCATCCAGAAGACTCCGGTCCTGCTCCCGGACCTTAAGAAGATCCGCAACATCGTCTGCGGCGCCAACCATGTGCTTGCGCTGAATGCTGATGGTAATGTTTTCGCTTGGGGAAGTGGTCAGCAGAACCAACTGGGTCGTCGTGTGGTTGAGCGCACCAAGACCGAGGGGCTTGTTCCGCGTGAGTTCGGCTTGCCGCGCAAGAAAATCGCCCAGATCGCCTGTGGCTCGTACCATTCTTTCGCTGTTGACAAGAGCGGCAACGTCTGGGCCTGGGGCCTGAACAACTTCGGCGAGACGGGCATCCCCGAACATGCAGGCGAAGAGGAGGCATGCATCCTCAAGCCTGCCAAGGTATCGACGCTGTCGGACGCGAAGATCAAGATGATCGACGGTGGTGGACACCACTCTGGTGCTGTTACTGAAGATGGCAAGTGCCTTGTCTGGGGCCGTCTGGACGGGTACCAAATGGGGCTTCCCATGGACACTCTCAAGAGCCTTGGGGAGGACAAGATCACAAAGGACGAGCATGACAGGCCGCGCATCCTCAAGGTGCCTACGGAGCTCCCCAACATCAATGCGGCCTTCATCACGTGCGGCACAGACCACAACATCGCCATCAGCAAGGAGGGCAAGGCCTACTCGTGGGGCTTTTCGGCCAACTACCAGACGGGCCAGGGCACCGACGATGACATTGAGGTTGCGACCATGATCGACAACACGGCGGTTCGCGAGAAGAAGCTTAACTGGGCTGGGGCGGGCGGTCAATATTCCATCCTCACTGCTCATGCCGAGTTCGACCTGCCGATGGTCAACGGCACTCACTGAGCCCCTTGTCTTCAACATGCAACAACGGCGTTTACGGAGAAGGCATTCTCCCTGCTTGGTCCTGTTCTCTGTACAGTAGGTTCGGCCCCGTGCTGGCCCAATCGTTTGGCACTTTATTCTAGACACATTATTATTCGCGACGAAGGGGATCAGGTGCGATGAAGCCAAGGCTGCAGGCGGGTTGTGGTTACGTTTGCCGGCTAGCGAGATGGTTAAATTTTCCTGTTTTGGCGTTAAGGCGGACAGGGGTCGAAAAAAAGTTTTGTCACATCAGTACGAGCGGCGGCGCTGGGGCGCTGGGGCACTGGGGGAGCAGACGACTGGATTTCTTGTCAGTTGGACATGGTGAACGAGTAGCAGCGGCGATCTGGCAGCTTTGCGTATACAATGGAGTAAGTAATTATCATCATTGAAAAGCAGGCGCAGGGCGCGGCTCGGGCAGGCGTCAGGGCCAAAGCCTCGGACGCGGCTCTAGGCGGGCTCTAGGCACGCAATCGGGCGGATATGCAGTTTCGACAACTAATAGGGCGCTGGGCGAGTGCGGCGGGCCGACGATGACGGACGATGGTGGTGATCACTGGGCTGAGGCGTAGGATCCGGGCCAATGGGCATCGCGTCAACAGGCGTGTTACCTGATATCGTGTTGACATGTGCCTGGGCGCTGACTCTTGTATCTCGTGGGATCGCTCCGCAAGATTCCGACACCGGGCCTGACGACTCGGCGAGGATCCCGAGGGCACCGAGCGCGCGCTGTGCCGCTGATAACCAGCGCCTCAAAACCATGCCGCCGCCCGCGAAATGCTCCGCTCGAGCAAGCACGCCCCAGGGACCCTCTCGAGCTCCTCCAGTGCTCCTCCAGTGCTCCTCCAGTGCTCCCAGCGGCCGCCTCGACCCAACGCGCTCCGTTCGTCCCTGCCCCAGACCGCGTGCGGGCCGAGCTCCATTTCCCTGGGCAGCAACACCGGCCGGTACTACGTCACGACCGCCACAACAATTTTCGACACTGTCCTTCGCCCTTCCGCCAAAGCAGTCCGCCAAAGCAGTCCGCCAGCACAGCGCAAAGGGGCGTGCCGCGCCCTCTCTCTTCCGTCTTGACTCTCACCATGCAGTCCCAGTGCGCCAGAGCAGGCTTCCGCGCGACGCGTCTCGTGCTCTCGCGCCATGGCGCCACGCGCAACGTCGCACGGCGCCAGGCCCTGGTGCTGCCGAAGCTGCGCTCAAGGCCGTCTTCTTTCGCGCGGTCCTTCTACACGAGCTCGACCGCAGACACGAGCACCAACACCCCGGCCCGGAAGCGCGGCTCCGCCTTTGCGCCGCTCGACACCTTCCCCCACCGCCATATCGGGCCGTCCGCCAGCGATGCCGAGCAGATGCTCAAGGTCCTCGACCCGCCCGTCGGCTCGCTCGACGAGTTCGTGAAGCAGGTCGTGCCCGAAGACGTGCTGTCGGACCGCAATCTCAAGATCGACGGGCCCCAGGTCCGCACCAAGACCGGCGAGACGGCTTTCAGCCAGGATGGGTACACCGAGAGCGAGTTGATAGACCGCCTTCGCGACATTGCCAGCGGCAACAGCGTCTACCGCAGCTACATCGGCTGCGGCTACGCTGGCACCCGCACCCCCGAGGTCATCAAGCGCAATGTGCTCGAGGGCCCGGGCTGGTACACCAGCTATACCCCATACCAGCCCGAGATCAGCCAGGGTCGCCTGGAGTCTCTGCTGAACTTTCAGACCATGGTCTCGGACCTCACTGGCCTGCCAATCGCTAACGCCTCCGTTCTGGACGAGCCCACCGCTGCTGCAGAGGCCATGACGGTGGCTATGAATGCGCTGCCCGCGAGCAGGCTCAAGAGGCCGACCAAGGTTTTCTTCGTCGACGAGAACTGCCACCCGCAGACCGTCGCAGTCCTTCAGTCTCGTGCTCAGGGATTCGGCATCACTATTGAGACCGGCGACGTGCTGAAGGAGGGCAGCAAGCGTGTGCAGGAAATTGGCCAGGATCTCGTCGGTGTGCTGGTGCAGTACCCAGACACATATGGAGGTGTGGAGGACTACAAGGCTCTTTCAGATGCTGTGCACAAGCTTGGCGCCACCGTCAGTGTTGCCACAGACCTGCTTGCTTTGACCGTCCTGAAGGCTCCTGGCGAGTTCGGTGCCGACATTGCTTTTGGAAACGCCCAGCGTTTCGGCGTGCCCTTTGGCTATGGTGGCCCCCATGCTGCCTTCTTTGCTGTGAGCGATAAGCACAAGCGCAAGATGCCTGGTCGCCTCATTGGCCTCTCCAAGGATCGCCTGGGAGACAATGCGGCAAGGCTTGCCCTTCAGACCAGAGAACAGCACATCCGCAGGGAGAAGGCCACGAGCAACATCTGCACAGCTCAGGCCCTCCTGGCGAACATGAGTGCCTTCTACGCCATCTATCACGGCCCCCAGGGCTTGAAGGCTATCGCCGAGAGGACTATTACTGCCGCGCGAGTTTTGCAGAAGGGTCTGAACCAGCTGGGCTTTGAGACCAGGAAGCGGGGCACTGGCCAAAAGGGCGCTGTGCTCTTTGACACTGTCGTCGTTGACACGGAGAACAACTCGGACCGGCTCATCAAGAAGGTCCTGGACGCAAAGAAGATCAACCTGAGGAAGATTGACGATAGCCACATTGGTATCACCGTGGACGAGACCATTACCAAAACCGACATTGAGGACATCCTGGATGTGTTTGGCCACTTCGTCGGTGTCAAGACCCTCCCTGATCTTGAAGCTCTTGCTGAGCAGGTTTCCACCGCCGGCATTCCCGAGCAGTTCAAGCGTACGACGCCCTACCTGACCCACCCGGTTTTCAACACCCATCATTCTGAGACCGAGCTCCTCCGCTACATCCATCATCTCCAGTCCAAGGATCTTTCCCTTGTCCACTCCATGATTCCGTTGGGCTCCTGCACCATGAAGCTCAACGCCACCACAGAAATGGCTCCCGTCACCTGGCCCGAGTTCTCTTCCCTCCACCCATTCGTTCCCAAGGACCAGGCAAAGGGCTACGAGACTCTCATCACTGAGCTCGAGAAGGATCTGGCTGAAATTACTGGCTTTCACTCTGTCTCTCTGCAGCCGAACTCTGGGGCTCAGGGCGAGTTCACTGGTCTTCGCGTCATCCGCAAGTACCTGGAGCAGCAGCCCGGCAAGAAGCGTGACATTTGTTTGATTCCCGTATCTGCCCACGGTACCAACCCTGCTAGTGCCGCCATGGCTGGCATGCGTGTTGTTACGATCAAGTGTGACACTGGGACCGGTAACCTGGACATGGAAGATTTGAAGGCCAAGTGCGAAAAGCATAGCGAGGAGCTTGGTGCTATCATGGTCACTTACCCCAGCACTTTTGGCGTGTTCGAGCCCAAGATCAAGGAAGTCTGCACGCTTGTCCACGAGCATGGCGGCCAAGTCTACATGGATGGCGCCAACATGAACGCTCAGATCGGTCTGTGCTCGCCCGGCGAGATTGGCGCTGACGTGTGCCACCTGAACCTCCACAAGACCTTCTGTATCCCTCACGGTGGTGGTGGGCCCGGTGTCGGCCCCATCGGTGTTGCCAAGCACCTCTCCCCCTTCCTCCCCGGTCACCCCATTGTTCCAACTGGTGGTGAGAAGGCCATCGCCCCCGTCTCTGGCGCACCCTGGGGATCCTCCTCCATCCTGCCCATCTCCTGGTCTTACATCAAGATGATGGGCGGCCACGGCCTTACCCATGCCACCAAGCTCACTCTTCTCAACGCCAACTACATCCTCTCCCGCCTCAAGCCGCACTACCCGATCCTGTATACCAACGCCGCGGGCCGCTGCGCGCACGAGTTCATTCTCGACGTGCGTAAGTTCAAGGAAACGGCTGGTGTCGAGGCCATCGACATCGCCAAACGTCTGCAGGACTACGGCTTCCACGCGCCCACCATGAGCTGGCCTGTCGCCAACACCCTCATGATCGAGCCGACTGAAAGCGAAAGCAAGGAGGAGCTCGACAGATTCTGTGATGCCTTCATCCAGATCCGTAAGGAAATCGCCGCGATCGAGAAGGGCGAGGTGCCCAAGGAAGGCAATGTGTTGAAGATGTCGCCACACAGCCAAAAGGATCTTCTGAGCGACGAGTGGAAGAGGCCGTACACCAGAGAGTATGCGGCATACCCGCTGCCATACTTGAGGGAGAAGAAGTTCTGGCCGAGCACGACGAGGCTGGACGATAGTGAGTTTTCGACCTTTCCCCACTTTTGCCTAGTCGTCAACTAACGCACGTGACAGCTTATGGCGACACGAACCTCTTCTGCACTTGCGCTCCCCCCGAGGAGTTTGAGCAGGCTCAAACAAAGTAAACCAAAAAAGTTATGATACCCCTCATCCGCTCGGTTCTTAACAACCTGAGCGGACAAGACGGAACACACCCTCTCATTCACCCATCCGCCTTTCTCCCAAGTTACGTCTGCGTTCGAACCTTGCGTGCATATAGAGCGCAAGCAGGTAGCGGCGAGGGAGATGATCATTTAACATATTTTGGGCATGGCGTTTTTCTAGCGTGGGACGGGTAGGGGAAGGGAAGGGATCCCGAGCATCACACAACTGAGCGATTGATTGTTTTGACATTTCTATTTTAACATGTTAGCATGGGGCGGGGCTTTAACATTCTCGCCCGCCTTGGACTCGACTCGACTCGATTCGACTCGACTCCGGAGTGCCTTCACAAGAGATTTTTGGGGGAAAAGGCGTGATAGACGTAGACAAAGTCCTTCCGGAATAACTAATGCGACGCACCGTTTTCGAAACATCATTTCCTGTGCTGTTCCCAGAATCTTCAACCTAATTTGCCGAGATCAAGGGATGATGTGGTCGAGCATCATGGCTTCATCAAAGATCAACTTTTTTTCATTTGGAAGACCATAGGAGAGGACATCTTCGTATAACTCTATGACATAGGTCGTATGAGTAACCACAAAATAGAAAGTTGAGTCTAACATTAGGCAAATTGGGTATCCGCCCATATAACGCCGAACAAGCAACGGGGGGGATTGTGCTGGCAAGCTTCAAAGTTCAATGAAGGGATAAAATCTTGCCCTTGGAAGGATGTTGGAAAGTCAGCATGAGTGAACACCTAAAAGGTGGGGAGCGAAAAAAAAAAAAAGAGAGGAATCCTGAAGTGAAGCCCCCACAAAGCCGCCAGCAAACGGCCAAAGTAGTTGACCACAAGCCTTTCGCCTCATGGCGTCAGCAAATCCGTCCTTCTTCTGTGCAGATTCCTGCTCACGTGCTCCTTCATCTGCGCCTGCTCCTCCGCGTGCATCTGCTCGGGCAGGTTCGTGTTGCTCGCGAAGGGGGTGCGCATGAAGGGCGTGGGAGCGGGGCAGGGGTTGGCGCTGCGGTAGGGCTCCTCGCTGTCGAGCAGCTCGACGACGCGCTCGCGGCGGCGCTCGTCGCGCGTCTGGCCGTGCTGGGGCGTCTCCTTGAAGCCGCCTTCGTCGCGGTCCTCCTGCTTCTGCGGCCACAGGATCTGGCGGTTCAGGGCGGCGCGCACCTGCATGCAGACGACGAAGAGCCAGACGGGGATCAGGCCGACGGCGAGCACGCAGCCGACGACGTTGATGGAGCGGTTGTCGTCGAGCGCCTTGGCGACGGCGAACGTGGCCGTCGTCAGCGCCGTGTTTGGGAAGATGAACGAGTACCACGTCATGGCGAAGTCCATCCGTCGGCGCGTGGCCGGGCTGGCGTGCGCGCCGACCGACACGAAGAAGAACCAGAGGGCCAGCCCCCACAGCCAGATGCCGACCCAATTGGCGAGGATCTTGCCAACCTGGCCGGCAAGCTTGCCGTCGCCCATGAAGGTGGCAGGCACGCAACTGGGGAGGGTCTGGCCCATGGTGATGATGCCGGAGATGGTGAAGCCAGATGGGCCGACGGAAATGAACATGCCCGGGCGGAGAGACTCGCGTGGGAGCTTTTGCGTCATCAGGCGGTAGAGAAAGGCGGCGTATATCATGAGCGAGACCATGAAGCCAATGCCTTGGAGGATGACTCCGCCGATGATGACCTCGAGCGCACGGTCTTCGGCGAGCTTCTTGGCGAGACTTCCGGCGTGCGGACCGACAATCAGAAGCGGATAAGCAGGGAAAATCCACACTGGTGTCATCTTTGAAATGGTGAAGGTCTGGGTTGACCACCTGGTGAAGGTTTAGTCGATGGCCACAGTGGAGCAAAAGAGGCGCTTACATGATGAGATAGATGCCGCAGGAGAAGACAATGGCCAATCCGCAATACAGCCAGAAAAGAACCACCATTGCGTCTTCGAGCCAGGTCCCCGTGTAATCCACGCCGTACTGCGAGATGTTCAGGAGAACAGTGCCGAAGGAGATGACGGAAGCAGGGATGAACAGGCATTCGGTCGGGTGGAGGAAGCTGGCGCGAAAGGTGGAGGGATACCAGTAGAAGCGCAAGCTGATCATCGAGACGTTGAAGACGAACAGAACAAGGTTCAGCAGGAAGAAGATGCATCCTATGTCGTAAAGACCGTTGAATTGCCAAGGGACTGCAGGGTAAAGTTAGCCAAGCGAACGGATAGGGCTGACTTGGCGAGGCCAATGGGGGAGAGACACCATTGTGTAGCACGTTGGCAATGCCGCCGGTGGCCATGGTCATGGTAAACCAGGTCCAGGTAAAGTGGCGGATGCGCTCCCTCAGCGACAGGCGCAGTGGCTCCTCCATCTCCTCCAGGCCATCGCCTTCCTCTTTGTTGGCGTTCTGCATGGCCATTGCATTTTCGGCACAGGTCCCGTCAGGCCAATGCACGGAAAGCGAGAAAGGAGAGTGTGGGGAGAGGGCCATTATTTAGGTCGCAGCGAGGCGGGAGAACGGGAGTGCGGCAAGCAATCGGCAGGCTGAGATTCGCAGCCGAGCTTCCAGCGCTTCGGTCTCCATCCATGGGTGGGTGCAGACTGCAGATGCATGACAGAAGAAGCAGATGGGGCACGGCGGATGACGAAGGCGGGCGTGGCATCGCGCGTGCCCTCCAAGCGCCGGCAGCCCAACCCTGCCGAAGATCGACTAATCCCGCCCGGTCTGCTGCCCGCCGTGGCCTGCGCGCTGCCTGCGCGCTGCCTGCGCGCTGCCTGACGCCCGCCGCCTCTGCGCGCCATCAAGCACTTGCAGCAGTGGCTGAAACCTGGTCAACCGACACCCATATGTATAGGTGCACTATCTTGCCTCAGGAGCGCACTCCAGCGACTGCAGCCCCTCCAACCTCCGCTGACATCACGACCGGCAGCTCCATGACCAGAAGCGTCCGGGGGCGTGGTCAGCTGGAGCGTCAAGCGCCGTAGCCGGGATCCCACACTGCTGCCGCCGCTCTCGCAACTCCACGCCCCGTCTTTGTATGTACCACGGCGCGGCTTCCGACGTCGACGCGTCCGTGGCTCGTGGCCCGCCGCTGCTGTCGCGCGAACGTCGGGAATGGCACTATCCGACCGCGGGTCCTTCGGAACTCCGAGCTCGAGGGGAACGCGCCGGGCTTCCGGATTCCCACCGCGGGGTCGATGTTGCTGTCTGCGGCGGCAGCGAGGCTGGCTGCACCGAAGGGTCGACGTTGGGTTGGGGTGATGCAGGGCTGATAAAGCGAGACGAGCGCCGGCCGGATGAACGAATAGGCAGCCCGTTCTTCCACCCCGCGACGCGCCCGCGTTTGCCCGCGCCCGGGCCCGCGTCCACTGCCGAACTGCACCTCCGCATCGCTTCCGACAGCTTCCCCCGGCCAACTTACCCCAGGCACTACAAATGTAGTTATAACTTCTTCCCCCGCTCTCTTCTCTGCACCTTCCTCTCCCTTTTCCTTGTCCGTGCGGCGCAATTGGTTCCTCCATCATGTCGGGCTTCATCCAAAAAGGCGCCCGGAACATCCTCCAGAAGAACCCCCATGACATCGTCTTTCTGTCCGCGCTGAGAACGCCGGTGACGAGGTCGAAGAAGGGTGGTTTGAAGGATGCCTACGACCACGAGCTGCTTGCAACCGTACGTCCAATCCCATTCCCCCGCTCCCGCGCACCAGCTAACCCGAGCTTCCGCAGGTGCTGAAAGCCACGCTCGACAAGAACCCCAAGCTCGACCCGGCCGCCGTGCAGGACATCCAGGTCGGCACCGTGCTGTCCGAGCTGGGCGGCTCCAAGGCCGGCCGCATGGCCGCCAACCACGTCGGCTACCCCACCAGCGTCTCCTTCCAGACGGTGAACCGTGCCTGCAGTTCCGGCCTGGCCGCCATCACCGGCATTGCCCACAGCATAGCCGTCGGCCAGATCGACGTCGGCATTGGCGGTGGCATGGAGAGCATGACGCGCAACTACGGCTCGCGTGCCATCCCGACGGTGCTGTGGCCTGCCTTGAAGGACAGCCCTGTCAAGGATGCCCGGGAGTGCATCATGAACATGGGCCTCACAGCAGAAAACGTGGCCGAGCGCTACGGCGTCAGCCGCGCGGATCAGGACGCCTTCGCCGCCCGCTCCCAGCTGAGGGCCGCCCAGGCCCAGAAGGACGGCCTCTTCGACTCCGAGATCGTGCCCGTGACCACGCGCTTCCGCCCAGACCCCGAGGTGCCCGAGAACGAGGAGGAGATCACCGTCACCAAGGACGACGGCATCCGCCCCACCACCACCGTCGAGAAGCTGGCCGGCATGAAGCCCGCCTTCAAGCCTGACGGCTCGTCCACCGCTGGCAACAGCTCCCAGGTCTCCGACGGCGCCGCCGCCGCCCTCATGATGCGCCGCAGCACGGCCCACGCCCTGGGTCTCCAGGACTCCATCATCGGCAAGTGGGCCGGCACCCAGGTCGTCGGCTGCGCCCCCGATGAGATGGGCGTGGGCCCTGCCATTGCCATCCCCAAGCTACTGGACTACACGGGCGTGAAGAAGGAAGAGGTTGGAATCTGGGAGATCAACGAGGCCTTTGCCAGCCAGGCCGTGTACTGTGTGCGGAAGCTGGGCATTGATGAAGAGAAGGTCAACCCCAAGGGCGGTGCTATTGCTCTGGGTCATCCGCTGGGCGCCACTGGCGCCAGACAGCTGGCGACGCTGCTCCCGGAGATGGAGAGGCAGAGCCAGGAGATTGGTGTGATTAGCATGTGCATTGGAACGGGTATGGGCATGGCCAGTCTGATTGTTAGAGAGTAGTCACGAGGCGGTCATCTCATCTGTAGCAATACCCCGAAACAAAACAAAAATTGATCAAGCATGGATATCATGTAACTGACAGAACTTATGACTGTTCTGTTGCCTCTCCCTTGTTCTTCTTCTTTTTCTTCTTTTTCTTTTTCTTGTCAGAACGGTCCAACAGTGCATTCTCGGCAGTGGTGGTGGGATCGCCTGATTCTCCATGTTGGATGGAGACTTTCGCTGAAGCTGACTTCGCAGTTGCCTTGTCGCTCTCCTCGTCAAAGCCATCGTCCGCATTCGGTGATTTCTCTTTGGCCGTAGGCTTTTCCTCTCGGGTATCAGCCTTCGACTTCTCTGCCGCCGCCTTCACCGGGACCTCTGCCTGCGCCTTTTGTTTCTTATTCTTCTTCTTTGAGCGCTCCTCCAACAACTCATCCAGGTAACTAGCAGGCCGCTTCCTCGGCTTTTCCTGCGTTCGCGTTGCCGCCGCGTTTGCCTTCTGAGACGTTGCCCTGCCTTTCACCTCATCCGCTGATCCATCATCTTCTCCCCTTGATGTCTCGTTCTCCACGGTTGTTGGAACAGCCCTCTTCTTCGACCTGAACATGGCGGCGCGCCCATCCTCGTCGTCATCGCTGTCATCCTGGGCCCTCGCGGACTTGGTTGGTCTTGCCGGTTTCTTGCTCGGCAAGTGGGCGGCGGCGGCGGCGGCGGCGGCGGAGCTCTGGGCTACGGGCTGGGCACCACGGCCCTTGGTGGCGTTCTTGCCGAGGATCTGCTGGCGGAGGCGCTCGTTGGATGAGAGCTGGCTGCGCTTGAAGCTGCCGTCCGCGATGTCTTTCGGAGGCTCAGCGCCGACGCCTAGACTGCAAGTTGTGAGCAAACGGGCAACGCGTCGTGCGTGGGGCACCTGGCATACATGTCGGAGCCGGGAGCAAAAAGTGCGGATTCTTCGTCGGCAAGCTGCTCGGACGTCTTGTGGGCGGCGGCGTCGGCAGCTGGGCGCGGGGGCAGCCATGATGCGACCAGGCTCTGGCTGCGTGCGAGGGCGACGCTGACGCAATTGAAGGCGACGTCCTCCGGGCGCACAGCAGCAGACATGGCGGGGCGGTGGGGAGTGGAGGAGAGGAGCGGCAGCGGCAGCGGGAGTTCGGGGCGTCGCGGTGCCAAGACAGGCGCAAAAGCTGCTTGTGACCCGGGACGGACCCTATCAGAAGTGCATCACAAGCACTTCAGCATCCCATCTCCACTCCACCCTTTCCTTCCTCTATCGCCCAGAAGCCACCATGTACAAGTTGGCGCGCGCCGGTAGGCCCATGGCCAGTGCCCTCAAGGTAGCCCGCCCTGCCGATGCTGCTTTCCGTCTGCACACGCACCCATGCTAATCCGCCTGCAGGGTGCTCCTCTGCGGACTTCGGTCGTCCAGCAGACCCGCAACCTCTCCATACACGAGTACCGTTCTGCGGCCCTGCTCGAGACCGTACGCTGCCCCCCCGCGGTCCCCCGCCACGCCTCCCGCCTCCCGCTAACCCCGGCCCACAGTATGGCATCGGCGTCCCCAAGGGCAACGTCGCGCAGACGGCGCAGGAGGCCGAGACCGTTGCTAAGAACATCAGTACGTGGGCAATTGGGCCTGTTTGCTGGGCTGCTGACCAACAACAGTAGCGGGCGACGACATGGTCATCAAGGCCCAGGTGCTTGCCGGCGGCAGAGGAAAGGGCACCTTCGACAATGGCTTCAAGGGCGGTGTCCGGGTTATCTACTCGTACGGCCCCCCTCTCTCACTCCCCCACTCCCCCGAGTTATCCCCAAACCATGGCATATCAGCTGATCGCGGTGCTAAACCCAGACCCACCGAGGCTCGCATCCTTGCGGAGCAGATGATCGGCCACAAGCTCATCACCAAGCAGACGGGCGCCCAGGGCCGTCTCTGCAATGCCGTCTACATTGTCGAGCGCAAGTTCGCTCGCCGCGAGTTCTACCTCGCTATTCTGATGGACCGCGCCTCGCAGGGCCCCGTCATCGTTGCTTCGTCCCAGGGTGGCATGGACATCGAGACCGTGGCCAAGGAGCACCCCGAGGCCATCATCACCACCAAGGTTGACATCCACAAGGGCGTCACCGACGACGTTGCCCGTGACATTGCCGTCCAGCTCGGCTTCTCCGAGCAGTGCGTTGAGGATGCCAAGGACACCATCCAGAAGCTGTACAAGGTCTTCATGGAGAAGGATGCCACCCAGATCGAGATCAACCCTCTGTCCGAGACCACCGACCACCAGGTCCTCGCCATGGACGCCAAGCTGAACTTCGACGACAACGCCGATTTCCGCCAGGAGGAGGTCTTCTCGTGGCGCGACGTCACCCAGGAGGACCCCGACGAGGTCAAGGCCGCCAAGTCCAACCTCAACTTCATCAAGCTCGACGGCGACATCGGCTGCCTGGTCAACGGCGCCGGTCTCGCCATGGCCACCATGGACATCATCAAGCTCAACGGCGGCCAGCCCGCCAACTTCCTCGACGTCGGCGGCGGCGCCACGCCCGAGGCCATCAAGCAGGCCTTCGAGCTCATCACCTCGGACCCCAAGGTCACGGCCATCTTCGTCAACATCTTCGGCGGCATCGTCCGCTGCGACGCCATCGCCAAGGGCCTGATTCAGGTCGTGCAGAGCATGAACCTGCGCATCCCCATCATCGCCCGGTTACAGGGCACCAACATGGAGGCCGCCCACAAGCTGATCAACGAGTCGGGCATGAAGATCTTCTCCATCGACGACCTGCAGAACGCCGCCGAGAAGTCGGTCCAGTTCTCAAAGGTCGTCAAGATGGCCCGCGACATCGACGTCGGCGTCGAGTTCACCCTCGGCATCTGAACCCCCGGGACCCCCCCGGCCAACATAAATTAATTGTGGATTGGGATTGGGAGTGGGATGCGTAGGGAAGGAAAGATGGGGACTGGAGTGAAGCAAACATTAGAGCCTCCTTTTTTTTTCTTGCTTTTCTTTCTCTTACTGGGCGGCGTGTCTACCATATTGCTTGGTTCTTGTGCGCGCGTGTGTGTGTGTATATGTCTCCATGTGCGCTTGAAAGCATCTGTGTGAGAAGCGGAAAAGAGAAAGTCTGGTATGTATGTCAGCCAATGAAATGATGTGTGTGGTGGATTTTTTTTCTCCCCCAAGGTCATGCATGCATGCTGTGAGCCGTCGTGGGCTTCGGATAGTGAGTGAGCAGCTGTGCAGATAGTACGAAATTTGGGAAATATGCGTAGTCCATCCTGCAATCAGATGTGCCCAGTCTATCCCATTCCGAGGAAAGGAGAGATGACCCATCAACGAAAGAAGAGAAAATGAAATTCGATAGATAAGAAACGAGGGCTTGTTCAGGGCGGGAAGTCGGAAGAACGGAAGGATCAAAGGGCTGTGGGCACGACAAGCATTCACACGGTATCAGCCGGGAGGATCTAGCGGTTGGGACGGATAGGTGCCGCCAAAAATTTAGGGGATCTGTTAGGGTCGACACGCCTCCCCTATTCTACGATTGGCGCCAACCAGTCATGGATTGTCGGGTGTCAGACCAGCCTTGCGAGGATCATAGATGGATGGTGGTATGCTTGCACGCCAGAGAAGGATTTGAGGAAAAGAACCGCATTGCATTCCAATATTGACAAGCGACTGCTGCTGCCTTCCTTGTAGCGGGCGCAGGCCCAAAAGCAACGGATACATGTAGCACTGGAGATAAGAGTCGTAAGTCATCTGTGATCTACTCGTGCGCCGTCCCGCTGTAAGCCTTGCCGCCTAACCCATTTGTCGCATCTCGCGGCCGGTGTGTTAAGGAGAGCCAGACCCAGTGTCTGGACCGGGTGATCTTGAACGATCACGGAGTGCCGGGCGCGGCGCGGCGCGGCATAGATGGCTTAGAAACCGTGGACCTGGGAGGAGGAAGCACGCAGTCAGCCATGTGTCGTCGGAAACGGAGATGTGGGCTCACCTTGATGGTCTTGGCATCTAGCTCAAGTCCCTCCTTCTTGTCGGTGAGGAACTCCTGGACATCCTTGCGCTGGTCACCCTGGAGCTGGATGACCTCGCCCATCTCGGTGTCGGTCACGATGGTGCCATTGCAGGCAAACTTCTTCTTGATGACCTTGAGGATCTTCTTCTGGTCGAACTTCTTCGGAAGGCCCTGAACCGTGGTCAAAGTCTTGCGACCATTGCGCTCTGTCAAAGGCTCCTGTCAGCTCACCGTGGCGGTGCGAGGCGAGGCGACGTGGGGGAGGAGACGTACGCTGAATGCGAATGTGGATGTAGTTCTGGGTCTGGCCCTTGTTTTCGCTATTATCCTCATCTGCCTCCGCGAACGGATCAAATGCCTTGAGGTTCTGGATTTCCGTGGTCATGAACTCGGCTTGGACGGTTCGTGCGCTAGCGAGGGTTGTATGGGGGCAAGGCGCTGCTGCGGTGTCGAGACGTGGCTTGACGCTGGCGATGATGTCCGTTTGAGCGGTGATGGTGGGGCAGTCGAAGAGGTGGCAGTCAACTCGTGTGAAGTGGAGGCGGGAGAGCCAAGCCCCGCGCTAGCCAGCCGCTAACTGCTTTGGTAGGAAACGTGCGAAACGGCAGTGAGTCAGCAATCGCGACTGCCGTATGACTCTACGCACTTTTAAAAGAGCGACTCTTTCGGAGTTGTTGGCTACGACCTATCTGTTCGACTTCCAAGAAGCGTAGAACACGTGGTTTCAGCCCGGTGTTGCTCTGTGTCGTGCAGGAAAACCAATGCCACCCCCCCTCAACGTCGAAGCTTCTGTCGAGAATACGCACAACTGCCGCCGGCACACGTCCATGCGGCAGCATACTGAGGGGAAAGCCCAGCACCACCTAAACATGTACACGTGTGGATAGCCACCGTCACAGCGGGCCAAAACATATTACTGAGCGTACCTGCGCCTGACTCAAAAATATTGACCAAAAGATTTTGACAGATTAATTCAACCACCCACGCAAGTAGGGTGCAATATTCCTACACTTGGACGTGTGATCATAATTACTAGAATCGCACCAGGCGATTCGGTCCTTCCGTGTTCTGCAAGAAATTCTACATTCTCCTCAAGCGGAATGCCCGGATGCAAATGTGCATACATACCTTTGCACAACGACATCCAGATATATCTACGTAGATGGGGTGCAACATTTGCCCGACATAGACGTGGAAATTCTGCAGTCCACTGCGCAGCATCTCGACACGCATGTTGTAGATCCGAATAGCATGAATGTTCCCCACCGCATCCCCAACGCTGCCAATGGTTGCAACAGCGGGTGTCCATATGAAACGATTCGTCTCGAAGGGGTTTACCGAGCATCTGGAGATCAACGGTTTCGCGATACGAGCAAAGCGGAAGCCGAGTGCCACAGGAATCCTACGCATAATAGTCCATAAGCCATGTACGTATAGGACACATGAAACTGCGTGTACGTGTCTGATGAAGCCTGGTCTCTTTCTCCTCGTTGCGACACTATCGAGACGCGAGCGCCTCGTCAAAACTCTTGCGAGCAAAAAAAAAAAAAGTCGCGTGAGGACAGCTCACGTCTCCAGACAGCACCTTCCGCATGACCAAGCCAAGCGGGAGTGGTGTGCTTGTTCGTCCGTAATCGACAGAATGATGGCGACACGTCTGCTGCTTCCGTCGAGGACGGCTATGACGGTTGATCTACCGTGACGGTCTCGACCGGACAACGTGATGCTCCTCCTGCTGCCTTCGCACGGCCTTGAATTTCACCACATGTCTCAATGTGCTCAGCGAGGTGGCGGCTGCCGCGGTATCCACATCGTTTCTTGATTTCTGTATGATAGCATGAGTTGGGTCGTATGCTGACTGTGCAAGGATCACCTCCCCGATCGACACAGGCACGAGGCCAGGTCAAGTTGCCCTTTCCGGTTGAGCAAGAAGGTACGGGCGACCGGCCATGCCTGTAGGTGGGCATAATAGATCGCAGATGAGGCGGAATCCTTCGGTGTGCTTCGCCACCCCGTCGTGTCATCCGTCCGTACTCCGTCGTCAGCCCCGGATAAAAGCAAGGCCGCCCAGGATCGATGTCCAGGATTGCAACAAGGCAGGCTGCAAGAGGAATCGGAATGGCATGAGAGGGGGAGTGAGCAAGCACGTCGTTGGCTACTTGGGCAACGGCTTCTCAGTGTCGTGTCGGTACGGAGGAAGTCGAGTCCGGATGACACAAGAAAAAGCGGTTTGGCCCCCGGTGATCCAGCCACCTCGCTCACTCTCTGGTGTTCTCGTACTCGTAGGCTGTCGTTCAGATCTCTCGACGGATGGATGAATGGACTGCGAAGACGCGTTGCCTGCTTGTCTCAGTTTAGCGGTTGCTGCTACTGCCGACGAGATGTAGCTCATGTCACAGCTGCTACAGGCGCATGTGTGATTTTGCGTGCGGTGGGGGGGTTGAAGCGCATTATTGCCAAGTTGCTTTTCTTGCTTTCGTGTACGAGATGATCTCCACATTGTTATCGTGGTCCGACTTGAGAAGCTAGATGGCTCCATGCGCAGCGCGTGCGCCCTCGATGCCCGTTAGATCAATGCGCCGGATTACGAAGAGCAGAGCAGGTAAAAGGTCAAGTAAAGGAAAAGGAGACGTGTCATATTTCATTATTCTCAAGATCGGCGCGTAATAGGCGTGAAGAAGGCCAATGAACACGACGTCTGCGCTGTCTTTGGTCCGACGAGAACAAGTCAGAAGAAAATGCAGAGACGGAGGCACTAGGGCACGGCCAAAAGCGTCCTGCATCTGACGTTTGACGTGTATGCACAGCCGTCGGGCGCTGTGGTACGTCCGTCCTGCTTCTTTTCCTCCGAAGCATGGTCCGCATAGGTCCAGCCATGGCGAGAGGGACTCGACAGCAGGGACCACCGCATGCTAACACGACGCACCCAGCCTGCGCCTTCCGGTGGTGGTAAAGGCAATCACCGGCCGGCTGCCGGGGCCACTGCAGCATCGTGGAAAGGTGTGTGGGCGCGTGTGTCGAGAGGCCACCGGTGACGCTACCTTTTTTTTGCTCTCTGCAACCACCAACGCCCCAATCTATTTCACATGGCGATACATGCGTGTCATAGGGGACACAAGGACGCACGAGAGCGACGGAAGAGGAGGCGCTCGAGTGGCGGATGGCCGGGGCGGACCGACACGGGCGCATGGTCTCCCAGACAGAGAGGGGCAGTGCTGACGGGCAAGATGCTGGGGGGCTCACGGGGGCCTTACTTCGAATAAAGGGCGTGGTGAAGCAATGGATGGGCGCGCAGCCTCTCGCGTTGACGGTGGCGGCAGCCGCTCCCAACGGCTGCAGCGCCTTCGCCATGGGGCGGCCACCGCATCAAGCCGGGTGCATGCAGCAGAGGCTGCATCTGGTCGGATCTGGGCGGGAGCGGCAATTGGCAACGCTGACGGCGTGGCACCCAAGCGCGCGCGTTCCGCTCCGTTGGCCGCCTGGCGGAACGGAGAGCAAGGGCGCATCGTGCCACGGCCCTCGGTCCAGCGCTGGTGCCGTTGGAAGGCGCCGTGGGGTGGGACAAGAGCCGCGTAGGGCGACCGGTGTACGGGGGCCTTGTGTGCGCGCGCGTGTAGCCTGGGGCGGGTCAGCCGTACGTGACGAGAAGCGTGAGAGGCGTGAGAAGCGTGGGAGGAATCGAAGGCTTAGCGGGAGGAGCGGCGCGCGCGGGGCGGCGCGGAGGGTGCGGTGGCAGAGGCGAGGGCCACGGGCGAGGGCCACGGGCGACGACCCAGGGCACAGAGTCCCAAGTGCCGGGCCGTCAGGCGGCTTGAGGGTGCGGCATCTCGCATGCAAGATGGCTGGAACGGGCTGGTGGCGCTGG